CACGATCCTAATCACAAGCCAACCTAATTAGAAAGAATTGCTCTGGCCATTCAAATACCAATTTCCTACTTCAACTTCTCAATGGGCGGCAATGACGTATCGTTACCCGCAGAAATTTGTATATAGGCGCATGACTATGTAAATGTACTCAGTAAAAGGTACCGCGAGGAGTAGGTAGTCTCGATCCCGATTCCCTGCTGTTGAAATCTGCTTCGAGACTATGGAGCTGCGACTGTCACTGGTGACTGGTAATTAGAGCTGAACGCAAAATTCTAGTTCGTGCTTCGTTTGTATACTCAAGCAAGTCGCTTTGATAGGTCGCGGGGTGAAACCAGGCAGGCCTGGCGGGAAAGCTAGAGGTGGCGGCCTGGTATACGGAGTTAAAGAGAACAGCCGGGAGTACGATGCTCCGTTCGATTTGGAAGATTCGCGCCGGGAGACCTGATATCCTTTAAGAATTGCGGTGCTAATGCCTGGCCGGGGGATTAGTTTCCAAGGTCTCGCAATTTCGCATTCGTGCAGTGATAAAGCCTTTGGCCGGTTTGATCCACACGAGGGTTGGTCGCAGCCGAAGGTAATCGAGGTGCGCTCTGAAAACGATAGACAGTTAAGATGGCGGTTTTAAGGCGGTCGGTTTCAACTGCTCAGTCCTGATGGCTGGAAGTGTAAACTGAGACCTTGGTTTTGTGAACTCGGGAGCTCACAAGCTTAGAATGGTACCGTTGTTCGAACGGATCTTAGGAGAAGGACGAGTCCGCGGTAGTCCAAGGTTCCTCTTGCCGGTGAGATGCTCGTCCGAGTTGGCTTATACGAATTGAGGTTGGTCGTACGTATGGTGATGCAATTCCCAAGTTTTACAAATCCTGAGAAAAGTTCCAACCTAAGAAGACGAAATAGAAAAGACAGATGATTCGGCAAGGTGGGCGATAGCTTCGTGGGGGTCTTTCCGCTTTCCGGGATCTTCCAGTAGCATCGATAGGGTGGTCGTGCAAAGGAGATATAGACCGTCGTTACCGTAGCCAGGTTTTCCCAAGATCATCAACAAGGCCAGTAAGGAATCGATAAATGAAGACAACACGACGTCCTCGTGGTGACTGTCTAGAAGGCGATTCTGGAGCTTGTCATGTATTTGGGTGGATTTACGATGTGGAGAAGAATAAACCTAGGTCTGTATGGTATATCATACTACCAACGGAAAGGCATAGGCTAGACAAATATGTACGGTCCAAGAATGTACAGATGGCACAGTAGATATTCAACGCAAACGATGGTGGTATGATCTGGCCAATAACTGCAGAAAGCTCCAGAGAAAAATGCCAACATTAAGCACTGTGATTGTACGGGGGAATGACGATGGTGGGCCCAAAGGTCTAGGGGATCAACCGGTAGGTATGTACTCGGCCCTCGAGGGTAGACCCTAAGGAGATAGATACCCTTGATAGATGTACACGAAGCTCGACCACGTTGTACTGCGGGTTTATGATTGGTATAATGAGTACCTACCTAGGCTCCGCCTTGGCTACTAGTACCTCATACACCTCATACCGAACGAGCTGGCCTCTGCTGACGGAACCATGCTCGATTGTATAAAAGTACACTACATATACTTCTTCAGGCAGGGGTTAGCTGCAGGAGGACTACCTCGCAGCGAGGTACAGCAACGAGCCTACATGGGGCGTTGTCGACGTTGTCAACGACGAAATATGTAGTATGTATATGTAGAGAGCGACAGGGGGGCGACCCTTCAAGCTTTTGTATCCGTCTGGAGATATATGTATTGTATGTATTGTACGTATTGTACATAGTGTATTGTACATACATGGGCCGCCTGTTCATCTGTCTGTGCTCTGCAGCGGACAGGTGAGGGATTGATGGTGGCACTCCCGCACTAGACCTCTTGAACGCGGAACCTCAACGCGCCTACGCGCTTCTTAATCCCCACGTGCGTACCTATATATGATCTAGCATGCTATATGTAGATTCAAATAAATGTAAGTGCTCTTAAGACTTACACGAGTATTAATATAGGTACTTACAAGGAGAAAGCGGATAAGAGTAGGGGTTCAAAATGAGTATTTTGGAATATACTGGAGCCTGAGCCTGAGCCTGGTTGGTTATATGCGGATTCTTTCAGATTTTGAACCGGCGAGAAGAAGCTGGCACAGTGTGCACAGTCCGCCAACCCGAACCCCGGCTTGTATGGCCTCCATGTATGTGTATGTATGTATGTTAAGACAATTCCTCCAGAATACATAAACGATACAGTAGAGAAAAAGACTACTACATACACAGGCGCATAATACAGTAGCGGGTGATGAGACTGGTAGGCAACAAAAGGTATGTAGTGTACAAGAAAACCCCTTCCAGAGCCGAACAGTAAGTGCAGATATGCGCGAAAGAACTACGCCCCCTCGCATGCGAAGTGGAGGGACGTGGACGGTGAAGACAGAAATGCTCCACTACCCATCAAAATGTGTAATGTGTAATCCGCGGGCACTGCCAAGTATGGTACATCAATTGCATCGTCCCTCTTTAAAGTAGCTTCGAGGAGGGCCGATGCCACCTAGTAATTAACGCCGTCCATGTATAGGTACGATTTCCGGAACCCCATGTACTAAAAAGATCTGCCATGGCCCATGGTCGTCTACCTAGTGTATCTAGGGTATGGCACGTTCTTTATTAAGAAAAAAAGGTGACTTGAGTGACCTACCGGTAAAAGACCACTACATAGGTCTTGTTAAATTAACCCATCAAGATTTTTTTCGTGTTCTTTCTCTTCTTTATTTTATTTCTCCTGTCGTCCCCCATCCTCGTCTTCGTCCTATGTAGTCCTCTCTCGTAATCATACTATGTAAGAGGCCGGTGCCCTGCCGAGCGTGACATGCTCCCACATTTGGTTGATTAGGTGTGGGCAATATTCAGTAGTGTACTGCGTTAGGTTGCTGTCCCGTTACATTCGTGTAGTCATGGAAGATTCGAATTCGCCGAATCAGAATCAGCTTAGCACCCGGTCCGCAAAAGAATGCCGCGCCCAAACCAAAGAAAAAATGCATGAGGTTAACTGGTCAAGATGGTCAAGCTGGTTAGCTACGGGTCTACCGCTAACTGGACCCAGGCCCATCCCGTTTTCTTATTCCAAAGATCGGACGGAATCTCTAGCCGGGCCTGGGCCGGCCATGTTTCAGAAGCTTCTATAGCCCATGTTCAGAATGCGCATAGAAGAGAAGCCATCAAACGCTAAAATAGGTAGGACGATCCGACCTTCACCACCTCCATGTTAACACGCGCGGCATCCATCTCTTCCCCCTACCTTATAATGCTGACATCTGCTGTAGCACGTCAAAACTTTAGGTTGGTCTGATGTCGTGCTGCAAGGACCCTAAGAGATTTGACATGGTTCAGGGTTCTACCTAAGACTAATAATAAAAGGGGTAGTTAGCGTTCTTGTGGCGAAGTAATCTTTCGGGTTCCTGAATCCTTAAGCCCTAGCCTCGTCTACATAATGGCCTAGTCGCCTAGTCGCCTAGTATTCTAGCCTTCTAGTCTTAGTGTATCGTAGTGTATACGTAGTCGCAACTGGCATGCCAAATGGAGTCTCCGTGAACTTGAAAGCCGGCCAAGTCCATATCTAGCACTAGACGCGCCACACTCCTTTCATTATCGTTCTAGAAAGAGTAGGAGGAATAAGAACAGAATTAGACTAATGCAAGCTCGCTGGCGCCGATTCGCTAGCACTCGAGCTATACTTTATCCTTCGTTCCTTTCATCTTTCATCCTTCATCTACCCCGGGGTTGCGGGAGGGGGAATAATATACGTCGCGTATTGTAAGTTGTCAGACAGGTATACATCTATGTATACGAAATAGGACGGGCTACTAGTTTATAGAATTATGCAGTGATACAATACATCAATCAAGTGTATCATGTTCAATGAAACCAAGGCACGTGAGAATAACCAGGACCCGAGTGTTAGTGATGCCAGAGAAACTTCTCCCACAACCCACATACCATTTCAAGATAGTTCAATGCTGATTGATTAAGAAGCAATATAAAATACCTGGATTAGGAAATGGTCGTGGTCAATATTAACTCGGAACGAGTTAAGAGAGACAGCTGGAAGGACAAGCAGACGTTTGACGTTTGACGTTTGCCCAGATCTTGATCGGCCATTTTAACCATGTACGTAAGAGCGCCACGGAACTTCGCGCAACGAGGGGAAGGATTGGATGGGAGACGCGGAGATGCGTTATCCTTGCTTCTTCTGCTTTTCCTTGGGAGTTGAGATAGGCTTCGGCAAGAAACCCTCAACCCAAAGATCCCTAGGTTACCTAAAGATTTGGCGCGACGCGAACCGGCATTGATGCCCTAACAACCTGGATAGCGGCAGAACTAGCTACGTATCCAGGACTTATTTAGGAATACCTAACCTGGGACCTAGGACGAAGGAGCACGCTTTGTACTTTACATAGTAGCTCTGCGGTTCGTGGCCGCCAAGGCATTGACCTGCGCAATGCATCGAAGCTGCATCGCGCGTAGCTGGTCGTAACATGTGAGGCCAGCTGTCAAAGCAGCATCGGGCATCCCAAACTTGTCACGTTCTTGACCCTGCATAGTACATAGCATAGCATACCTAGTACATACATGTCCTATGTATGTATTTACTGCTGGCTCATCATGACCCATCGTGGTCACACCGATCTTGTCGGGAAGACGGAGATCAGGCCGGAGTCTGGAGCTCCAGAGGGAGAAATTTCTCAACGCATATGACTGACAGTGTAAGATGATTCGTTGCTCATGCACTTGCGGATGATCATTGCAGCTATGGTGATACTGATCGATGATGACGAGGACACCGCCGAAGGATGATGCGATATACTGCGAGAGATAATAATAGCTAAACAATAATAACGCCTCCTCTCGTCGTACAATACTTCCTCGGGAGCCACTTGACCAACCTAGCGCGATGAAACACACCACACCCGCCAACGTAGTAACATAATGAGGCATTCGATAGGGCTTTAGACACTTGTCTCGCTTATGCTGTTCGTCTAGCTCATGCGGAATGGCCACTGGCGTGCATGCATATCCAGGGTTTCGTCGGAGCACTGCAGATGAGAACCTACCAGTGGGGTGTATTCCGGTTCGGTGTGCATGAAAATTGGACTGCAAAAATGATTCGGACTCGACGGGTGGTTCGCTTGCTAATGTATATTTTAATGTATATTACCAGCGGGCCGGCTAGTTCGTCACCGGTATAGGAAGAAGATAACAATAATTCTAATGATGAGGGTGAGGGTGAGGTTACGGTAGTAATGGGTGGGTTAGATATTTAAGACAGGTATACCTTACCTGTGTTAAAGCCGAGAAGACGATGCAAAATCTTCTCTATGCGTACACCGCCAGTATGGGATAGTTATTGGCATACCAGCATACATGACAAGTCGGTGGCTTGAAGTGGGGGATCGGCCTTCACTTCTCAACCGCAGGTTTGATGGGCCAAATACTATATCCAGATGTAAGCCATTGTGCGTTATATACCGTCGTGTGTGCCGTATTAATATTCGAATTGAGCCCTACTACTCATGATATGAAGCTACGGGAAATTGTCTTGTATGGACTCGCGTATTGTTGCAATGGTATGCAATCAATCAATATCAGCCCAACAAAAACATGACATGTTACTCTTGTCATCATCCCTGCCGCCACATCTTCGAGACTCCCGGTTTGAGAGATGGGTGCCTTATCGAAACCAATGTTCAACCTCGCGCGTCTCCTGGTAACTCTGGAGCTGGCATCCAGATGATCAGAACTCACGGTTCAGCCTAGATCTTCATCCGCTTTTAGATTGATATCCGCGATCTGGGGTTGGGGGAGTTAAGGTAAGATGCAAAAATGGTGAGATGGTGAGATGCCAGCCAAAGTTGAAGAGACCGTGGTCATGTAGGGCTATCTACATTGTATTTTTTTTGAACTTACCTACCACACATAAGCTGAGACGGGATCACACACACATACTCCGTTGCCGTACCTACATTAGACTCCACGGATCGTCCGACCATGGTTCGCGATGAGTTATAGTATATAAGCCGCATAGTAGCACCAACTCTTACATAGTATATGCTAGCTTAATCAAGCCCGCTACCGCCGCGATGCATCCTGTGAATGTTTTACCTGGATCTAGGAATGCCAAGTCAGACGGAAACTTACCCCCCCTTGTCTTTCGTCTCGACCTTCAGATTCAAGGGACCTCCCCCACGAGATTCCTCTACAAACCGCGTAACAGGTTTTTACCAACAGCCTGGCATCATCTTTAATCCCAGTAGGCTTATTTTCAATTCCCGGCACTTATCCCATCTCAAGTGTTCATCTCGTCCTAATCAGCACCTCGGCTGTTCCTGGTAACGCCTCCTTCGGTAGATTGTCGCCATCAATGACGCTACGCCATGACGATGTTGCAGGGTACTAGGTTCTAATGAGCAGATCATTAGCATGGCTACTAAAACGACCGTTGAAAACGTGCTTATTATGTACATGTAGGTACCTAAGATAAATAAGAACGCCATAGTCCACACAACTCTATTGCCGATACATTACCTGGGTACAGCTACATACACTCTTTCCCCTTCGAGACATATAAGATTCCTTTCTACATATGTATGTACATTTACATATTAACTATCTTACTGTGGCTGCTAGGAATGCCTGTATTATGCGAAGGGCTGATTGATGGGGAAAAGCTGCGTAGCTTTTCAACCCACCATCCATCATCCTCCCCTACTACTACGGAGCAAACGATCGCTTCGCTCAACTCTTACCTGAAACGATCCCCGCTAAGCCACCTCCAGTATGTATTGGAAGTGTTGGCTGAATTAGGTAGTACTTTACTAGACGCTATAACAAACTTTCTAGGGCGTCTCGAGTCGTATTGTTATGTTGGCTCACTCATCGCGTTTCGTTCCAGGTTCTAAGTCCGATGCAAACGCACAGGCCGGTCAAGTATCCGGAACACCCTTCTGGCTCCCAGCGCCATGGGCCAGACCCCAGATTTGACAAACGGGCTAATTATGACCAGACCCTTATGACGAAGAGGCGTTTTTCTATGTTCACATTTGGAAATCCATTGTCAGACAGATATTGTATATTTCTAAATCCGGCAAGCCTGAAAGCTGAAGAGGTACAAGGGTATATCAAACGATGTCGACGCCATCCTGCCAGCATATCCAATCAGAACAACTCATTGTCTTAACCGAACGCCTGTCAAAAAAGATACTTTGGTCTAAAATACCGACATAGACAGATAGAGCATTAACTGGTGAATTATAACGGTCCTTGCTATAATTAATACGATCTATATGTATACTATTATCTACACGACATTTCAAGTCAGGGATGTCATTGTATCAGATGTCCGTCATTCTCATTTTCCCTGCTGTCTCTTTTTCGATCTCCGCATTCCGTAAGACAATTAACCATGGATGGTGTTGTATTAATCCACCGCGAGTACATCGAGGTACATTTTAACAACATGCCTGATATAAGCCGCATTAACATTAACATGATACTTATTAGTCTTACACGTAGGACTAGGTAATACACCCGGGCAAAATTCAGCGTGGGATTAGATAACAGAAAAGAAAAAGGAAAATCGGCATTTCGTCAACGGCTTTACCCTGTTCCCAAAATCCACGTGCGCTGTAACGTCTGCCATCACCCGGTCCGCCAACATAGCGGATGCGGTGTTCCTTTCCGATTTTTACAATACAACGATACCTACAGCGGCACACAAGACCCTGCTGCTGAGATGCAGTCGCTACTGCAGGTGCCATGTGCTGAGTTGTCCCACCTCCATACATACATACTACTACATACGTCCATGAATAAGTTCCAATGCTATTGATGCTTTGAGTGAAGTGCAGAATCTGACTGCAAGCTTTTTTTTCTTTTTCTTGTTTTTGTCCTCCTCTCTCAGCCGGTAGACTGGCTGAAAGTAGAGCCGGGAACCCTATCCTGTCCAAAAGCGGCAGGACACTTAATGCCCAGTTCGCTGACTACCAAGGACCGAACCACTACCACCAAGAGCCAACTAGAATCTTTTTAACCCTGCTCGTACTAGAATCTCGTTTCCGCTATCCGTAATCTCGACCTCCCGCTCCCGCGATCCCTCTCCATGTTTAAGATATCAAGGGCTTTCTATTCCCCACCAACATTCTTTAATGATAGTATATATACCCTTACACCCTTACACCTTGAAAAGCCTTGGGCACCTACTAAACACAATCCATGCACTGGCTACCTAGGTAGCTATAGTCTTATATACACGTCCGGCACAGAGCAGTTCCCAAACACATGAGGTGACAAAGCGCCGTAGCTGATATCTAAAGCTGAGACATAAACTTAACAATAACGCTCCTCTATAATAACATGATCCCGGGCACGTTGATATAAAGAAATTTATATTGTACAAGGAATATTATGACAGCTGCTTCGCGTTTCAAACAACGAAATTACACGCGAAGCCTGTCTGTTTGATTGATCGAGTCTATCCATAATCCACCATGCCTGCCTCGCCGCAGAACTGCGTACTCCTGCGTCTGTTAATACTACCTGCCTACCTATAATACCATCCTGTAGGCTACTCCACCTGCGGCACAGGATATCTATTGTAGCTATTGTAGGCTCTGCTGTAGGTACAGATTGCTCATGACCATAGTTGCTTTCTCTTTAGAAGCACGCCTGGGGCATATTCCCATTCTTATCCTAAAATGATATTTTGCAGCTGTCTTGTTTCTATTTCGGGCCATACCTATGCGAGCTGAAGGGTCATGCCGCTTGTTCTATCTTTTCAGGCGTGAGCTGGAAGCTCCAGTAAGAATCAGAAAAATTGCAATACTTCTGCACAACGCATAGATCTACAGCGTAATGTTGAAAATAGGACATCATTCTAACATCACGCTATTCAGATGCTAGGTTAGATGCTTTAGATAGGTAGGTAGTGTATACACATATCTATCTCCTGATATGTACACCTAGGTATGTACGAAGTATGTAGGTATATACGAAAGAAGAAAAAGAGGACATTTCTCCACCGACTGTTTCTTGATCGGAGACATACCCTCGATTTTAGGCGTTTAGATAGATAGAAGCGTTCCGGCCATATCATTCGTCGAAGCTGACCGACAAGTGGGTTTACGCAAAACCCTACGATTGGATGACGACCGGCGACGGCTCTCATATTCTTCAACATGGCGAGACACACCAGCTCACCGTTACACCGAATGCGAACCAGGGGCGTTCTTGTCAGCGGTCTATTCCCTAACATACATGTGTCATATTTTTCCCTATAGAGAAGGGCAGCTCTTATTCGTCGACCAAGATGGACTGCAAACTTCCAAGCCTACTAGCTCTGGAATCCACCCGAGTTGGCCTCCTCTACACCATCACCCCCCTGGTCAACGGTAGCCGTCCTTACAGCGTGGAAGATCCGTCGTAGCCCATGGTTGACGGATACCTTGGCCTCAAAGATCCAGGATGATGCATATTGCTATCGCTCACTGCTGCGACTCCCCTTCTCTATGCCGCCCAGAGTCATGCTTCCTAAACTACATGCTACGGCAGGTCGCTAGCAACATACATTCTAGTACTGCTTGATGCGTACAGTATAGGTAACTGTGTGGGTGGATTACCCTTGCCACTGCCGACAGCTTGAAGATCTAGAAAAGGACACGCACACACGCATGCTTCAACTGCAGAGATACGAAGCGGCTCAGGAAAGCAGCTTCGTTCGTGTGGGACTTTCGATGCACCTAGGCCTAGTCGTTAACTCCCAATAGAGCCCAAATCTTGGGGAGAATCCGCTTAGCTACGTGTAGTCCGGTCTGGGGAAGTTTTCCCATCGATTCCTACATCGGGGATCTGGGAGCTCACGCCATCACTGAAGGGGGTGCAGGACCGCTAATCACCAGGGTCATCACATCGTTCCCGCTCATGCGTTGTCCTTCCCGGGCATATGTACCGGTAATTCCGGTCGAACTTCAATGCATAGAGAGAAGGCTATTAAAAACAACCCAGGAGCAAACATAGTAGCCCGCAATAGTTAGAATACGGGCCTCTAGTCGAAAGACGTTCCTTTTTTCATGTACTACCAAGTTAGGCATACCTGTCAAATATCGATGAGGAGTAGGTAATGCGTCTCGTCAACAGCCACGTCTTCTTCCTTCGCATGTTCAAGAAGCACGTCGCCGTTTAGAGTGTGCCGGTGTGGATGCTACCATGCGCAGGTAGCCAGACTGCAAACACATTTGGCGTGTGGTCGGCATTGCTCACGATATCGACGCCCTCTAAACGAGTGTTCTCGGGCAGAGTCTCTAGAAATGATCACCCGCATCACCCAAGACTATTCATGCACATCACTATTACATTAAGAATATCCTAATCCGTAACTTCTGTAGATGATCACTGAAGCAAGGGCGTTCTAGAAGCCAGATGGCCCAAATACCATCCAAAGTAACAATTTCTGTCTCGAAGCCTACCTCGACGTGTCTCGTTCCACCTCGTAGTAGTTGTCCTGGCGTTGAGGGGAGGACAGGGTCCTCCACCGCTAGTGTTGCCCGGTAGTTTGCTCGATTTACCTAATGCGAGACCTGGTCTACACACGTTCCACGTCCAAAACCACCCTATCCTGTTTGTCCTAACAGGCATACGAAACTGACCACGCTTGCGGCGGTTGGTTGTCAGTTCACTTTCGGGCGATCTTGATCCTACGGATCCCGTCCCCCACTTATTCCCTAACTCCACTTCCCAAAGTCTCCCCCGTGAGGTTCAAGTGCCGTGACAGCTCCGCTCCGGGTGTGCCGGTAGTGGTTATTAGGGTAACCAGCCCGATGCACTCGGTTCGTATTTGCCTATCCCTACGAGCCATCAAGACGATATAGCACATGCGCTATCCGATCCAACTTGGCCATAAACGGACGTAGGTGCCTTCTGATAAGTAAGTACCTCTCAAGGCATATAAGGACATAAATAGATACTATGCCCCTGGAAGACTTGCTTCGATTTACTCAATGAGTGGTTACTAACTTATCAACTGACTTCGGGGGTGTAGATCAAAGGAAGCTCCAACAGATATTGGCCTTAGATACATAACCCAAAATGGACTCGCGCTCCCACAGGTTTAGAGCTCCTGAGATATTCTAGAAAGTACTTCTAATAAATACCTTCTAAGAAACGATTTATAATACGATGAGTAACTCATGAGTCAGGGAAAGGTGACTAGATTAAAACGAGATAAGCTTGGAAGCGACTATGGCTCCTTAATGAAATATGCACAATGTTGTAAGACAGGCTCCAATTAAGGATGCTATATGGGAGTTAAGACGAGCCTTTTAATTTTGAACCTTTAAGACAATCGTTTCCCTAATGATAGACAGCGTTCTTACTACAACTATGACTCATAAGATCTAGCATCCTAGTTTACGAGGTTCGACTGATGACCCTTAACGATGTATAAGATCTTCTAGTACTCTTTAGTTCCTCATCTTATCTTTGAATTCATGCCCTAGCTGATGTTAAAAGAGAGAAGGCAGCCACTGCTTCTTTGAAGGTGATTGCATGCGTTAACATATGCCTAGGTAATTGTGGCTATCTCACCTAACTATAAAGGGTGAGTACTTGCAATGATGAGTATAAGGACGATGGCAATGAATTAGCATTTCGATCTACCGTGGCCTCGTCACTGGTTGAACCTGGGGTTTTTCATTGGGAATAAGGGTTTTGATAGGACATGCCTTAACACAAGATGGCAACTTTTTACTAAGAGGGTATCTTTTATCTAGGCTATACTAAGAAGAAGATAATCAATTATAATATATATCCAAGTTGCGATTAGGTTGCCTGATTGATTAACGGCAATGTCTTGAAAGGGGTGAGCACCTGGTTGAATATCATTCATTGCAGAAGGAATTAATTGGAAGAGATAGGAGGATTAATAACCGACTAATATATAATATATTAGGTAGTTGAACCATTCGCATTAATGTCAACGTGAACCAAGGGTAACATTGTGGTATGAATATTACCGATGGTGGGATCTTGTCCCGTTTTTATACCGCGGAGCCTCTATTCAGAAGTTCTAAGCTAGACCCTTGTCCTAAACGACACGCGGCAGACATCATGCTTGCTCCTGAAAGTTAGTGGGCATCTATGGTCTCAGATCTAGGTTCTCCGCATACTCAGCCTTGACTAGACTGATCCTTTGTCTTAGTCAATAACTGCGTTTCGGTATCATGTTCAAACAGCGCGATATAGGTATAGACTCCTTTCTAAGCCTAGAGGTAAGAAAAATATTTGAAATACAAGCCTCACGGTACAGCAACTGACATTACTACCGCTGCTTAGCATACTTCGTATGCGAACCGTTCGCAATGACCGGGCCGGCTTCGCCATCGACGACCTTGTATATGACGACGCGAGTAAATGCTAGGGTGCCACCAACCCTATCGGCTGTAGCAGTGATCTCGATCTCATCGCCCTCCGCGGCAGACGATAGATACGTGACGTGAATATCAACTGAGACGCCAGTGCGGCGACGTAAATCCCATGTAGCGATTGCCATGCCGCCAGCCCAATCAACGATAGCAGCAGAGACAGCGCCGTGGATGCCACCGCCCGAGTTGATATGGTTCCGGGTGAGCGTCAAACGCGCAGTCATTGACCCTTTTGAGGCGTGACGGATCTGTACATCGGAAAGTAGGAAATTGTAGATGGCTGAATTGGGTAATTGTGCTGCGGTGAGCTGTTCGATATGGGATTTGATGACAGCTTCATCGTTGCTGGATTCCACTACTGATGACCCTTGCTCGACGGACCCCATGACGCCAAGCTAATAGCGCACGTCGTAAACACTTTAATCTTTAATGTCGTTGGTGATTTTGAAAGACAAAGCATTCGCTAAGTGTACCTAAATGTCAAGCTTTAGCTCAGTAGGTCTAGGCCCAATAACCTTCGGTGTAATTGAGGTGAGCGATATTTTAAGAGGTACCTAAGGTATATAAGTTCAACAGAAGTGAGAAATTGTTGAGAAGTATGGTACTGGCGGCCCGGTACGGAGATAAAACAGCTGGCGGAATGGGAAAAAGACTGCATACCAACTGCTTTACAGCAAAAGACTTCATCGCCACTTGGCACTCATTTAGTAAATTTATTACATAAGCTAACAAAGCTCCCTATGTAGATGAGATGAGTGGTGAAAAGGAGGTCGATCAAGCCTGATACTTAGATATATCAATGTGAGGCTATTTTATAGGCCATATTTACAATCTCACTGGGGCTCTAAAAATTGTATGAGCATAACGTCCACGACGAGGCTTAATTAGGCACCTACCTAGGTGGTAGGTATCTTCAACGGGCAACGAAGCTATTCAACTTCCTCACAAATAACCCGCGGTAACATGGAATGTATCATATTGAAGTAAGACATGCGAGACGGTTTATCGAGCAGGTCAGTATTCAATGAAGCATGCCATTAAAAGCGCTTGATAAAGAAATAGACACTACCTAACCCACCATAAGAAATCTAACTTGGGTCATGCTTAAAAAGCTGTATTGTAAAGTATTGTAAAGGGATAGATTCATCGTCAATGAAGGATACGAGGACGAATCGAACCGGATAGATGAATAATACTCTAACTAGCGTATAATTAAATAAATCATTTTGTTGCTGACAGTCCAACAAACAGGTACCCAGGCAACAATCACTATTGATTCCTGTTCTCTCATTCAAGAGTCAGCATTTAAACTTAGTTGTATACGTTGACAAGTTAACATAACTCTATTCTTCTCATCAGGTCGGAAAATATGTCAAGAGCTCGAAAAAATTGCATTCACGAAGCTTTACAGCTAGAACCTTCGGCATACGCCAAAGAAGTTGGATACAACTGGCCTACTCCTGATCGAAGGTTGGCTGCGACAACGAAGTCAGGCCGAAACCCGCTGGCTGCAAGGGGCCAGGAAGTTGGAGCCTTGGAGAGACTCACGGAGGAATCTGCGAGCAAGCTGTTCGATGTATTCCCAGGCCCGCTAGTTCTACCTGACGATGAACTGGCGAACAATCCCAAATATCCACCTCAGTCGTTCCGATCGTGGCTTAACGAGCCGCTACGCAAGAACCGCAAACTTAACAAAAAGCGTAAGACGTTGTATGTTGCAAGCACGCCTGAAATCACATCTGGCGTGAGCTATATGAAGAAATGGCTGGAACCAAAGGTTGAAGAGAGTCCGAAATCGGCCAGTGAGAAGTTAGAATCACCGTCAAATGATGCCGTCGAGTATACGAGAGTATTTTACCATGGGTTGTCTGTTGAAGCATTTCCCATCCAGTTGCAATTCGTTCTGTGGACAGAGTCTAAGAAGACGGCTAAGCCGAGCAACGGCACTCAATACGTTGGCCTTCTCGCAGGTAACAACTGCACTCGCATTCGCGCAAGGCCATCTCCGGATGGAATTTTTGGAGGACAGTTAAATCTTGAGGATCTTCTTGACGCCGCTATCGAGATGGTACCTACAGAAGCGTATTCTATCATTCTACTCGTCGATCACGACATGTACGAGGACGAGGAGGATGACTTCTGCTGCGGTAGGGCATATGGAGGCAACCGTGTGTCGGTAGTTTCTACTGCTCGATATCATCCCGCGCTAGATGGCCATGCCGGAATCGATTTCGCGCACATGTGGCCTGCCTCTCATTGCAAGTCCTACGTCGACAATGCCGGTACGGTAAAGGGTCTCCGATTACACCCTAGGGCGAATAGTGAGGGGGGAACTATGTCTGGACCATTATGGGTGGCCATGGAGGCAGTAAAAAGTCTTAAAGAACCCTTAACTCTAGATGACCGAAAGGGCCTATGGTTCTCTAGAATCGCAAGGACGGTGGTGCATGAGCTCGGCCACTGCCTTGGTTTGGACCATTGCATTTATTACGCCTGTGTTATGCAGGGCTCGTCGCGGATAGCGGAAGATGTCCGACAACCCCCCTATCTATGTCCCGTATGCTTGAGCAAAGTTTCCTACGCAATTGCTTGTGAACTAGAAGAACGGGATGAGGGTGGTAAGCAAGAATACATTAAGGAGCGATATAAGTTACTGGCGGACTTTTGCGAGTCATGGAAACATGTTGGTATGTTTGCAGGGTACGGAGCCTGGTTGCGTGCAAGGCTTGAAGACCTTGAACAACAAAAATAGTGAGAGGATTCAATTATTATATCCCAATCACTCATATATGAGCTAATTACCACCTTACCTTACCTGGACAGAGTCACTCAGCATAACAACTCGTATTGGAACGCTATTGACATCGTACGATAATTTAATGTAGCTGTGATTTTGAGCACTAGACTCCATATTCAAATTAATCAAAGCTCGTCACCAACATCTTTGAATTATCAAAATGTATGCGAGGCATAAACTTGGGACCCGTATTTCGTAAACAGAGATGCTTGGCCGAAATTCGGGGCCGAAGGTAAGAATCAAGCGAAGCTGTGACCTCTCCATCGATGTGCAGACTTAGGGAGGAAGGGTAGTAGAGATTGCCTTTTTATTTACCCACCTAGAGAGTCAGTAGATTAAATAGACCAGCAAAAACCATGTAGCTCAATATATTCAGGAGAAGAAGCATTTGTATTCGTCAATCGTAATTAACTGTAAAACGCGGATAACGTAAACTCTAGCAGAATCTGGCGCGCCTATCCATGGGTGATCTCCAATGTAATCTCCATTCCTAGATGAAATTCCTCCTCATACGCCGCGGGATCCTCTTTCGATCTGTGACGAGAATGACCGCGATGGTACCAGCAACTAGTACATAGAAAGCGCAGAGAACTAAGAGAGTGTTGTCAGTCTGCCTTAGTAGAGAAGGACCTGATGGTCTGAAGTCTCTGATTGCTTCGGGCATGTTGGCGTAGAACTTAGTTGCATTGGCAGGAGCCATGGTTTGCAGCTTAATAGTCTAGACAAGGTAAACCAGTGTAGTAGTTGAAGATGGCTAATATTATAAAGGTGGAAAACACTCAGGAGATCATTGATATATAAGCACCTAGATATCTAGGACTAAGAGGTGCCTTGCTTCACTATAGTAAGTTGGTTTTTGAGGCTATCGTAGTACTGACTGTGAATCATGAACCACTTCGTGATATAAGTTATAAAGTGAATGCTTCTATTCCTGACTGGGTATACCTACGCGTTGTTTGATAAAGATGCGAATCCCTCTATTGTAAAGGACAATAATCCTGAACGAGCGGTGACTTGCATGTTGTTTGATGAAAGAGAACGTCTTGGAACATACAATGTTATTGTTAATCACCTAAATTGCCATATGGGAGTGCTCAGGAAGGCCTCAGCTTGTGATGAGTATTGTCTAGTATCTTGAAGCATGCTATGGCATCAAGCTGCTATTGAATCTATGGTACATGGTCAGATTGCAATCATTTATGGACTTTACTGTATCTTATATCGATATTTACTGAAATAATAAGTTATCAGATCCTCGGTACTTTAAATCTTTGCTGTTTCATCCATCTTTAGATGTGACTGAAAACAAGTAGAAGATCCTTGACACAAAGCTCTCGGGGCCCCTTGATAGATGGACTGCGGGTCGCGCTATCCTCATTGGCGATGCAACTCACGCAATGATACCGATGCAAGGCCAAGGCGCCAATATCAGCATTGAGGATGCAGAAGCATTCCGGCTTTTGATCGAGCCCGGCGTAACCCGCGATAATGTCCCTGCAATCCTAAAGCAGATAGAGAAGTATAGGCTACCCCGTGCCGCAGCCATACTCAAGAACACGAGAAAAACAAGCCGCGGGGTCAGTGGAGGAGAGAGATATAGAGTCATGAACGAGAACTGTACCTATCATGGGATTTTCGAAGCCATGAAGGGCTAACAAGGCATAAGAGACTGGTGGCGCATTTTACATATTTCTATGTTGAATTTCTTGTAAGATTCTCATAATGACTTTGGGTATAACTAGTATGAATAGATCTTGAATAGACGATGTTACGTACCTAACTTAACCTATACTTAGGTGGGTACATGTTTACCCCCTATTCCGTTTTCCCCTGAATGTTGAACTCCACCATAAGGTGTGCGTCTTAGTATCACAACACAAGGACCCGTGATACTATATTACAATGGTAATACGTATCTAGTAGGTCTCGTAATGTTGTATGATTGATTAGGTAAGTAAAGGAGAAGAATCTATCTAGGAAGCTATTTACAATTTGTATGCATTCCCAATTCGTGGACTAGTGGGTCCTCGCGAATAGTGGTCCGTGCCCAGTGGTGACGGATCCACAAAGGTATGTACATATCACATGTAGGTACCTACATTATGTACATAATGCCTGCCAGTTAGGTAGATTAGTCAGTATCACGTGCTTCTTTATATGTTACACAGCATGCATCGAATCAGAGCGTTGAACAAAGCTTTGTCATTTGTCATTTGTCATTTCTTACCTACTGTCCAAGTTGTTCACCAATCAACAATCATAGCCTCGGGACTTCAGTCACTTGTACAGACCGTCCAGTGGTTTTCTTAGGTTCTGCGAGCGAGCTAAGTACTTGCGTCATCGTCTAACGAAATATCTGGGGAAAAGGTGAGCCGTATTAAGGCTTTATTGAATTTCTACTACTATTACAGTATTACACCGTTAGCCCCCGGATCTGATACGGAACACTTAAGAGGCTTTCCGGCTTCTATATCGGTACACAGCATGGGGTCAATGACCCTATTAAAGTGTTCTTATGTCCTCAGTACCCCAGTCAAACACCAACATTCAGTCGAATTCTGTTGGTGACAATCTGCAGGACTACGGAGGACAACTGAGCCAACCCAATCAATTATTTCCAAGTCAAAATGACTTATCATCGCAGCCCCTCTTGACGACGTCAATACCACCTTTCCGAGCCAATGTCTATACTTATGCGTCTTCATCTTTGATAGACCCTCTAAATAGCGCGGATAACGACTCCAGTCGGTCTACTGATACGTCACTGGCCCGAGACGTTTCCTGGGATAGCGGGGTACAATCCCTTTCCCAGATAGAAAACACGAACCTTCAATTAGCTACTGCTGGGATGGTGGCATCATTACCGGAAGCGCCACCAATGCGGCACCTTCACTCCAACTTGGCTGTGCTTAGCGCCGAGCAATATGATGGTGGGCGATATCCTAAACGGACCGCTTCTAAAGTCGATCGGAAGCCAAATGCTATCGTCGTCCCTACCAACAATGCTCCTAACCCTAGAAAGAGGGGAAGAAAGTCAGCCGACCGTGAACCAGATGGTCCGGCGGAGGAGACGAAACGGTCTAGAGGTCGCCCGCGCCTTGAAACGAAGGACCAAGATCCCGGCGAGGTTAGTGGATGCCTTCAATCCCTCTCCCTTGCACCAATTTTTGTATAGAGTTCCCCTCCATGTTTAAATTAGTATATCACTTTGCTCTTAAAGATATATAACTTCATAGAAACCTTCTTACCTAATGTGAAGATGTATACTTACATCTGGCCTAGCGGCGACGGACACAAATTCGACTTGCACAGCGGGCGTACCGTAATAGGAAAGAAAATGCCATCACAGACCTTCAAGCGAAGATAGACGACCTTAAGAATGTGAACAGCGAAATCAATAATGCGTATCACGACTTGTTTAACTATGCTTCCCAACGTGGACTCCTAGCTCAGGCACCCGAATTCGGCCAACAACTGCAAAAGCTACAGACGCTTATCAAACGGACTCAAGAACGGGAAAATTCTCAAGTCGATGAGCATAATAGTCTAGAAGGACACTCCGACGATGGCCAGGGAGACGTACAGAATCCTGAAGATCTTGTTATCAATGAAGAATCTGTATCCACGCTACCTAATGATCAGACGCCAGCTCTATTGAGTGGTATTACAGTTTCACATGAGCCCGTGGCCCAGCCGGAACTTGATGCAACATTTGGCCTGGAACCTGTTTCAAATAACGTTCATGCCCCCAACTATGAAGTTATCACAGCACCGACTTTCGAAAACGCTAGCTTTGGTCCAAACGTGCCCGTCAACACGAATTTTTTAGACCCAGCACATTCCTCCTGGGCGCGTCATCCGTGGAATAGGCTCACTGGTCCACATACCATGTCTTTCAACGAGTGGACGTTTGCTCGAAGGTTGCACCGCCACACACTTGAAAGAGCTGCAGCTCTTATCTCAATGCCCAACCCACCTCCGGCTAAGTTCACGCGCGTTTTTGGGTTCGTCATGTTGTTCGAGACCGTCGATGAGATTAGATCGCGAACCGTGGCTATGCTCGATAGGAATAAGAATGAGTCTTTGAACAATTGGAAATACCCTTTTCATAGGCTTGGCGGTTCCGGTACTCACTTCCCTGATCATGCGGGACCATCCAGTCTTTCGGGTTCATTGACTTACCAGAGCTCAGGATTCGGGACGGGACCCTTCAATGAGCGAACAACGAGGGTAAACGACACCCTACTAGGAGGTTCTCAGTACATCAATATGAGCGGTTGGGAGGGCACATGGTTCGACTCGGACGAAGTGGAGACTTATCTTGCACAGAACGGAGTGATTATCTCGACCACGGCCGATGTACACACGGTTGAGATCCTTCCAGGGGCATTTTCTGACGTACAGGTACAATCTCATACCCAACATGTGCAAAATATCCACCCAAATGCAATGCATATACCGCACATAGACGCATCATTCACTTTAGAGATACCTGCTACCGTTCCGTCTACTATAGGAGACCCTTCCCTCTCGACCGGGTCTGATACCACTACCACCACCAGTACAGTTCCCTCATTAGTGCCAGACAACTCTTGGCAATCTATGTCTATGCCCACCTACTCAAACTTCTACGGTGGTGCACAGAATGCGGAGCAAGTCGCCCCGTCTTTCACCGGGTTTGACGACGTGACGGCCAATGCATTTGTTAATCCTTCGTACTATTTTCCGCACCACGAAACCGAGGTACCGACCCCGGCGGCGTCACCGAGGAGAGTTGTTTTGGATGTAAATCAATTTATTTCAGGTGAGATGATGTGCACTCTTTTAACGAAATTGATGACGAGGACTGATTTTCTTGTGACTAGGATTGATTTCAGGCGCTACTTGTCTTGGACGAGCCCCTTCTTTTAGACCTAAAGACATCGTGAGCTCGTTCTGGAATGCTGTGATTGGTTAGACTTATATATATATTTATGATGAGATACCTAAAGTTGGAGTTAAACAAAGTAAAATTTGTGCGGTTGGTTTAGATGATTAGAACTTGGGATGGCGTTGGATTTTGCGCTATATAAATCTCTTTACTCGTATACCATCCTCAGTTTAGAATTATATTGGACGCAGAGTATTATTGGCTATTATGTGCAAATAATAGAGAAGGGGTATATATAGGTATCTATATAGTTAGAAGAGACTATTTATGACCTATATACCTGGGCGTATTATATTTTATATTTTACGAGGCGAGATGAACGTCTGGGATATTGGCTAGATACTCGAGCTATCTTCTTTATCCAAGTCTGGGAAGAGTTCCTTCCACATTGCGCCGTGTAATTCTTGCATCTTGGCCTCCCACTTCTTCCTCCTGTTAGCATCCCTCTCCGCCTTCTCCTGCTTAGCTAGTTTCTCTTCTTCTACAATCAGCCTGCGCATGGCATCTGCCCGTGCAACTTGTTCCTCCCGCTCGCGGTTTAGCACGTTTTGCGTGTATATGACGCCCTGAAGGTATACTGTCTGTCGGAATGTCTCATTCCGGAATTCGCCTCGTGCGGCGTCTGCCTCGATAGTTTTCACATCTAAACGAGCATCGCTACCTCGACTGTTATCCCTATCCCTGACCTTATTACCCCCATACTGTTCTCCCCTTTCCTGCGTTGCTCTCTGCTCAAGTAACATTGTACCCAACATCCATTCCCAGTTGTCTTCGAGCTCCGCGGCGGGGATGTCATCATCGTAAAATGATTGTACCATCTCTAAGCGCTGGACACGCTTGCGGATCCTGTGTCTCAGAATATGGCTTAGGTACATCGGCTGGGGCTTCTTGGTACGTAGGAACGGGATATCCGACGCCAGATCAATATGCGGCACGCGCCTCCGCCCAGAGCCGCCAAGTTCCGACGCGGGTCGCGGCCGTGACGGTATTTCGAATACGGGTTTCGGGTTGGGGTTCTGGGCTGTGGGCGCAGGCGTTACGTTTACGAGAAGAGGTTCTGCAGCTGGCCACGGCCCATTGGACGGTTTACGTGGGGTGCGGCTATAGGGGGGATGTATGGCTTTTGCAGCGAGAGAGCGGCTGCGCTCGTCATGGCGATCACGGAGGAATGACAGTATGGAGGTGTGGTCGGCATTGGGGCTCTCGAGAGAAGACGAGCTGGCGGATTTGAGGAGGCCGAGGATCTGGTACCCCGCCTTAAGTGCGGGATACACGAGGCGAGGGCTAGTGACGGAGGTGTTCCGGCGGAAGGCTCGTCGAATTAGGTGCTTGATTGGGTTGACGGGACCACGGGAATTGGCTAGGTCATCGGGGAGAGGGATGAGCGGGGCTTGCCGGAGGAGTGCGCGGTAGAGAGCGAAGCCTAGGTTTTTGTTAATTCGTCATGTTAGTCCAACGATACTGTGTTGGATAAGAAGAGATTGAATTACATGCTGTCCGATGCCTTGAGTTGCGGGCTGGTATGAAGTATTGTGGCATATGGACATGGAGGCTCCTAAGTGTTGGCCACCTCTGTACATATGTAGTATTTCAACCAATTCCGGGTTCGCGGGGAGATTTTAATTTTGCGATCGAAGTTCAAAATATAAGTTTCGATGAAATGGCGGAATCATTTCCGTCCTGCATTAGCTGCGCGTGGTCACGTGTGTTCAAATCAGCATTGAGAAGTACCTTGTACTCGTATACCTTGTACTTGTTAGGTACTTTTATACATAGGTAAGCGTGGAGTCTACAGACAATCCCAAAGTGACCCTGGTCCTACAGCCCAAACGCTAACTTAATATAGTAAGATACGGGCCACAACTAATTGATTAGATTTGATTGGTCAAATTTTAGAGTCCCACATCAGACTAATCTAACGATTTAATTCAATTCAATTCAACTCATTCAATTGTCAAAACAAAAGGAATCTATCAACGAAATAATCACGAAACAGGGGGTAATTAGCTAAACTCGAGTGGTTGCATACGTCTGGGTATAAGTATGTATAGTGCGATGTGCGAATAGCTTCATGTACATAGTTGTAGCTATCTATCTAATCTCTTATCTAATCAGCACGTGAACCTGGTTTGTGTACAATCCGTCGTACTTACATTTTTTTTAAAAAATTTAATTAATTACGAATTAATTTATAATCGATCTCGAATTGATTAGTAATCAATTAAGAATCAATTAAAAATTAATTATTTTATTTTATTTTTAAAGTTGAGCCCAAAGGGCGCTAGAGCAAATCCGGACAGTAGGCTTTACCATATTGGGTTAGCGTTTGGGCTGTAGGACCGGGGGAACTTTGGGATTGTCAGACTACTCGTAAGCGTGAGATCAATCTGTTGCATTTCCTACATGCACTCACTACATGAGATACCTGCCTACGGCATCAATGGCAGGGGTTTTCTTTGGTGATTTAACTTTTTATTTCATGCTATGAATCTGGCTAATTCCCAAAGCTCCCTCCGAATCGACGTCTCCTGCGTTGGTACCGATAGTACCTACGAAGTCGTATTGCGTCCTTAGGGGTAATAGAAACTCGTGACGCCCGCCCCCTTTCGTAAATAATGTGCTGAAGACTAAAAAGCCAAGGCGTATCAACTTGATACTATCAAGTTGATATGATATTGGATGTCGGTGTACCACGTGTTGGGATTGTGCATAATACCATCCTAATTGCCAGAGTATACTGATCCCTCGGGTGGTTGAGGGAGCTTCTTGCATGCGCCGGATGCCATGTATCTATTATCAAACGATAGTCAGAAATCCGTTAGACTCTAGCCTAATTTGATGTTGCTTTCAAGAAGTTTCGTTGGACTAACCTTCGGAGCTCGATTAGGATGGTCTCCATGGTGTTCTCCCTCTTCCAGTGCGCCAAACAAGGCAACTGGTTCGGGTCTACCATTCCATTCTTCTGGTTGACACAGGGCAGATTGACTTGACTGACGAACTGAATCGTGGGAGGCTTGTCGGGATACTGATCACCGCAGTGCATCTTGACGGAGTAGATTCGATTCTCATGTACGCTCTACGGTCGAACCTATTAGCTTGAACTTCCTCGCGAGCGAACGAACGGTGCGCCGAAGTTGCAACTGACGTGGGGAGGTCCAAGAATGGTACCGTTCCAATCGGACATTAGTAGATCTTCGGGATTATCTAAGCCATAGGAGCAAGCCTCTGTTATAGATATCATATATCACACGTTAGCCGGGGCCTGCAAGATGCAAACGGGCGATTTGGCGGGGGTAGAGTATATATACCAGCTCCTAAGCCCTTCTCTCCCTTTTCCAACTCCTCTAGAAGGCGGAAATTTCGGGGGACTTTAGCCATATTTAACGTAGACGCTGGGCTTCAAGGAAGAAAAAGACGTAGTCGAGTAGGTTGGATATCTTGACAGGCCCACCTTGACCTGGGTTGTGCTGTTTAAAAGTTGAGAAGGTAAGTAGTTGACTTTGTGAGAAGAGGAGCAAGCAGCCTCATGCTGTTGATAAAGATGGAATCTTGATGATGCGGGATGGTGGGGTTTTTGTCGGGCGCTATATGTTTGTACTACGTATACATTGGTACATGTACCTTATGCATGGACCTGGATGGCACCCAATATTTCAAAGCTGCTTTCACGGGTTCTTTAGTGATTACGTAGCTGTTCATCTGCGCATGTGGGCTCTAAGTAGTAAGGGATATGGCCGAAACATGTGGCGCAGCTTCTTATGTAGGTAGTCATTACCTAACGGTACATACATTAGGTACATAGCAATTTCCCGGTATCCCGGTAGGGTAGTTACGACGAATCTGGCAAGAACCCTGAACTCACCAGTGAAACTTAAACTTCAACTTAAACAGATCTACACTTTTATTCTTTGTTCAATTCCCAATGAAATTAAGTACCTTATAATTATAAGCGCCTTACTTCTACACCTGAGATTTGAGTAGTTTTCGTCAGATGGATTCTACTCAACCTGATTGGCCAAGATGACCACTCAGCTCCTCTCCACGGAGTTAACTAATCTCATACAAGAGAGTAAACGAAAGCATAACGATCTTAGACAGGCATGTCTTCACCCAAACTCCACTTATAACTTGAGATAATAGACTTTCAGGTTTATTTCTCTGCATTTTAGGTTTTTACTAACTCATTGTATAGGCAGCTGAGAAGTCTTTGGAAGAGCTGAAGGGAATTCGTGCCGCAAATGAAGCCCAACTAGCTGCTGGTATGCCCTTGTTTTAGACAAGCCCCTCTGCTGGAAAATACTCATGATAAAAACCAGAACTTTCCCAAAAGGTCAACTTCGTCAACCCATTCGTCATCGCGTGTGGGACAAGAAATGCCAAATTTACTGGGATAGCCATTGTCTGCTTGTCACGGCTCATTCTTGCTACTGCGCTCCCGCGATCCAAGTTGAGCCCCGTCTTAGAAGCCTTGCGAGAGGCTACTTCTGCTGGTCTTGATGTGCAACTCAAGATTCTACAAGCTCTGCCTAGCTTACTCCAGAATTATTCGAAAGAGATCCAAGGTGACCTATTAGTCACTGCACTGAACATCTGCTTCATTTTGCAGACGACTAAAAATGGAATTGTTAACAATACTGCTGCCGCTACACTTCAGCAGCTTGTTATGACCGTATTTGAAAAGGTGGCGGTTGAAGACAGTAAGTTTGATGTCTCAAACTTAATTACAGAAGCTGACTTGATTTAGAATCAGTATCCGATGGAAGTTTTGTTGGCCATGCCCCTACTGGTAATGGTGATGTTCAACTCCGGACCGCGTCTATGGATGCCTACCGTATTTTCAGAGACATATGCTTGATGACAGAGAATCAGCGACCAGAATATCTCCGATTTACCGGACTCCCTCAGACATTTGGCCTGGAGTTGATAGAATCAGTCTTGAGCCAGCACGCTGCTATTTTTGTTGAGTCACGTCATCCGGAACAAGCACATATACTTCGTACGAGAGTAATGTCTTTCGTCATTAAGGCGATATCTGGAAAACCGAACTTTGCGACGTCAGTCCGGCTTGTACGTATTCTATACACGCTATTGCGGAAGCATCTGGATATTTTACTATCGGAGGGTGGCGAGGCTCTTGATACTCTTACTCAGTTGCTGGACCAAGACACAGCTACTTGGAGGAGAGCACTATGCATGGAAGTTTTCCGCGGTATATTCTCCGAGCCTCCCCTTCTTAGACGTATTTTCGCCTTTTACGATTATAAGGAGGGAGAGAAAGATATTCTAAAAAACTTGACCGCCACGTTCGTTAGAGTTAGCACAGAGAAACCAGTGGTTATTGGCTTAGGCCATCAATCCACCATTCCCGTCGCTAACCCGTATGCTAATCTAGGGGGCTCTTCAGATCAGGCGATGCTGGAGGCCAGCGGGGTCACTGGAATTATCAGCGGATCTGTTAATGAAGGCCATAATACCGGGATTAGCTCTCAATGGAGTACGGTTAGAGTTGCTTGCATCGACCAGCTAGATAAGACCGAACCGCCTGCGATCCCCGAGTCATACGTATATGCGTTGACTTTATCTTGCATTACTTCGTTGTCTGAGGGACTGGCTAAGTTTATCTTGCCGCTCACAGTTCCTCCCGACAATCGAGTTCGCAAACGCAGTGCTAAGCAGCAAGAGATGGGGCGAGAATCGCCAGGTCCAAATGAAGACGATAATGGTGCCTCGAACAAAATGGCAGAAAGGACTGCCACGATGAGTTCTATTGAGAGATCTGGATCATTCAAGAAGAATCCAGTGCCTCTTAACCCCCTAGCTGTTAAGGACCACCCCTTGCATAACGATGTTAAGATATGTGCGGCCATTATCGATGAATGCTGGCCAGCAATCCTCACAACTTGTTCTACCTTTTTATATGCCGCACTCGATTCGGAATACTATCACGGTCTCGTCCGAGCCTTCCAAAAATTCGCCCATGTTGCGGGATTACTCCATCTCGCAACTCCAAGAGACGCTTTCCTTACAACACTTGGTAAAGCAGCTGTCCCACCAAACGTATTCAGTGCTTGTCTTAATACTAGCTCTTCCAAATCTGCTACTGTTAGCCCCTCTGTAGAAGGCCCGAACAGTATTCTGGGTAATGCTAGAGGCCTTTTAAGCGTTGATAGTCTAGTAACCCCGGTGGGCGCCGCTGGTGAGAGACAAAGGCAAGCATCTATGGACGCCAACACCATACCGCAGACACTGAATACTCGGAACCTCCTATGTTTGCGTGCGCTCTTAAATCTGGGGATAGCTTTGGGGCCGACATTAAGCTCTTCGTGGTCGATTGTCTTAGAAACGCTTCAGCAGGCCGATCTTGTTCTGTTCACAACTGGGAAATCCCCTGGCAGAACCCCAATCGCCGGCAAGGGTCCGGACCCAAGAGCAGAGAACGAAGCTGCCTCGCTCCTAGCCAACTTTAGTACGGAAATAAGAGCTGTTGAAACAGCAGCATCGAGACTCTTTGAAAGCACGGTTGATTTTCCTAACGTTGCTTTTGTGGAAGTTGTTGACGCGATCTGTAGCCTCTTAGATCAACAGTCTGACCAAGCTTCAGAACCGTCGAGCCGACCACAGTCATCGCCCTCGTCGCCCCCACTGCCAGGCCTTCGGACCCCGACTGGACCACACCGGAGGCTTGTTGGCGGATCTGGGACAGCACCCACAGGGCCCAGCCAAGAAGATCAATTTGCTCTCGCGAAGATCGGCGAAGTTGCGGCTATTAATATTGAGAGGCTCCTTACCTATTCTCCTGACGTCTCAGGTTGGGCACGAATCACGTCTGAACTTATCAAGACTCTGGGTTCTGCTCCTACGGCCGCACAGATTCGCACTCGTGCCGCAGAGATACTCGTTCAACTTGTGTTAGAAGCCGCTAGAGCTGCCGTGAGTCTTGATGATGAGACACGTAGCAGAGTTCAGCTGCGCCTACTGGAAGCCCTTCGCGATTCTTTATTGCCATTACAAACGGAAGACCGTGCTACTTCTGTGGCCACCCATTCAACTGATATTGACATCCACAGGATCCTTCTCGAAGGTCTCAAGAGCCTACTTGATGATTGTGGTGATGCGCTTCTGAGTGGTTGGGAAATCACGTTCGAGGTTATTGGAAGCATTTTCATTCAGAGAAGGTTCGCTAATGAGAGCACACGAGATGTCGAAAGCCAATCCCTCATCCTATTGACACGGTCTGGGAAACTTATTAGGTCCGCATTCAATTCTTTACAGTTGATCTGTTCTGATTTCCTTGGGTCATTGCCTAAGTCATGCTTTCTGATTCTTGTTGATACCCTGTATAAATTTTGCTCACAGGACGACGATTTGAATATCGCGTTAACGGTAAGTCGCGGATTGACCCCCGCACCCCTCCCCCCAAATTCAGCGTACTAATACGTATTTGTGCCAGACTGTTACTTTTTTCTGGGTGCTTTCCGATTTCCTTTCAGGGAGGAGTCGGTCGCTTCCGATCACTGATAGTCTGATTAATGATCCTAATGGTGTGTCATTGGTCGAGAAGGCCTCAAATGCAGAGGATGCATCGTCTGATTCAGCTTTATGGATGCTCCTCCTACTAAGGTTGACCACTGTAACCACCGATGAGAGACTTGACTTAAGAAACAGTAAGTGTCCAGAGATTATATATGCTCTGCTACTATGCTAATAACTCATCAAGGTGCTATCCAGACATTACTACGGATTTTTGATGCGTACGGAGACAGGCTTAGCCCAGAGGCATGGTCTGTCTGTATCAAATCTGTTATTTTCAAGCTTCTTTCGTCTATAGAGAAAGAACTTGAAAATGTTGGAAGACCCGAAATTGATGAGAAAATCCGCCATGACTGGTATGACACGGCCGTCGTTGTGCTCAATGGCATATCCAGCCTCCTTGCCAATTATCTTGATGTGTTGACTATTCATCCCACATTTAACTCCTATTGGCAACAACTCCTGGGGCATTTTGCTTCTTTACTTGATTTCCAAGTTTTGGAAATAAGCACGGCAACATTCAAAGCGCTGACTCAGATGCTCTCGCAAAGCCAGAATGGTGCAAAGCAGAATTTCAATAAGACCACGATTGCTCTAGCCTGGGATTTATGGTCCCGCGGTGTGCCAGTTTCAAAGAATGGCAACACGGGAAGGATCACAGATAATCAAAATTGTCTTCTTGCCTACGTCGCGGCTCTTCGCGATGTTTATCGTCTCATACAGGCTGACCTCACCGTTGACCATATTCGCCGAATGCTAACACTATTACGAGAGGTCATGCAAGTCGCTACTCCTGGGACATATGTGGCAGATATTGAACATCTTACACCCCTGCAGGGGCAGGTACTCGATGTGATCAAAATGCTCAGGACCGACTTAAAAGGGGCCCCGTCTGCTCTGATATCTCAGACATCTGAATTTATCTCGCTGGCTTTCCTCGAAGAATATGACATGTCGAATCAACGAAATTCGCAGAAGCGCACTTACGTTGCCATGTCCAAAGCCAGCATGTCGATTCTCCAATCTCTCATCGTGAACCATGCTGCCGATATAAATATTTACAACGACGGCGCATTCCTGACTGCGCTAACGGCTTTGTCGCGGCCAATTGTGCTTAAGTATCAATTCCCCATTATCACCAAAGCAGAGCAACCATGGAAGCAATCAACAACGTCCGCTCTGGTCATTCTCGAGGCTACCCTCCCGCAGCTCCAGAAACTCGACATTTCACGGTCAAATCTACAAGATATTTGGGAAATGATCGTTACCATTGCGAACGGAATTATCAGTGCAGATTGTGATGCACCACCAGACAGGGTCAATATCGCAGAAGATCAGAACATCGATATATCCTCGTTCTTGAAACTCCGCGAACTCATCATCCCCTCCTTAGGCGCAGAGGTAGTAGCGGATAAGACGAGGAAAGTATTCGCAGAAAACCTATTTCGCATGTCTATTATACACACCCCGGCCCCGGCAGAATCTTCTCTCATATATGGGAATAGTGAAGGTGATGTAGTTGGCCTGTTGAACCTATATAAGCCACGAAATGGTCGCACGGTGGATCCACCCCCAGCCAAGCGTGAGAAGATGTGTTACGTTTGCCTCGACGAGTTGTTTGCGTTAGTAACAAGTCACATCGAAACATCAATGCCTCATATCACAGTCCAGCCGCCGACTCCAGCTTTCCCGCCACCCAATTTATCATCAGTGGCGGGTAACATGACACTAGAATCTCCACATGCTCTGTATGTGCGGTTAGCACAAACGGCAGCGCCGTATCTTATCCTGAGAGCCGCGCTTACACTAAGAGCCTATATCGCAGACCAACCGTTGCGTGGGCATATGCCGCAGCCATTGAGCCAACGTAAGGAGCTTACGCGGGTGCTCGAAAGGCTAGTCGAGCTCAAGAGCGAACCGGAAGCCATCCCAGATACGCCTAATGTTGAGAGCGAGAGTCGCAAACATCTGCTTAGGCTCTATCCGTTGCTGGTTAGTGCGATTAAAGTGACAGGGGCCAGCGGGGATGAGAGTGTATTAATGCTACTGACGAAAGCATTAGAGGTTATTGGGTCCGAACTGGGGATTTGATGTTGAAGCTTTCCAGTAGGCTGATAACTAGGTAGGTGCCTTAGTCGGTTAGCTATTGTAAATTTATTAGTCAACTTGGCCGACTTGACTTGCTTTACTGTCGTCGTATAAGACTAAATAAACATTGATCAATTCCAAATAGGTTCTTGCATGCACAATAGCAGCGTAACAGTAAGGAAGATGTAATTCACTTGTCATAATTTGAGAGTAGATTTATATTCATCTCGATGTTCCCGGGCGAGCTTTACCTAGACACCTGATACTACCATCTCCTAAGTCTACGGTTTGCCTTTCGAGGGGTTGTGAGGTGCGTGTGATAATGTCTCGGGAAGTTACAATAGATATACATAAGATGGGTTAGATGGATAAGGGGATAGCGAGTATGCTAACCTAGTGATGGAGGTCAAAGGGATGAAGGGATTGTGTATGCTCCCCCTTAATGCTCGCCGACGCCATGCTCTACCCTTTTTATAAATATTTTTTTCTTCACCACTACCGAATAGTCCCCGCTCACAGTTTTCAAATACCAATTGAAGGTACAAGAGATGCTTCCTGGTGATACAGTTGAGCTTTCTACCAGCCCAATTTAAAATTTTCATGCCCCTTCTCCTTTACCTGCCTTCCCTCGTTGTCCCCGTAATTCATAATAATGCACCTGCTCCTCAAAATGGGATCTTACAGAATTGCTTCTTTACTTCCTCTTGGCTGTGTTGTCGAACTCGCGCACCATCGAGTCTACGACGCTCTGGCTAGTTTTGGGACCAGTTGATTCCTCTGAAGTCGGTTCGCCTTTCTCTACTAGCTGCTTGGCCATGGTGCGGCTCTGGGCCTCGCCTACCTTGCCAAACACACTTAGACCCGTAGCAATCATACCACCAATATCGCCCACGTTGCCTGGGACCACGACAGCGGTACTCTCACGTGCTAGCTTGCTGAAGGCATCGACGTATTTCTCGGCCACGTTTAGGCTGACGGCACCCTGGGCCGAAGAGCCGCCGCTACTGATACTGCGGGCTACAGCATCGATTCCGGACGCCGTGGCTTTGGCCTTCATAAGAATAGCCTCAGCCTCACCAGAGGCGCGGTTGATCTGCTCAGAACGCAAGGCTTCAGATGCCAGGATGACACTCTGCTTCTTACCCTCGGCAATATTTATGGCGCTTTGGCGCTGACCCTCAGATTCCAAGATCTCAGCACGCTTGGACCGCTCAGCCGTAACCTGCCTATGCATAGCTTCGACAACGGCGGCCGGGGCGTGGATATCGCGAATCTCGTAACGTAGGCATGTGACGCCCCAGGCTTGTGCTGCTTCGTTGATAGCTGCGGTTATATTGATGTTGAGAGCGGCGCGCTCTTTTAGCACGTGGTCGAGGGTTAGTTGACCGATCTCGCTGCGCATTGTGGTCTGGGCAAGCTGCGAAATGGCATACTCGGCATCTTCTACGCCGTAGCTGGAGGAGTAGCGTATTAGTAAAGTGGGCTGTTGAACGAAAAGATGGTTGGGCACACGGAAATACGTGAGTGAAATAGAACGGTGTATATAGGATATTAGACATACCTGGCCTTATACGCGTCGAATACCCGGGTATAAAGTACACCGTCTAGCTCTAAAGTTACGTTGTCGGCTGTGATAGCGCTTTGGCTAGGTATTTCGATGGCCACCTCTTTCAGGCTCTTGACGTAGGCGATTCGGTCGAGAAATGGAACTAGGATAGCAAGACCAGGCTCGAGAATACGGTTGAACTTTCCCATGCGCTCAACAATCCATGCCGTCTGCTGGGGTACGAAGCGTATGATGGTGTTGGCGGGGAGGGAGGGGCGTTGGAAGTATGAGGGCGGGATGGTACCGAGGCCTGATATCCCGGGCTGTGATGGTGCTGGCGATTTCGTGGTGTTGTGGAAGGTTTTCAGAGCGCCCAATGTCAGAGTCGGGGTTAGCAAAGCTCGTGATGTCGGGTAGTTGGTGCCTCTCCGTAACGTGGACGAGACGATCTTCTCAGCTCTGGTCAGCGACATTATTGACTGCTGCCACACACACACACACACACACACAAACAATTCCTGTTTTTATTATAGTAAAGTAAATACTACTATTGGAATGTATTGGTGGTAGAATAGTAACAGGCTAGCTGTTAGAAGCTGAGAACCACGTCACGGATCGTGAGCTGAGGATGGAACTTAGAAGCTCAAAAATGCGAATGATGACATTTTTACGAAGCTCCCATTAATTCGAGTAATAATTAATGGCTCGAACCTCGGAATCCGGAGTTTGCTTGGAGCTCGGACCATATACCTCGTTATGTACCTAGTATATAGTGTATAGGTGCATAATGGGTCTTCGATTCATATAACCACCTAGGTACCTTCAATATATTCTTCTAAGGAGTGCAACTGCAATTTGCTGATATTCCCCTCCCCCTGTTTGACAAGGCACAGAAAGTATCAAAGAAGGTTATCATCTCATCTCATATCATAATCAATGCCGGCACCAGTAAACAAGATCACTATAATGACGACAAGACTTTAACTCTATATATGACATAACTATTATTTTGCCCGGTTGGCGCAATTGATGTTAAGAATCACGCAGTCGATGCCGCCAGAGTCAATCTGGAAGGTAGAATTGCATCCCAAGATGTTCGCTGCTTGGCGATTTCTCCAAAATGAAGCAAAAAACCTACATCGCCCCCCAATGATTTATATTCGCACCAATTACGAATCTTTGAAAGAGAACAGTTCATTTTCCAATGCTACCGCGTAGTGCTAAGTGCTGAACTCGCCATCAGGGATCATATCACCTTATTGTTTGTTCATGGTAAGCAAGCCAAGCCCTGACTGTATATATATACCTTACCTACCTACCTACCTAGGTATTGTACCTTATATATACGCAGGTGCTTTGCAGGATTTCTCTTTTCGCTTCATAAGCTCTTGATTTGCTGCTTCGTTCTTCGCAATGAGGTTTTCTCTATTAGTTCCAATTCTAGCTTCGCTCGTTGCAAGCGTTCCAATATCTCCTAGGAACGATGTCGTATCCTATGATGGATACAAGGTCTTGCGGATAAACACGCATGGGCACCCATCGTCTACCAAAGAGAAACTCTCGGGAATACTTTACGAACAGTGGAACCGAGATGTCTACAAGCACCTAGATATCCTCATTTCCCCTGATCAGGTTGCCACGTTCGAAGCACTTGACCTTGACTATGAAGTCATGCACGAGAACCTGGGAGACTCGATCGCATCCGAGTCTATTTCTAACTCTGTCTGGAAAAGACAGACTGGGGACCTCTCGTGGTATGATTCGTACCACGACTATCAGGATCATATCCAATATTTCGAGGATTTGCAAAAGTCATTCCCAAACAACTCAGAGCTCATTTCATCTGGCACCTCTTATGAGGGGAGAAATATATACGGTCTCCATCTATGGGGCGCGAGTGGACCCGGAAAACCGGCAGTGCTTTACCATGGAAATGTGCATGCGAGAGAATGGATTACATCGCCGGTGAGCCTTGGCGCTGTGCTGATATACATAATATGAGGCTTATCTTTTATTTATTTTTTAGGTCGTCGAGTATATAACGCTCCAGCTAGTTAATGGCTACAGTGGCGGCGACAATCTCACTCGTTCCTTTTTGGATAAGTATGACTTCTACATTATACCAATTGTGAACCCGGACGGTAAGTATTATATAGTCCACACCTCGTAAGGGACGATTAACTAACAAGCCAAAGGTTTTGTGTATTCTCAAACAACTGATCGCTTGTGGCGTAAAAACCGCCAACCACCACCTGGGAACCAGTCTTGCATTGGTCGGGACATTAACCGTAATTGGGAATTTGCATGGGATGCGAACCCATTAGGCGCCTCCACAAACCCATGCTCGCAGAGCTACAAGGGCGAGGCACCTTCTGACACACCGGAGAACCAGGGTTTAGATAAACTTGTACGTCAGTTACGCGATGGCGCGGGCATCAAGCTATACATAGACTGGCACAGTTATGGGCAATATATTCTATCGCCGTTTGGGTACAAGGAGACGCTATATGCGCCCGAACTTGGCAAGTGGACCAAGGCAGCTGGCATAGTCAGTGAAACGATTCGGGATAGTTCAGACGCGCGAACTACCTTTACTTTCGGACCTAGCGGAGCGACTCTGTATCCAACGACAGGTGCGGCGCCTGACCACGTTTACAGCATTGGATATGCCGAGTTCTCCTATACCATCGAACTCCGGGACACGGGCAGATTTGGTTTCGTACTGCCTCCCGAGCAAATTAGGCCTACCGCTGAAGAACAGTGGGAGGGACAAAAGGCTTTGCTGGGTTTACTGGACGAGGAGTTCTTCGATGGTGAGGGCCCGGCTTGACCATCAGGGGAGCGAAAGCTACTGGAAGGAGCTCGATAATATACTCGTATAGTTATAATACTATAATGTATACCTAGACTAGGTAGTCTAGGTAAAATTGACTAATTGAAAACATGATCGGAATAAGATTAGAGTTAACTCGAGTTGACTTGACCAAAGTTGGCTAAGCCACACGAAAGGGAGAACGCCGAGAAAGGCCACGGTGAACAACCAGACTCTCAGAAACTTCGATCTTATCGTACCTCCAGGTAAGTAAACATAGCCAGCTTTATATAAGCTTAGGCTAGGTACCTAAGTTATAGAGTTGACTTTGTTCAAATAGTATTACGTAAACTTGCAGACTAGTATAGACCTGGATGAGCTGAAAGACAAGGCATAATATTTCATACGGCGTAGGGAGAAGAAGTATTATCATTGAAGAAATATTTACATATTAGGCACAAAATCCTGTTCCTGTCAGACTACATAAAGACGGCCGCGAAGTCTACTTAGATATGAATATAAGACCTATATTATTGAATAAGTATTGGTATTTTCAAGTTGGGCGAGTATCTAAAATAGTACTCAACCCTGTGGTTTAGAATAACAAGTGCATCTATAGTCGAATGCTCTCACCCGCCCCCTATTGACAAAATTCACCATCTGCTTTCTACCTGGGTAAGTTCTCAAGCCTCACTACCTGGCTTCGCAACATTGGCGTATTCTATGCCGCCAACCCAAACCTTAGCAATATCTCTGGTGTTGGAGATATTCACTAGAGGGTCGCTGTTTAGTAGGACTAAATCGGCGCGCAGACCAGGTCGAATTGCACCCCTATCGTTCAACCTATGCACTGTTGCAGGGACAATCGTCGCAGCTCGTAGTGCCTCCGCGGGTGTCATGCCAATGCCCACCAAATTCAGCAGCTCCTGGTGGAGCGAGTCTCCATAGGGAAAGTTGATTGAGGGTAGAGTGCCGACCGAATCTGTCCCCGCCAGTATGGTAACGCCAGCTTGGTGTAGGTGCCTTACATTGCTGAGGACGTTATCATATGTCGTATTGTCCGTGTTGTTCCCACGGAGAAAATATAGTATCGCTGGCTGTATAAGGTGCGCTTGGCGGAATATCTCCATAGTCGGAGTAGAAGCTAGGTTGTGTTCCTTCATTAATCCAACGACGGAGGAGGACAATAAACCGTCATCGGGAATATGCTGCACGACGTCTATCTGTGATAACACTGCCTTCGTGTAGGCAGAGACAGTAGTCGAATGCGCGACGGTAAAGTGACCCAACGAGTGCGTATATTTGACAATTTCGTTATACTGGTTCTGGGTCGGCCCATCAGCTGCACCTACGATCTTGAAGTAGTCGGAGCCGTTGTTGAAAGAATAGTCGACGAGGGATTTGGGGTCTGTGTTAGGATAAAGCCGCTGCTCGGGCAACACTGGGTTGAGCTTAGAGTTGCCACCGGCTGGGGATAGGGCAGTTAGCATGGTGGTAAAAAGTGATGCGAGGCCTGGATTTGACCTGAGAGAGTTGCAGAGTTCGAAGTCTGAGCAGGCCATGTTGAATATCGTCGTAACACCGTATGAAGTCATATTTTCGAGGCCTTCGACGTCCAACACGTGTGCGTGTGAGTCTATCAACCCGGGAATTAAAATGCGATTGCCACCGTCAATAGTTTTCTTGATGCCTTCATGGCGATCGGTAATGTATCCGCCATCGATGATGACGGTCTGTGGCTTGCCTATGGTATAGCCATTGAAGACTCGCACATTCGTTATTGCTGTTTTCACTGGTGCCGATACGTTTCGCTTGTTGAGAGCATCCTCTATATGGCGTCGTTGAGGCGCACGAACATGATCATGAAGACAAGCTCTTGAGCAATTAAAGAGAGTAAGTAAAACTGAGGCGAGACGTTTCAACTGCATCTTTTCAAGGAATATTAGAGAAGCTAGAAAAGGTATCAGAGATTGACGAGAAGTTGAGCCTAATGCTATTTAGAGCATGCTATATAATTCTACGAGGATTACAAGGAAACGGGAGTGAAGCAACTGCTTTATATACACATGACACGGCAATTGAAGTCCGAGTCTGAGTCCGTAAGGATATTCATTATATGATATACAATTGGAACTTTGCACGAGCAACTCCTCAGCTCGTACACTAAACCTGAAGCGTACCTATATGAGGTAGGTATGTATAGTGAAGTCAATATTATTTTGGCTACCCACCTATGTAATGCATCTGTAAAACGGCTTAAGCTCTGAGTTTTATGTACGCCCTCCCCTATTTTTAGTGCTTACTGTATATACGGCCCGTGCACCCTATATTCTATAACGAATTCACTCTATAACGAATGCATATCAATGTTTCTTCTATGTAATTCGATATGGCGAGACTTCACTGTAGTTGCTAATAGAAATATGAGGTAAGATAGGCTATGGCCGGCCCGCTCAGAAGATTCTTGACCTGGCAACCTCATCTAATTTGTATTACTTTATTTTGCAGAGAAGTAGATATGACACCTCATAGCCTCTTTACCGGAAGCCATGCATGGTGGAGTAACATTAATAGGGGCTCTTGAGGGTTTACAGGATGCTCGTACACTAGACCTAGAACAGTAAGAGATAGATCGATCTGTCTGCACCGCCACGCGTACGTAGGGTATAACTGCGCTCGAGACATCCTGGTAATGTTTTATTCTTCTACCATGATAGGATCAACTTGTCGGATATTATAAATAGGTCTCGGCACCGAATTATATAGTCTTGGTTCAACCCTCGTACATAGGGCTTCCATCGTTTACAAGTTACAAGATCTAAGGTCGTTTGGGATACCTGAAAGACTGCACCAATATATTATATCTCAGGAAAAACTTATAGTTGAGTGTTAGGTATTTTTAGTCCCATTGTCCATGGAGGATGCTCAAAATAGAGAGCGTCGGAGCGGTTCCCGACAATATCACAGAAAGTCCCGTAATAGCTGTGCGCCTTGTCGGAGGCGTCGCGTAAGGGTGAGGCATTCTTCCAATACATACCCAAACTCCCTATCATCTAACAGCGTGCTTAGTGCAATCTGCAGTCACCAATCTGTGCTAATTGTCATAGACGTAACGAATCCTGCTCTTTTACTTCCACAAACGCTTATGAATTGGCCCCTATTCGGTCTTCAAAGTCACAAGCGAAAGCCTCCGTCTGGAAATCCAATGTCGGTAATACCTCGAATGACCTTACACACTTTAGAAACACCAAGTTTGATTTGAATCCTCAGGCTCTCTTTGGTAATGTGAGCCTATGCGGGGCGTGGCACGAAATTTTAAACCCGAGGGCAACGATTTCAATGATTCGAGTCATGGAGGAGACGTACCTCCTATCGTTGCTACCAAATATCGAAAGTGGAATCTTTGGTCATGAATTCAGTCGCCTGGCGAGCACTTTTGAGTACGTAAATCGAACATTCACGGCGCTCTATGAGCTTCACCAATGGTCTCAGAGTACATCGCGCTCAGATCTATATACTTCCGCACACCAACATCATATCGAAGCATCGGTCTTGTTCAGACACTCACGGCCGGAGGTGAATGGGACTAATTGGATGGCGGTCTTGATATTTGGAATTGGAGTTATAATTTTCCAATTTGCTGCCCTTTTAAAAGCACCCGACACGATAGACAACTATCTTGAGCTATTCCATGTTTTACGTGGTTCCTTCCAGTTGGCTACTGAGTTGGCGCCATTTCTACGAAAGAGTTCATTGATGCTCCTCACCCAGCCTCGCCTACAATCACCCAAGATGTGTCTGGATGAACTCGCACTGAATATCTTAGCCTGTCTTGATTCGCTCGACTATCCCGAGGATACTACGGGCGAGACTAAGCGCGCTTGCTTGCAGTCGATTATATGCCTGAAAGAATGGATTATTGAGGTTAATGGATACCCTGGAAACTCGCGTCAGTTCATAGATTGGCCAGCCGCTGTTCCGGAGCAGTATATCTCTGCTCTTTCGCAAAGACATTCAACGTCACTTGTTATATTTACTTATTGGTGTTGTATCATGCATCGCTGTCCAAAGAGGTGGTATGCTGGCTGGGCTAGCAGAGCTGCATCAGTAGCGATGAGTTACCTAGGGGAGGAGTGGGATCACGTACTGGATGCACCCCGGAAGGTATTGACGTTGGAGCCTGGGGATTCCAACCCCAATACGCGGCCTTAATGAAGACAGCCGCCAAGGATGCAGGATAAGAAATTAATTCAGGTACTACTCCCCGTTACTCGCTCGTAAGTTGATATCCCAAAATGATTCACTTACTTACAAGTACCATGTCCTTGCGCTTATCTTAACTGAAATATAAATACAGACTGTAAAAGGTATTAGATAGGTAGGTAGATAGGTAGGTACCTAAGTTAATATTTTAAAACCCCTTATTATTAGTTCATTTTCAGACTCCGGGGTAATGCTCACAGAATAAGACTAGCTGTCACTTTGTGTAGTATTCATGCGACAAATTCCAGTTACGGAGTTAACGGGGTAGTCCTAACAGGCTCACATAATATCACCACCCTCGTAATACGACACAACCAGTCAGGTTCAATAATCATACCTTCTATCAGGGACTACCTAACTCTATGGTTTTGAATTTTTAGTAATAGAATAGATTGGGCAATCCATACCAGCGAGTTCGATAAGTCAAGTCAGGTCAGGTATATTGGCTTATAGGGCTTAGCTACCTGGTTATATCTTCGGACTGACTTGAATGCCCTTATAAAGCCATAGTCTTAGCCACGTTAGCCACAGTAAATACGCCAATCACATATTATCAAAAATATATACGTACATCCTCAATGTCCGTACCTGTTACACAAATAGAAAATATTTACGATCTACCCAGGCCAAGTCAAGTCATACCAGTCGGGCTTTAGTATTCTTCCCATGCCACTATCTATGCCGCTATTGAGTTCTTGTATAGAACGTCGAACTCGCTTAATATGAAAGGATATACGATATACTTAGTTTGGTCGCTTGCTCGACTCGTGGTCTGTGGCGAGGGACAGAGTCAAGAGTCATGGACTTCACTCAATATTTCCGTAGGCGGACGTCTCCATGGAATTCAACCTTTTGCATTACCATGCTACTCGTTCTATAACGGGAATAAAGTCGCGATAAATGAGGTGGCTTGCACTGTTGTCCGAGAGGGTTATACTACGAATTCAATACGCGCAGACAGGCCCAGCAGCTATATGAATCTTCAGGGTGAGATGTGTCTAGGGGATCCCTTGAATCAGTGTACGTTGGATAATACAGCAGTTCCAGCAGCCAAGCCCGCCCTCGGGGCTTCATGCAACCAAGGCAGTGTTCCGTCGTACTATATTGAAGTCGAGAGAATTTCGGATATCATTGCAGCTCTGAACTTTACCCAGTTTCATGGAGTTCCTTTAGTTATCAAGAATAGTGGACATGATTACATGACTAGGAACAGCCAGAAAAGGTCAATCGCTCTTTGGGTACACAAGTTGCGAGGCCTTACCCTCCATAATGACTTCGTCCCAGAGGGATGTGGATCAGACTTGAGACTGGGCCGGACCATTACCGCGGGCACCGGTGTCAGCACAGGAGATATTTACAATTTCGCATATGAACATGAAAGCACCTTTATTGGTGGTTATTCCCCATCAGTTGCAGCTTCTGGGGGGTGGGTCCTTGGTGGCGGACATAGCGTATTATCACCAGTGTATGGCCTCGGAGCTGATCGTGTTGTTGAATTTAAGATCGTGACGCCTGATGGGGTTGTTCGAGTTGCAAATCAATGCCAGCACGAAGACTTGTTCTGGGCTCTACGGGGTGGCGGTGGAGGGACATTCGGCGTTGTGCTGGAAGCTACTCACCGTGTTGAACCGTTAATACCAGTCGCAGTCGCAAGCATCAAACTGCCTTCAAATATCACAGCAGAAACATCCATAGAGTGGATTGAGTTAATGGCCCGGGAATCCTTGGCTTGGGGTAAACAAGGATGGGGAGGCCATGCGGGAGGCATATATCTGACTTATATGAATCCTGTACCGGGGATAGCCAACTTAACCGACGATGGAACCGCTGCTAGGGGCTCCATGAGAAATGCATCGGAATTTGCACTTGCCCACGGGGGTAGTAGTGTAGTAGAGGTTCTCCCTAACTTTCTCGACGTGTGGAATAAATACGTCTTACCAGGGGCTCTAACCACAGCTGGGGTTACGCGTGTGCTGGCAACGAGGCTTATACCCCAGAAGTTCTTTAATCACGATGCTGGAATTATCAAATTGATGGATTTCATAAAGACTACACAGGAGTTAGGATTTGACCCGCGGAACTTCTATTGTCCGGTAGATACGCCCTTCGTAGCAGAGAGCGGGACGAAGCTGAGAGTGAGAAATAATACGAGGCCAATAACTTCTGTCCAGCCAGCCTGGTATAACTCCCTCTGGGATATTTCGACATCCCTAGCGATTGCCTGGAACGCGTCATACGTCGATCGCTTGCAAAATATGACAGCTGTGACAAGAGGGACGCTTCTTGCGGAGGAGTTGACAGGTACCGATGGGGGGACTTACCCGAACGAAGCGAACCCCTTCACTGCGAACTGGCAAGAGTCTTGGTGGGGCGATAACTATAAAGCCTTGCTCGAGGTTAAAAAGAAGTACGATCCAAATGGGCTCTTGAAGTGCTGGAAGTGCGTTGGGTTTGAAAACAAAGACATGTTGACCGACAGATTTAGTTGCCAGGGAAAGTTACAACTAGATGTCGACCGTAACATAGAAACTATTATGAGGTAATTATACTACACGGAACGTCTAATCCAAAGGTTTTTTTTTTTTTAAGTAATAAGTCCGTATGAAGTCATAACATACCTTGTACATGTATTTGATCTGTACCTCTCCTAGGACGAAAGCTATATGATCTCACATATCGTCATTATTATTTGCAAGTTGAAATGGGTTTTCAATTTCGCCAAAGGCGTTATTATTAAACTACTAAACTTTTAAAAATTAAACAGATAGTTATTAAACTCTTAAACTATTAAGAACGCATTTTTAGGCAACTTATTAGTAGGTATTTAATCACCTGCCTGGGAGGTACCTAGGTAGGTATCTATTAATAAGACTTGGCTTACGTGTATAAGTAAATTATATTGATTTTCTTATTCGTAAATTACATAGGGAGATAAAGACTCCTAAAATGATATGAGGATAAAGTCATCTTGGTGTATGACTATAGCCACAATTAGGCGGAAGCGTCATCAGCTTCATCAGCTTCATCTTCTTCATCTTCTTCATGCGTGAAAATCTCTCTTTCCATCAAGCCACAGGCTGTCTGGGTCGACGTGCCTGAGAATACATTGAGCTCGCCAATCATGGAATCACCGACGCAATCTCCTTTTCGGCAGGAGTCACAGTGAGCCTTGCCATCTGGAGCAGAGGCTGTACAACCACAAGCACAAGTGCATTTGCCCATTTTGGATTGCAGTTGTCGTCGGGAGGAAGATTTAGGTATGATACGAGGAAAGGTTGAAGTTGATATGGAGGCGGTGATAGATACCAGGTATTTTTCCAAGAATAAGATATCTTGTGTGAGGTTTATCGAGATGGTAATATTGAAGGATGGAAGGTGGTTGTTCTGGATAGATACTGAAACTTCTGGTTGGAAATTTGGATTTGGATGTTCAATTTATATACCTTAAAACATAACAGCTACGAACAATGTCAATTGTGTTGAACGATTACAATTGTGTTGAACGATAATAATTGAATTATTCAAGGACAATTGTGTTGAAAAATTGAATAATAGCAATTGTATTTTAAAGCATGTGTTAAGAACTAAGAGGTTCGTTCCAAACTACCTACCTTATTCACGCTTCCACCAAGACAATAAATCCCAGCTTCATTATCTACCATAGCACACTCGCATTTACTACATTTACTACCGAGTAAATCCATCACCAACATGAAGTTCCCAACCATTACCTTGTTTAGAATCAGTCTCATTGCTGGCTCTTCAGCTCAGCCCCTCGAAGAACGTGACGTCCAATTTGCACATCTCACGTTCCATGGCGCTCTTGTCAGGATTAGATGCCCTTTTGAGGTGAATCATGCACAAATTGAGTGTACAGGGTAGGTAGACCAAGTAGTGATTATATTGAAGTTAGTAACGCCTGGCCTTCTAACTTCTGACGAGGGCGCTTCGCGCCTCTTATATAGTCGTAGAGACCCCCTGTAGCCACCCTGACAGCTCTACTATCGTATAACCTTGAAGTGTCTGTCGACAGCAGGGTAATTAACACGAGTATGTCATTTGAAACTTAAAAATAAAAAGAATAGCAATAAACAACGGATTACCATTATTAATCCGACGTTTTTGGACCCAGATGACGAATATTTCTTTCAGCATAGATAATTGATTTGCTGGCTATAATGTTATAAACTAATGTACTTTTAATACCGTCGGTGAAAAGACCTTGGCTAGCAGCATTGACTGACACCTACACTAGAGTATAGTCAATTATCGTCGGTCTACCACAACCTATTATTAAAATTAGTTTTCATGGCTCATGTGTCCCTACCCCTTATAGAGAGTTGTCGGAAAGAACCCTTGATGTATGTCATACGTAGAGTGAATGTTTGAAACAGTCGCAAAGCTACTATATAGTAGCCATGTGGTAGTATGAATTTATTAACGCTTAAAATTCTATCCTTTTCCGAGGGCGCGCCCCTTATAAGGTACCTAGGTACCTTTACTATGTACGTCTATGTATGCTTGTTCCTGTCTACCTAGCTCCACTCATACCCTGACAAGATGTCGTTAAGACAACATTAAAAATGAGGGGTATGACGTAGGTAAATATTATGTACAAGTAAAAAGTGGAGAGGATAGTGATAATTTGCCAGTGTATCGTGGCTGCTGTGGCTAAACACGGCCCGAAAGGTAGGTATGGAGGTACATCGATACCTTAGCTTCACTTATACATGGGAAGTAGGTAATTAACAGATTAAAACTATCTCAATGACAAAGACTTAATGGATTAAACTTAGAGGCAGTGTTCATATCTGCTGTTGGTGCCAAAGAGCTACAAGTACTTAAACTAAGTACCTAACCTACCTGTACTTACACGTTACGGAGAGGAAAATATGATATGTCACTTGCTACTTTTTACACATCAGCCAGCCATCAAAATTGACAATAATAACAAGTCCATATAGATTTTATTGGTACTTTAGTAACACCGCAAAGTTGCATTCAGTCTCCCACTTGTTAAACATCAATTTGTGTGGTCTGCCACGTAGTCCAAGTCCTACACCAACCTCCTCCCCACCCATAGTATTATCAGATTTCCATGATCCATTCTAAACGCCAGAGTGCCATCAAAATCCAACTGAAACAGACTACCAAAGGCCGCGTTATGCATTCGATATCATGACTGAGCTAAGGGCAGGGAGCCAGCAGAAAATATGCGCAGTAGCTCTGGCAAGTAGCATACGCTGGAGTACCGAAGGCGGGGATCCAGAGAGTTCCGGCAGCACATGCAGATTGGCAGCTTGCATATGTCCATGGCCCTGCCATAGCGCAAGCTACGATAGCCATTGCGACCATGGAGACTTTTCCTTGATGCATTTTGATAGACAGAAGGGCGGAATCCCGTGTTCGTAAGTTGCGTAAAGTCGATATATTCTGCGACCTGAAGTGTATTTCTTTGAAGTAGTCGTTGGTCTTTCTCAAGTCCAACGTAGAGGTAGGAGAAAATGTAATAGATATATGTAGGTTATTTAAGTGTGATGTTGGGGTCTGATGTGCTTGAAGTAGGTAAGTAGGAGAAGAAGCAAGAGAGAGAAAGAAGCGTAGAGAAATGCAGATTTAAATGAATGTTTGCAGATACAAACGAGCGGCGACAAACGAGTACTTGGTTACCTCTCGTTGGGGCTCCGAACACCATCCATCTTCCACCGACCCTGTCAAAAGTGACCTATAGCGTGGCAGCTACGCTGCTACGGACCTGGAGAGGTTTAAAGATGGTTATTTCAATGCGACTGGTGACCATCTGATTGGCCGATAGGGGGTGGGGGCCGAAATAGAGGTACAACTACCTACAAGGAGATGTAAAGCTACCAACCCCGGTACTACCTAACCTAAGACACAATTTGATGTTGGTGCTGGCGCAACCGCGTAGCGAGGTCATTATTTGAAAATACATACATAGATCTAGAAACACATCCTGGCAACGGAATGAAATCTGCTAGTCTCAGAGATGTGCGAATCGCAAATTTTGATTGATCCTTTTGTTTCTCTATAAGCTTTAACAAACACTATGAAGCTAAACCGTAGGTTCTTCTAGTCCCCTCCCTCTAGAACAATACGGATCTGTACTTTACCTACCTAAGTAATTAAATTCTATCCTAACGTTGGCCGAGTGAGATTCTGATTCTCTCAGAAGGTAACTACTACAATTCAATATCCTAGTAGCTTATCTCAATGTAAGAGTATCTATATAAAGTATCAAAGTTGCTGCTTGAAATGCTGTGGGGATGGACATATCGATACTTCACCAGAGATTGTCGCGTAGATCGTTGGAGCAACACTTAGACACTACGCAGAAAATGTTACGTTGCCTGTATGACATAGAATTTATATTTAAAGTACCCTGAATAATATACAATATAGCTGACTGTCTCACTATGATATGGAAAACCTCGCTGCAAATAATTCATTATATTGACAGCGTGCCGCCATCAGTACTATGAATCTCTTTGGAAAAAGAATTTCAGTTTCCTCTGAGATAATTTTAGATTCCAGAGTCGTCTTGGTCAATACCTGATGATGCCTGGAATGAAGACCACGTTGAACATGTGTCTGTGAGTGTTTCCGTATCGGTTATAGCTGCTATTTCGTCATATCTCTCTATGAATTGCAATGCAAACCCTTGGCTCGTATGCCAACCAATATGACACTATATTCCAGATTAGTTATAAACGTGGTTAAAGACTTTTGTTTTTTTTTTTTAAAAAAAAAAGAAAAAAGGTTCAGTAGATTTATGCCAAAGCTTTGAAATCAATCGCCCTTTAATACAGAAGGTGCTTGTAATATATACCAAAGAAAAAAAAAGGAATGAAATCGATACTTACATGCATGAGCCAAACTCCAGGGTTATCGGTTTGGAATGCCAGCACGAGATAACCACTGGAGGGTAACAAGGCAGTATCCCGACGGGGTGGGTTATCCGTGTTGAGAGTGACGCTGCTGGAATATGAACCTGTATCTTGAGCGAGGATGAAAAAATCATGGCCGTGAAGATGAATCCTAAGGATATAATTAGTGTGCACTCTTTCTTAGTATCTTATTGGGTCTGCGATTCCAATGTATCAAGTAGACTTATACTGAATGATACCTAGAGGAAATTGAGCATATGAAGTTACTTACGGATGGGGAACAGGTAGGTCTGTCTCGATCGCCAAATATACCCACACGTTTGCATCGGGTAGCTGAAGGACAGAGTCGTCGGTTTCGAAAGTGCTCTCACCATTCATGACCTGCAAAAGAGTAGGGTTTTCCCAGTCAACCAGCATAGATGTACTATTTAGAGTCCATCTGAAAAGCCCATTAACGGTAGTGACATCTGCTACTTCGTTTGTGACAGCTGAAGTACTGCCTACTGTTTTGCTAAGATAAGGAACAACGTTTGCTGACTCATCGTCACAAGAATCAACATAATCGTATCCAGTTGTCTCCGGTGTTGAGACGGTATCTGTGTAAGATATAATGCCACGGATGTTATCCTCGCTATCGTTTTCGGAGCAAGCTGCTTGGGGGATAGCTCGGAGCCAAAAGTTATCAGCAGTCGAAGCCCTGCGATGCTCTAGGTTAGTTTCCCATATATCCTATGAAGTCATCCGGCTTGATAAAGGATACTCACTGGTCGGCAGTGACGACGACATCATAACGTTGTCCTTTAAGTAGTTAGTATTAAACCGGGAGAATAGTTATGGTTATATGCTTACCAATTCCAATATTAATCACCGTTGCTTCGTATGGCTGGATTGGCACAAGGTCAGTCGCAATGACCTGCATCGTATGGTTATCAATACTGAATTTAAAGTGCGTATCGATGGCTCCGTTGATGAGTCTGATTCGATAAGAGGTCCCTGAAGTGAAAGAAGCTTGAAATCTTGAACCAGCATCATCATAAACGTTAGTGCCATTGATAAGCCCATTTTCCATCGTAGGAGGACCGCTTGTCTGTGCTTGGGTCCAGAGTTGATCCACCGTTGAGTGACTCCAATCTGATAAGAGTATGGTCCCAAGATCCTCGTCGTAGTTCGCAGTAGCTGGGCCATTGATGATTATGCCGCCAGCAACACCTTCCCACGCTTGAAGCGCAAAGTGAGAATGGTACCAAGTTGTCCCATATTGGGTTGCCCTCCAGGTATACGTCCGAGTCTCCCCGGGTCCCGTTGGACATTGAGTAATAGAAACGACTCCGTCGTTCTCATTTGTATAATTCTGACGTATACCGTGGAAGTGGATAGCTGTTGTAAAGAATTAGCTAGTGAAACCTTTTGACCTGTAAAGTACAAATATCTGGAAAGGTTACTAAAACCTGACTGTGTAGGAAAAGGAACGAAAAGATGGTAACAAGTCTCAGGGGAGGAGACTCGAAAAAGGTCTGCAGTCAAGATAATGCAAATTTATATTCCTCAGCTTGTACTCACATGTGCCATTGTTAGAGGTAGTTAAGGAATTCGTAACGTGAACTACAACTGTATCACCCCAGTCCGCAAAGAGAGTTGGTCCTGGAATAGTGCCCTAGGATATGAAGTAAGTTACTCGGTTCAAAATAAGAAGATGGAAATGAATATAGAACAAAACGGTGAAACTAAATCTTTTAAGCTCTAATTGACTCACATTAACAGCCATTGCTGAGCGAGAAGTTCCATCTGGTGAAACAGTCACATCGGTGATATCCAGCCAATACTCTTTAGTTACTCCAGTATCGGGCACCTCTGTGGTATAGTCAGTGTCGATGGAGTAATCGCACCACTCGTTTCTTGTTGTTGCTGTGTTTCCTGAGCATGCTGCCCGAGGATACAAATTCGTGGAAGGTGAAAAGGGGGATGCTGCAACTGTGCCGCATAGCAACGGCAACAAGAGAGCTGATACTTTCGAAGCAACCATATTGAAAGGAGGCTCCGGTATCGTTGAGTCTTCGAATTATAAGTTTGGGTAAGATGAAAAAAGACAGTTGTAGGGATAAGCTACCTAGGTAGGTAGGCTTTGAAGTTGAAGAAGTAGAATGAAAGACTGTGATATTTTCATGACTTCTATTCATTATGAGCGCAGCTGAGGCAGGCTTTATGTCCACGATAGCTTCTCCTATGTCACACTTGCCGACTGAAGGAATCGGCACCATAAGAACCCCGAATCGTGAAGACCCATTATACCGTAGTATTGCGTTACAATATTGAATAGCTATACGACCGACAATCAGACCACATATCCACCCCCTTAAGAGTATCCTGGTGTCGGCCCTGGCGACCTGAGCGCATATCATGAGTCGAAGATATTCTCGTATTGCGGTAGTACGCGTAACGAAACGTACAGAATTCCGCGAGGAGTGTGGAGCCTGTGGCTTGAATGTGATGAGCCGGCGTCTTACTCCCCCGGAATTGGACCGAAGTCGTCGACGAACATCGACCGTGAACATGACGAGGATCTAGATCCCAGATCCCATTACATTAATACGGTATTGTTAAGCGATGGTCTATGTAGGGACTACGATATGTGACCCACAGCCACCTATATTGTATCTGGCGGACGGTTTCGTTTCGAGGCACCGTCTAGACGCCCTGCGCCCTATTATCGTCGTAATTATCAGCTTTGGAGATTACGAGATTTTTTGTAAGCCCTGCAATGGCTAGCTGATTATCTTGATAAAAGTAGTTATATAATCCATTTAAAATCACGAGGTGCAGTGTCAAGTATAATATTAGCAATGCTATCATCTACCGAAAGAGAGAGTCGCATTAAAGCTGTGATGTTAGTCGCGCTTAAGAGCTTACGCGTTGCTACATGGGGGAACCCTGCGAAGTTCCCGCTTGCCGCACCTCCCGATCACCCCGCGGCCCACAGTCCGAATATAGAGGCTAAGGCCGGAGAAAACAACTCTATCTTTAGACAAGACGTCCGTGTCGAAGGAAGAGCTGACGAATCTATAGTTGGGGTATAGTTGGGGTAAGTAAAGCATCGAGGATATGAAAGGAGACCTTGTCCATCAAAAGTTAAGTTCAACAAGCAACCTTGGAACGTAACTTAGTTAACCTCCTCTAAGTCATAACCTTATATTTTCAATCATCATATTCAAGTCTTAGCGCTTCTCGCAAGAAATTATCTACTGCACTAGCCATGCACGTATTACAGAGCCTCATTCTTGGCATCCCAGCGGTTATAGCTGGGTCACCAATTCTTGTTGAACGTGCTCCTACATCCCCTTTTGCATTGTTCGCTTACGGCGATGGAATCGGCGGCGCACCTGTGTTCACGGATGGCGGTATGTTATTCTACCTGTCTGCTAGAATATAATAATTCTAACTTCTACAGCAGATGGTGCCTATATCGGGCAGGTAACTAGCTTAAACGACAGCGAAGCCGCTCAGGTTGAGTGTAAGCCGCGCAGATAACCTCTCGTATATGCAGCTATGTTAACTCACAGGCAGTTAATGCCGGTACGGACAATACTTTGTTGGCCAATCCCAACACCACGACCACCGGCAACACACCAACTTGGTCGAACCTTACGTTCATAGTCCCAGACACGACATCTTCTTCTCATAAGGTGGAATTCACTAATTCGACTACAACTGGCGATAGGTCGGGAACCGGGTTCGTATTTTATGGAGAATTTCTACTGCACAAGAGCACCGACGGGGATCTAAAGGCAATGTGGTACGCTGTGCCCTCTGGTCAAGATAATGTTTGGACTTTGAACTGGAACTCGACCGACGATGATACCGAAGGGAAAGTGATTGTCACCCTGAAGGCTACGCCGCCATCGAGGGGAGCGGATAAGAATCCCTAGGCCTAACATGTAACTTCACGTTGAACTATTCCCATTCTCATTGGGAGTTGCCGACCATCTACTTTGTGGGTTAGACTGGTAATCACAAGTCGCCCACCGGTGGGATACTACTCTATCGGCATTTCTTCTCTATTTAAATTATTTATGCTGGCTCAAGAGGATTGTAATTAGCTCACTTGAAAGGAGACCTAGAATGCTCAATCTCAATACTAGGTACAAATTATATTTCCTCTATCACCGTTTAATTCTGTATTATAAGTACCCTTTAAACGAATTGTCTCATCACTTCAACATTGCATTTTATAATAAAGTTTATTTGTGATTCCCCCGAACAGCATGGGATGCATTAAGTCCGAATAACAAACTCCGTCGTAGGATGATATAAAATTTCGCGTCAGTAATATTTCAGCTAGTTCTTAACCCCTTTAACGGCCAGATTAGGTAGAATAACAAAATATTGAGGAAAAAATACGAATTCGCACCAGCTAATACGAGACACCCGCTACGCGACTGAGATTAAATTTGGATCATAGAATTCGACTTACTTTCGGCTTACTTTTGAGTCGTCGGTCCCGACATACTTGCAGCACGTATATCACGCCAATCGGGACCAATGGATCTAAGCTCAAGATAGGCAATTGCACACGGATATAGAACGACGTTGTTTTCATATCCGTATATCGGAGATGGACGGTAAACTATCCAACAGAGGCGCCATCCGGTTTGAGTTTTCGAAATCGTAAATCATACGTAAGCGCCATGCATCACTTGGCGCATGGTAAGCAGGGGGCGAGATTCTGGTGGGCAACCATCATCTATCTAGGTACCTCCTATTTTCAAAAATGAAATCATTCACAATCGCCTATTTCTGTGTTACTTGAATAACGAACGTGGCTAAGCTGTGAGTGAAAGCGACATGAACACGCTTAGGACTTTAGGAATTGTTTTGCGCAAGCCCCTGAACAGACAATTTCCGATATCTCATACCCCGATATCACATCGAGCAGCACATCGGGCGGCTTTAAGCCACGAGCTGAGGAAACATCTCGCAATTAAAATCAATTCCCGCCCGAACAATCTTAATTGCCGGCATTATATTCACACGCGCAGCCAAGCAGAAAATATGAGCACACGGTCGCGTGGTCGGGTTCCCATTGAACCCCAACGTGTCGACGCTCCCCTCACTCAGACTGCTACCTTCTTGGTAGTTACCATTAACAATACATTGGAAGCTGTCGGTGTGGTGCGCTCGGTTTTATCTAGCATCGATGGACTAGCTAAAAATGTCTCTATTCGAGACCTCAGTGCCGGATTTGCCTGTACAGTGGGCATTGGCAGCGAAGCGTGGAACTCATTGACTCAGTTCCCCCGACCAACAGAGCTTCATCCATTTCCTACTATACATGGGCAGAAACATACTGCCGTCTCGACACCCGGGGATTTGCTATTCCATATCCGCTCGGAGCGACGGGATTTATGTTTCGAATTCGAACGACAACTACTGGATGCCCTTGGCGATGCCGTTACCGTCGTGGATGAGACGATTGGTTTTCGTTATTTCGATGTCCGCGACCTTCTCGGATTTGTAGATGGCACGGCAAACCCCGTGGGACCGGCCGTCCCGGCTTCTATCCTCGTGAGTGAAGAGGACGCATCTAGTGCAGGTGGGAGTTATGTTGTGGTCCAGAAGTATGTGCATAACGTGAAAGCATGGAATGCCCTCCCCGCTGAGCAACAGGAGAGCATTATTGGGCGCAGGAAGCTAGATAACGTCGAGCTAGATGACGCCGCAGCAGGTCAACAGCAGTCGCATAAGTCACTAGCCACTATTGAAGACGAAAACGGCAACGAGCACGATATCCTCCGGGACAATATGCCATTTGGGTCTCCCGGCTCGAAAGAATTTGGAACATACTTCATTGGATACTCAAGAAATCTATGGGTTATCGAACGGATGTTACAGCGTATGTTTATTGGCGATCCTCCTGGGTTACATGATAGACTACTTGATTTCTCTACCCCTTTAACAGGCACCACATTCTTTGCACCATCCTCTTATTTCTTAAAAAGGCTGAGCATGGAGAGAAGCTATCCGGTTACGGACACAGCCAATCATTGACTCCGTTTCTATAGCCACTCTTAGCTACAACGTATGTAGGGGTCTAACTCTACATAATAAGTCTTAGGCACCTAGAGGTATACAAGGTATTCATCAGAATTGTTGGGTCGATAGGGCATCCCTTTTTTTTGATAGTATTTCCTGCGTCATATCTGGTAAATAAGCCTCATATTACGAAATGATATAGTTAAAGCAAAAATTAGCGTACATATTTCATATTTCATATTTGATATAGGGCTGTGCTAGAGAATCCCTAGGTAATATGCCTTGAACGCGGCATATCTCTGATTTGCCACGAACTACTTACCATTAAGATCTAAGCCGCCATATAATAATATGCATATATACTTTAATCAGCGTTTCTAACAGGTCGAACGGTTTTTTGATGTGTTTGACGTTTTTACCGCACAGACAAAGAAAAAAATAAATTTTGGGTTTTTTGGCCAATTAAAAGTGTGGATTTTCGATTTCTTAGTGGATACCAAAAATATGAGGCTATTTAGACCCCTGTCAGGCCTACTTTTAGTCTGTACCCTAGCGGTGAGCCCTTGTAAGTTTACCTTGTTCATATATAGTGCACCCCACAATCTTAACACCCTTGAGGGTCTACAGTACGCCCCCTGTAATAATGTTATTCAGCGGACCCCTAGAGCTACTTCGCCGAGATCCTGAAGCGTATACTAGAGGGCCCAAGCGCCTGGCGGTCCCTCTTCGGTGCGCTAGCGAAGAAGGACCGCCAGGCGCTTGGGCCCTCTAGTATCTATTGCCGCCCTGGGAGGTCGTTATAGTTTTCTGAAAACGTTGTTTCGGAGTATTCTATGCTATAAAACCCTGTTATAATACTTGAGATATTCTAAAGGGCGTTGTTTTATTTAGAATTCGAAGCCCTGTTTTATATCGTGCACGTCCGAAAAAGTAACATTATTTCAGGGGGTGAACTGTACATAAAGGCTGTGAAGGCGCCTTTGCTGCTAAGGTAGCTAGTATAAATAGGGGCTTCAGGGGTTTCAGGGGCTGATATTAGCCCTATTATGCTGGATGACTAAGTCAAACAAAAGTATGAATTTCGTCAAATAAACAGGCTTTTTATTTTTTTATTTGAATTTGATCAAGAAAGAAAAGGGCGATTTTTTTTTATTTTACTCGTTTTATTGGAAACGCTGACTTCAATTATCCAAATATGTGGACGGTTCGCATCACCTATCTGGTGGTTAGGTATGCATCTTGATGTCTTCGAGATAATATAAATAAAAAAATAAAAAAATAAAAGGTGATGACTATTAGTTGGAGAGTGATATCGATTATACCACATTTGTCCAGTACCTATTCGAGTTCGACGAAGTCAGTCGACATGTCTACCCAAGCACCTTATCCTATGAGTCTATATTTAGACAGACTTTACTACAACAGTTTCAGGTTGATATTTCTGGAACGAGGGCAGGGGGGGACTCACCTTTACGATGCGAATTAGTTACGGTATCGGGATATCAAGCACTCTCCTATGCTTGTGGCTCTCCAGCTGTGACTAGGCCAATCATTGTCAACGATATGAACATGATGGTTACGATAAACCTATACACAGCACTCAGGCACTTGAGACAAGAAGATTCCGATATTGTGCTCTGGGTTGATGCTTTGTACAAATTTCAAACACCAAGATGTGGAATTAGGTAGTTAAGGAATCATGGCTAATGCAGCTTTGTAGTGTATTAATCAAGCCGATCTTGATGAACGAGAAGCCCAAGTACGGATCGTGCGACGGATCTATCACCGTGCTAAAAATGCAACTGTATTTCTTGGTGACGGAACAACTCATGCCTCTAATCGTCTTCGGGCGTCAAGGTCGCAACAGTTTCTATTCCATGACGACTTATACGATAGTCAATACGTCACTCAGTTCCCCTCTTGTTGTAGAACTATGCCTGTCTGTAGGATATGCAAAAGTTTCAGCATCTTTTTCCTCATTAGCCTGTTTGCCTAACAAGAAAACCAACATATGCGGGCATTGCTATCCCTAAAACAAAAGAATTTTGCAGACGATATTTGAAGATCTTCGAATGATGCTCTTAAGTCGGTGGTGGAATCGCATCTGGGTTTTCCAAGAGGTTAGTTATCCGCCATCTAATTTTTCTGTTGGTCTTAGGACAAGTATACTTCAGTATATCCATTTTGTCCAAATCATTATTACCTACCTACCTAGGTTAGGTTAGGTACCTTAGTAGTTAGATGCTAATTTTCAATTACTGACTCACAGGTTATCGTATCAAAAAGGGTTCTTATCCAGTATGGCTTGTCAGAATCTTCATTAGAGCTGTTTATCCGCGCGGCGCGGAACATTCAAATGTCGAGTGTGAAGGATTCGCTATACAAGAAATTGTCTCCCGATAACGTCAAAGTACTACGTTGGTTTGCGGAAAATCTTATTGATATCCAGGAAAGTCGGAGTCTACATACCTCTATTAGCTATGCCAATACCGACAAAGATTTTGCTGGCAAATTGCTGCTTACACTGCTACGAGCAACGGGTAGCCGTAAAGCCTCCGACGAGCGAGACAGAGTATATGCACTTCTTGGTCTTCTACCTTTTAATCTCTATATCTCCCCTAATTACCGTTTGGCAACCCCTTGGGTTTATACTCAGGTCGTTCGAAACATCATACCAGCAACTAGAAGCCTTGACGTACTTTGCGGAGACCTTGGATGAAAGAATAGGGGGGACCTCCCGTCATGGGTATCTGACTGGAGCGCCATTAGCCACAACGAAGAAATTCGCCGCACGAAGGTCGCCACGAAGTTATACAATGCTTGTGGAAGCTACAAGTTCGATTGTTATACTTCTCTAAAGTATTTTAAGGATATAATTTGCAATAGCGTTGACTATGAGGAAACGCCCACCACAGGAGCACCTATAAGGGACGAGGTGCGTAAAATATTTAATCAACTCGGTTTACGCTCTTGGCATTTAGATGAAAATCCCATGAGCAAAGATGAGATGGATAAGATGCCTGTCGATGAAAAGACTGCCTACAGGCCGCAGTTTGGCCACTTAGGAATTCCAGGAGCTTTCGTTGGCAGTATAGAATACTGCAGTGACCAGCTTCTTGACCTCACAGATGTGAAGCAACTCAAGTCGCTCTTAAGCCAATGGTTTTATACAAAACATAAATCCGACATCACTCAAACTGATATAGGCACACTAAGGACTCTAGTTTTTTATTTAAAATTTGTTTCTGGGGAGTTTAAAAGACTCGAAGGCGTAGATGAAACACATCTACAGGCGTGGTTTGAAGCCAAAACATCATCAGATAACCAGGTCTATCAAGATATATTAGGTTTCAATTATGTATTGAAGTTCATGTCTGCTAGGCGACGTTTCTTCTTGACTCATAGCATTGCTTTGAGATGGGGACCCGATGGCCTAAAAGCTTACGACGAAGTATACGTTCTACCCGGCGGCAAGACCCCTTACGTACTTCGAAGAGTCTCTTGGACGATACGGGAGCACACTAGGCGACAGCAGCTATTGGAGCGATGGGCACGACGGGCACGACGGGGTAGGGAAGCAATAAGGGAAATGGAAATGATCGGTGACTGTTATGTTCACGGTGCTATGGATGGAGAATGTCTCAATCTTTCAAATATGAATGGTCAAGCAACTATAATTGTTCAAGAGGACTGCATGCACGAATTGTTCGAAATCGAACGCTTGTTTAAACGAAAATTCGACGACATTCTAAGTGAATATGTACCCGATATTCGTGAGCGTTTAAACGAAGGAATTTCCGATACTCTGGGGAGATGCGCGGGTTACGATTGTGTAAGAAAAGGACGATGGCAGCCGCGTTACCTTATTTTTCTGATGTAACTAGCAAACGAGCCTGGCGATCTGGATCGTGCATAAAATGTTGGGTGCTTACGGGCGTTTTACTTTGCTATGGGTTCTTCACTAATACTGGACTCCTGGAGGTATTTGCCATGTGACCTTCTGGTGTACTTTAGGGCGACTCTTTTATCAAGCGGCACTTTTTTCTACATGATTGTAATCCTTATTATTTGTGGTATACATTAGGTACCTACCTAGGTAGTTGGTATATAAGGGTCAACCACAATGTATGATACTCTAATAATATCACGAACTTTAGCGCCAGAGAGTAGTTATTGATATCTCCATATACCTATAAGTGCCTAGCTGTTCAAGTTAAAATCGTAATCATACACCCATAACTCCCTTCTTCATCAGTCCCATTCGCTATGCAAATATAAACCATTTCTTACTAGTTTCTTCGGGCTTCTAAAACATGTCCTTAAAATGTTCATATACACTACTACCCATCTCATAAGGCACTGTAACGCCCCCGTTAACAGGGGGCGGTCCGGCCGGGGTCGGCAGGCCGTTCAGGTTAGTACTCTTGCCCATATACCCTTCGAATATCCGTGACATCTCGCTCGAGATTTGGTGCCCATTTTGTACGCTACCGAACGACGGGGACACCCCTAATACGGGCGAGGGTTGCGAACTGTAGCCGGAAGCTAGAGTGGGAGGGGCCCCCATCTGACCGGTGGCCAGTCCGGCCATCGTCAGAGCCGCGGTAGAGTGAGGATCCTGCGCTAACCCGAGATGAGGGGCGACCTCTCGAAGCGACTTGATGGTGCTCCAAAGCCGTTGCGACACCCATGATTTAGATGATAAGTCCTTTACTAGCTCGAGAGCCATATAAAACTCGTTGCGACATGAGGCGCTGAAGTTAACTGGGGCGTGGCACGATGCTAGGAAGAGTACCGCAATAGCTGCTAATAGAAACTGATGGTAGAAGACCTGGATCTTCCTATAGATATTCGTAGTATTGTTTAAGTGCGTTAAGTAGCAGATTGTATTTTTGGCTAGCTTGACGGCACGCTCGGCGAATTCTATATTCTCCATGATGCTGCCATGAGTGTGCAGAATAGGGGTATATAGCCAAGTACGAATCTGATTAAAGCGGAGGTAGGTCCATATCTGTAACCGCTGGATATCGTATTCCTTCTGTGAATTTACTGGAGGATTTAGATATCTAGGCAGTGCCTCCCAATCGGTCAATTCAAGTTGTGTTTCTCGGGGCACTTTGGTATACCATTCCTTTATTCGACGATCAAGTTCCTCGATGGCACCTGGTTGTACGTCTGATTCTGTGCTAGGCTCAAAACTTCGTACGAGTCGCCATACGCTTGCGCTGAGCTTCGAGTAGTTGATCATCGCGACTAGATAGGGATGCGAATCCTTCAGAGCAAGATTAGACTTGATCAATTCCTCAATGTCAAACAAGGCGAGGAGGTATATGCTTTACTATGCTCGGCATGATACATCAATTACTTACAGGGTATTGTAAACGGGGGTCGATCTCATCGTCCGGGACGGTAAATGGTAAGCCCGTGCCAAAAGCCCATCGGTGGTCCAATACATAAGCTGCCCAAAACGTGTTGATTGCATTATTTCGTTCCTCTTCGTCGCCGATTCGTTCGATCGCATCACGACGGTGAAGCCCAAGTTCGAAACATAGACGAGCTACCTGTCCCATAGTACGCCATGCGAGGATTTCGTCATTGGCGAGAAAATAATAACCCGCCTAGTTATGCGAAATATTAGTCTCTAGCAACGCTGCGAGTTCGTGAGATCCCTTATCTATATTTGAATAGGGACACGGCAAGGATTATAGTTTAAATATGAAGGTAGGCAAGACATACCACAAGAGCTAGTATTGGCATATTCTTCACATCGCTTGGATCGGACATTAACATTCTGTCCGTCGTCGGTCGAGCGCTGAGAAAAAGCCTATGGGCTTTCTCGCTATTTCCGTGCTCCTCAACCTGCATGGCACAGCAGACGACGAGCTTGAGCAGTAAGGTATTGCGATCTTTGATACCACCCTCCTCTCCGGACCAAGCGACCATGAAGTTCTTCCTAGCCGCCTCCATCCACGAAGATAGGGTCCGCGCATGACGGATGACCGACTCGATTTTAACCACAGGATACATGATGCCAATTTCCTCATCATGCACACGACATAATCGCACCAATTCATCCTTATCAAACTCCCACAACGGATCCCGAGACGGGCCTCCAGGAGTACTAGCCACCTGAGCCGTCAAATTTGGAGACGGCGCGGGGCTATCTTGACCGAGGCCCTCAAACTCGCCGACGTCAGGTGAATTGCTATAACCCATCTTGTGCAATGTATTCTTAGCAACATCTAGGCTGAATCGCGTGCTCGTTGGTCCGCGGAAGCCGGGCTGTCGAGTTTGAGGCAATTCGGATGCTTTGTGGATAGGCGTGATGGAAGGGACCGAAGAAGCCGAAGGTGTACTCGAAGTAGATGGCAAAGTTGGTGCTCGATCTTGAATAGGGGCTAAGCGGAATGCCTCCGATCTAAGGGCGTTCATGTTCGCGAATAGTGCGTCGACCTGCTCTTGTAGTTGGTTGACTTTATTTGTCATCTGTTTGAACTCATCCGAGTCCTTGACCGAATTTGAGCAGCAATTGGGCGCGTATAGGCATTGGAGGTTGAGATTTCCGCATCTTTGGCATGGTGTCTCGCCATTGCACTTGATCTTGCGTCGCTTGCACTCGTTGCTGGACAAGCATAGACGTGGTCAACACAAGAATTCCCGGATTTACGTCGCGTGTCGTTACGTAGCCCGCGCGCTTGAGGACGAAAAGACTAACAAGACTCACCAAGCGATAGAGATATATCTATTCCTCTTACTCCTTTGCTGCCCCTGACCTTTCGGACCATGCGATTCATCTATGCTATTCTTCCTCTTAGCACCGGTGGCGGTTGTAACGCTGCTGCCACTGTTGTGTTGTTGAGATCCGGGGGACACCGGGGGCACCGAAGCAGGGGTCTCGCCCAGAGTAGTCAAGTATCGCACCTCGCCGACTTGATTCTCGAAGAACTCCATGATGCCATTCCCTCCGTATCGCCCTTCGCTCTGCTGTTACTGATGCCGCTGCTATCGCTTGCTATTGCTAGCATCGTGTTATAGTGTAGTATAGAAACAGGGAGGGTGAGGGCGAAAGCAAAAGGACGATCGATCGCATCAAAACTATCTGCCCCACTGCTACTGAAAGGTTCGGGGACTTTATTAGTTCCTGTTATGGATCTGCTAGGGCAGGGACAATGCTTCTGTTACGGGGGGAGGGGGGTTATCTCATATGCTTTCAAAGACATTGAGCTACGCGTTATTATTGGTCTCTACATACATAGAAAATACCTCGGTATAATTAATTAATGGAACTTGTAAGCTGAATAGGGTATGTATTGTACAGCACCTGAGGTAGGAGTTGATTATTTTTAACTGTAACATATTATGAGGTAGGTATATCCCTTAAGTCGATATTTAATCCACGCGTGTCAGTGGTTGCGACCATATACATTGCACCGACCCTTTTAGTGGTCGTAAATGTTACCTAAATGTGTTACTATTGCGCACGTCCAAGCTAGCGTCGCGAAGAAGAACTGTTCCAAGAGCCAGTGCTATGTACCTACTATATAGAGTAATGAGCTAATCTATACCTCCTAATGCTAACCTAGTATAGTAGGTCTACTTCTTTGTGTGTCATATCGAGATCTTCAGAGCTTACATGGCAGGCGAGAGCCAAAATAATTTGCATACTTCATCAAACTTGGCTAACATCTGAAATAACATCTATTACTCGTAACGGCAATTCATTAAATAAAATAAAAAACTACCAAAAATAATATTATTATTTCAAAGCTAAGGAAAGCTAAGGAATATTTTAACGTCTTTAATTTTTAAATTTAAGCGACGTAAAGTGGTACACGTTTTATTCGAATTCAGTCATTTGTTAGCCAAGTTCAGTGTCCAAATTATTTTGGCTGCCACTTGCATGGTAAGGCTCCCGACCAAACCGGTCCTCGGAGCTTTACATCCTAAACTTCATACAAAATATTGGCTAGTGTGTTTATATTGACTTCAAGTTCTATCAAGTTACGACTCATTACTAAATTCTCTCTACTAGACAAGCGCTTCTGGGGTGACGGATATTGTAAATACCTGCATAAAGATGTCCGTCCAATTTCACCCACACACGATGAATACCTGAATTAAAGCATGTCGGGGTGGTGGGGAAAGCCACCCGATTAAAAATTGCATCAGGAAAGCAGTAATGCACACGTCACCAAAGACGTAGCCCGATAGCTGAGATGCTGAAAAGGAGTTAACAATAGTGCCAACAACGTTTATATTGGATGATTGTATTGGACCATATATTCTTGTTGGCTTCGTATCAAAAACCTGAGGGGTGCTTACATTAACAAATCCCACAAGGCGGACAGGCATTTCAAGAGTGGTGGAGTGCATAATGCTTGCAAGCATCTTGTCTAACCATATCATCCCCGACAAAAGAGAAGAAGAAGTTCCTGCTCCCTGTATTATCCAAGGACCCGACAATGTGGAACGGCAACCTGACTGGTGTTCGAGAAGAAAGGTCCTTTTTTGTAAGCGCCGTGGACCACACTTATGGGTATGATACCCCTGTAAATGTCTCGGCTTATTGCGGCTGACCGAAGCCCAAAATCTACCTACTAATTGCCCTGCGCCAACAAGACTTACGTCCTTAGCACCACAGAGGCAGTGCTGGTGTAATACAAAATACAAATCCAAGTACATAGCCCTAACGAGGGCCACCATGATAATGACACTCATCAGTGGGCGGTGCTTTCCCGCTCACTCGTCGCTGTGCGAAGGCGAGATTATCTTCACGAGTTGATAGACACTTTGATATGGAATTTAAGACATGCTGTGCGACGTCTGCCGTGAAGGCCTCGAAGGTATATGGGATCCCGATAACAACAGGAGGCTCGGGCTGCTCAAATATTTCCCCGACATACTAGAATTTCAATTCAGAGATGTCGAAGATGGGAATTACGACGAAGAATTAAGTGAGTGCTATGGGAAAAAGTACCTAGGAGTTGAGGTTAATTAAGTTGGGAGTGCCTTTACAAAGTGCTTTTACTAACTGCTCACAAGGCAAGCTACAGCTACAAGAGGAAGAACGATATGTTTTCGGTCACCATGTAGATTATGACTCATTGGTACGGTCGAAGGCGCTAGGTTGTGTCGTTTGTAACGTCTTTGGCGATATGAACGATCGTGACGATATTAATGAGACTTTTGCGGATCGAGGTTACTACTCGGTATTCCAAGTAACCTTCCCGCGGAGCAATACGTCTTATCCAGAGATGGTTGTTTACTCAGGTGATGTTCTTGAAGCATTCGGACATATAATGGTTCCACACAATGGTACGAATTCCCGCGTCAAAGCCCAATGTTTGTAGTAAATTCGCCTAACTTACAGCGATAAAGAAAACGACCACGTTAACTCCACGATATCGCATTCTACCTCGGACGCTCCAACGTGGGCTATTATACAGAGTTGGGTAGATAGATGTCTGAAAAGCCACGAGTCATGCCTTCACCAAGCCTCGGAACTCTTTTCGCCAACTCGTCTGCTTGAACTACAGCACAAGGGGGCCGAAAAGATATTTCGACTCGTCATGCAGAGCGAATTTGATCCTCATGAGAGATATATCACTCTGAGTCATTGCTGGGGACCTAAGTCCACTACTAAGAAGTTACAGCTTGAGAAGTCGACCCTAGAAGAGCTTCGGAATGGTTTGCCAGTAGCTATTCTACCTAGAACTTTTCGCGATGCATTTGAGATAATTGAGCGTTTGAAAGTTCGGTACTTGTGGATTGATAGGTTATGCATAGTTCAAGATTCCGAGGAAGATTGGCAGGCGGAAGCTTCTATCATGGGGCCCGTCTATAGTCATGGCTTATTGAACATCGCAGCGTTAGGTGCTACGGACGATCAAACTGGTTGTTTTTTTGATCGTGACCCGGCACTGGTTTCGCCTGCAATTATTAATCTTAGCCCCCCTGGAGACAGCATTGCGAGATTATACCGTTTCGAGGCCGAAGAAGAATCATGGAAGAAAGACTTCGAGGGGCAGCCGCTTCTCTCACGTGCGTGGGTCTTGCAAGAGAGAGTCCTTTCGACCCGGAATCTTTATTTTGGAAGCAAACAAGTCTTTTGGGAGTGTTTTGAGACCCAGTGCTGTGAGACTATCCCAAACACCAGCCTAGGTCAATGGCATTCGCCACGTTCACTTGCACCTAGCCTAAAGTCCGGTAGCCGTATATGGAAGTCTCTTATAAATCCTAAAAATACGGGATCTATAATCTCGAATACAGATTGGCCAAATACAATCCAGATATACTCCCAGTGCAATTTAACGTTTCCCAGCGATAAACTCGTGGCTCTCTCAGGTTTAGCAAAACGAATAGGTGACGCAATGAGGGAGAGTTATGGCCCTGGGAACGATATTTATCTGGCTGGCTTATGGAAGCATATGATGCCAGAAACGTTATTTTGGAGACCTAAGGTAAGGGCACGTCGCATATTTCCATACAGGGCGCCCTCTTGGTCATGGGCGTCCCTGGATGGGGAAATTTCCTATTATCAGACAACCCCGATCCAATGGCACGTCGATATCCTCAGGGGAGAAATAACCCCCCAGACGGATGACTTGACGGGTAAGGTTGTCGGCGGCACTATAACATTACGCGGCCATATATGTACGGCACGAAACTTGAAGTTGCTTAAAACGGCTCCCGTCGATTGCGACATGTATTCAATCGGCTCCCTTCATCACCCAAAAACCGACAGCCTCCTTGACTTTGCGAGTAGCTACGGAGGCCATATACAATTCGACGCTCCAGATGACTTCCACGAAACAGTAGTCATCTTGATGTCCGGCTTTCGGACTCACCCAAAATTTTCCTCCGTAACCGTCCATGGTCTAGCTTTAGTCTTCGCCGACGAGTCACGGTCTTCATATCGCCGTGTCGGGTGCGCGAACATAAAAGAAAGTGTCAACTTCGAGGAATGCGATTTAGAAAGAGATCTACTTAAGGAGTTACCACAAGAAATCATTGAAATTATTTAGGCCTGGAGTTTCCATCGAATAAGTTATCTGTGGATTATGATGTGGACATATTGTTTTTATCGCAAAAACGACGCCGTAATTGTTAACTAGCATATACGCCTTATATGTGACAGTTTTCGACGCTAATCCTCGCATAGAAAGTAAATAGGCGACGGAATAGGTATTAAAGCTTTATATAATACCAATAATTACGAAAGTCGGAAATTTCATACTGGCGCTAGGTACTGTTCATCATACCCGCCTACGGCTAGAGGGGTATTTAAGTTTCTTACGAGGCCGAGCTCGACTAGGAAAATATTCAATCAGCGTCGTTTCTAGCACACGTTATTACAGAACCTAGGCGAAGTTATGAAACGCCTCACTTAGTATTGGGGAGGATTTACGTCGGCACCAAAGTTCCTAGCCTACAAAGGTACCTAAGTAATCGTATCTTGCAGTAAGGGGTGATTTATCCAGTATATGAAAGCCGAGGATTGCTGATGATAAGGTATGTGCTATGGGGGTGGTCCGTAACGATATGATTTGACGAGGCATAGTTTAAACTTACGATTCAAGCTGCTATTCTAGATGCAATTATGGTAGGATTATGAGTTAGACTAAAAAGGTTGTACAATAGATAATGGCATCCGAGCTATCTATAACAACATATCCAGAAAGATAACCCCAGAGCTGGGCCGATATAGAAGAGACAGGGTAGGAGCATCCAAAAGAAGTATTGAATAGGAAGCGGTTATACAAGCAGATGAGGACGCTTATTCGGCTGCCTTCTTCTTCTTCTTGCCGCCAAAGTTTGAGACGCCCGGTGTCTCGGATAGGTGTATTATAAGCGTGTGCCAGTCTTGTTTCATTTCCTCCATTTCGTCGTCTTTTTCTTCGTCATATTCCCTATGCGCGGGATACCACTCGAAGCCTTCTAGGTATGGTTTTTCAAGTTCATCGTCGGCCTTTATTAAATAACCTTTGTTAGTCGTAGGATTTGAATCTGATGGAGGGATAGTGCTTACCCGCTTTCTATTCTTATGATAGATGGCGTCTAATGCGTCCTTGATAGTAACGCCTTCTTTGAGGTTCCGCGCCGTTACCACCATACCAAGATTGGTTTTCAGGTCGATTGACTTCACAAGTGGTGTAACCAAGGGCTTCTTCAGTATGTCTTTATCATCGATTTTTGATGGAGACGTATTGATCTTCCTATACATGGCAGGAATGTTAGAAAATGAGAGACATCAAGTAATGCCTGTGCTGGTAAATACGAAACATTAAGGCTTACCATCCTGTCTTTTGTGTTTCCGGTGCCAATTGGAGCTTCGTCCTTGTTTCCCCTGAATATAGAACCAACTATCAGCTATAATCCGATGCATCCCATGAAGCCTTCCCAGGTTTAGTACTTACACACGTCCTTTATACTTAGTAGCGTGTTGTTTGCACTTGAGCTGGCCCTGCGATGGGAAATCTTCTCCTTCGGGGGGGACTCAGAGAGACCTTGGACGGCCGAGTCTACTCTGGTCAGAGGTTCCGCCATAGTGAGTTGATGAGAGGTATATAAGTATAGGATTAGAGCTTGTAATATCCTAGCTATTATGAGCCAATGATTAGTATTGGCTGCATAACAATAGTATTGTGAGAGACAATAGAGCGCGGGGAAGCTACCTTATTAGCTAGTGGTGTTGACGATAGCAATAACTTCAAGAATAGCAATGTCTGGAGAGGCAATGTCTGTAAGACGAGAGAGAGAGTAGAAAGAGGAGAAAGAGGAGGGGAACGAAGAGCTATTTGAATGGAGGGTAAAAAGGTAAAAAGGGGCTTGGAGAGGAGGGAGAGGGGTTCTGGCCTCCTCTCCTGTCCCGTAATGTGCGAGGAACCATGATGGATCGGCAACCAGCTGATCTAGTTTCTGCTGCTAAGTTTCGTAATGGTTGGGCGGGGTTGAACTACAGTAAGGTGTTGTCGAGACACTGGTGGTGTGCTCATCGCGTGACCTCGAGCTATGGTTCGCTGAGCTCCGCCGGTGAACTGTAACATCATACTTACGCAAAAGGGTATAGTGTTAACGATTTATTAATATACGTACATACAGAAAGGTTCAAAACCTGGGGTAAAATCCGGGGCGGGTGGATAAACTCCACTGTCCTGCATACATAAAGTATTATTATCGTACGTGCAATACATGGTGAGGCAGTTAGCCTAGACCAAAGGATTCTTCTCTCGACACTTACGTATTGTTCTTGAAAAAAGTCCAACCCACTAACTTTGGTCAGTTGAGTCCATCGAATCTTATATACTTATATTATCATTACGCTATCTTAATAGAGAACCTTAATATATGCGAGATGTAAAATTGTCTTCTAGGGGGATATTAAGCGTGGTTGTTTACATGTCGTGATTGATCGCCAAGGTTGCTAAGTCTCACCCGCGATGTTACCCCTAATGCCTCTCGTAATGCACGACATAAGTCGTTAATTAACTCCAAAACCCCCATCGTTTCCATATTCTTTTCCGCCACGGCATTACTAGTCTCCCTAGCTGCCTACCTAAGCACCGTGTAAGTTAAGGATATGCATTTTACTCATGCAGCAGCCGATGCATCCGGCATAGCCAAGCACTCATCCTTTGGAAACTTCCCCTCGATCTAGGTCGGTATTCTTGGAGGTCAAGCTTCTTTGGTTGCTCATGTCACCGTCCCGAGTCTATGAACTACCTCCTATAAAAGACAATACAGAGAGAAATTATAAATTAGAATTGTGGTTAGACTTCGCTTTACTATTAAAACGACGAGACCACAGGCGATTAATATCTCGTGTCGCACTAATTTAGGAGGTATCTAATAGAACGGGGGCTTTTCGTACCACAATTAGCTTCATGTATCAATTCAAATATAGGTAACTAGCGACCTCGAGAAGTTAAAATAAATGATTTTTCTAGCTAAATATTGTGGATTGTAAATAGGAATATATTTCCTGAAAATCGCAATAATGGCACGAAGGTATTTATAGTCTCCCTTACAATTAGAATTGTATATGGCATCATTCGTAGGTACCTAAGAGTCTCTTGTAATTTTCAGTTGATTACGGAAGTCCCCATCAAAAGTTTTGTCCATACGTGCCACCTGACAGCTTTTGATGCAGCTGTCTGGAACCTGACACCATGCGGCAGCCAAGATTAGAAATGTATACAAAATTTTAGCTTCAATATGCCAATAAAAACATTAAAATTGGATCTATTATAAGTACAAAAGCTTCTTTATACGCCTGTATAACTTTTATTGTTTGAGGAGAAGATTTTGAGTTATTACCTATGTATAAGCGAAAGTAGTGTACTATGGATAGTACATGCGCTCGATGGCCTACAGCTGTTGCCAAGCCCTGTCAAAGCTAGTCAAAAGCTAATAAGGGCTGGCCTACGGACAAAACTTTTGATGGGGACTTCCGTAGACGCTGTAAGACCCGATTGTTTATCGCCGGAAGCCCCGCGCCTTGCTGCGTTCGAGGCGTAGCGCATGAATTCCGAATAAGAGACGGCCGTAAAAGTGAATTAAAAGCAAACGATAATATTTCTAGCAACTCTACGAGAATAAGATATCGACCGCTTGATAGTTAATATAAAAGGTAGCTAGGAGCACGATACATGTTCTAACTCTATCCCGAGTTGAGCTTATAGTTTCACCAGCATCACAATCTTCGCCAACTATTAAATAACAAACATGATTAGATTGCCTCAGTTAACCAAAGGGCGAATGAATATAAGATAGTGGTATATGGGGAATATGTGTCCAACTATGGCGACAAATTTCGTGTTCCAAATCCTCGTCATCCCCTCCGGCTCTCCTACTCGACACACACCCTAGTCAATTGCACGACCTATTGTTATAATAGTGAAGGTTTCCTGCCGCCCTTATCATTCTTGACACGAAGCATATCCTATTTCTGTCCTTATCCCGAGCCGGTTACTCCTTTAACGGTATTGTCTAAGGTCCCCGTGACACCTTTGCCAACATTTCCGACTCCCTCGGTTGCCGAGCCGGCCGTGTTACCGAGCCCCTCGGTCGTCTTATTGAGGGCATTTCCGGCGCCTTCTGTCGTCTTGCCGACCGCTCCACTGAGACCTCCGACAAGTCCCCCCTGGCCTTTGGCCTTATCGCCGCCCGTGACGACGTTTTCGACGCCCCCGGTCACGCTACCGAGGAACCCGGCGCTCTGGTCTTTGTTACCTGTACTATCGGTCATGATTGAATGTCTTAGGTATGTGTTTGCGAATATCTTGTTTAATATGTCTTTGAGTATGAATAGTTTAAGTAAAAATTCATAAAGGGGGGTTGGTAGGCAAGGTATAAGGAGATAAATTGTTCCTGAATTAGGAGGACTAGGTAAGTCTAAGTCTTAAGTTGCCCCTTTAAATTCCCTGGCGCTCACGCAAATTAGGTTCGGACTTGATGTTTTTATGACGTATCTTTATCGCTTCAACTATGGGATATGAAGTCATACAAGTTGTACGCGTGGTCCGACTAAGGTACATATGGACGACATCGATTAGTTTACCTTCACTTACTATAACTGCTCTGAGCCATGTACGGATCATCAAAACAGGCATCAACCTCTCCACTCTAGAGTCTAAAGTTCACGTGGACCTAATAGTGCTCTGAATCCTTAATCCTGGATAGTTTATACGTTAAGTTCTCATGGTTCCTTTTTGTATCCGCGTCTATGACGACCTACTAAACTTTACTTCCTTGACATTAACTAACACTACCACCAGAAGCGTATATCCATTTCCGACTACTACCATCATCTTAACATTTCGATATCGTAAGCTTATTTAGACAAGGTCAGAGTGGGGTTCGCCTCTGTATTTGGGTCTTGATGAAGCTCGGTTGATTTCATGGGTACTGAAGATAGCTGCACGCCACTGTCGGCTCTCTGCCTCCCTATGTGAGGTTCTGTGGTTTCATCGGGCTCTGGATTCTCCATAGGTTTATCCGTATCCGTCGTCGCTTGCTTTTGCTTCTTGCCAAACATCCCAACGGACGGTCTCGGGATACTCGGCATTTGTGGCATTTGGATAGGGAGATATGATCTGAAACTAGACCCCGACGGGATTTGAGGTATCTCCGGAATCTTTGTCGGCACGTAAGACTTGACTCCTGTACCTGCTTGTTGCGCTATTCCCATAAGGTACCGCATGTATGTCCTTTTCTGCGCATCTTGGTCTTCGCTTTCTGATGGAATCTCGTCGTCTGGTAGTGGTACGATAGACGCTGCCACAGTGATATCTAGTGGCGACGCGTCGGGAAGGTTGTTATCATCCCCTTCGTCTTCTACCTCCTCCTGACTTGTGTCCGTGCCTTCAGCGATGTGGTCTATCTTCGGAATCTCCTGGCCGTCTTCTGTTGTCGTCATAAGTTGGTCCACAGGTTCAGGAGGTGGAGGTGATGCGAATCGAGGATCATCGAATATGTCGGAGTCATCATTGAACCAGCGAATCACGAGGTTACTAGCCTCTTCCGTCATTTGTTCATACGCTTCGTTCTTATCTCTAATAAACATGCTCACGTGTGCTTGTACCTCGTCTTCTGTCTTTTTGATGACCTGCCGCGAGAAGAGAGGATAGGCCAGATTATCCTTCGCTGGTATGGCGCAGAATGTGCGCTCGGGGACAAAGTAGCCGCCATGCCACATACCATTTTCCCCTAAAGATGTGTAGAAGTCGTGGATGCCGATACCCTTAAGTGCTGCCATACGTTCTAATCTTCGACTTAGTTCTTGTTGCTTCATAAGCGTACCAACAAATGTAAAATGGTCTGAAAGATATTCGAAGGAGCGTCCAACATTTCCACGGTTAATATATGCTAATCCCTGGCTCAACGTATCCATGCCTTGTTGATACCCTTCCTTGACGGACTCCGTACTGATGTTTCGCATGCTACGCATACCGTCCATAATCTGTTGGCGGTGTATATAAGCCGTGACACCTCCAGCAGCTATCGCACCAACAGTTCCTGTGCGTACCGCAACAAGTTGCCACCCCTTCCAGACCGACCGCGAAGGCTTTGCAGATGGCAAATGCGTCGTCGCCGTCGTCTGTTTGAAGACTGATCTCCCAAGAGCCGACGGAGCTGCTGAAAGAGCCGTCATGACATTAAAAACCGTACTTACTTTCTGGTAGTTTGAGAACGCGCCATAAACAAACATAGAACGCGCAAGGCCATTGTAAGGGGTGTCAAAGGTTAGAAGCCCTTGGATTGGGGGAAATAGTAGTGACCCTTGTTTCATCTCATCCAGGATTAGGAAAAGTGTATCTGAAGCAACAAAACCCCTAAACATAGTATGAGCAATATTTCGCATATGTTGTGTCTGTGATGGTCTTACCCCATTGAATGCGCAACTAATATTACCCCCACATCTCTATCATGCGGCGGCCACGGTGTCTCAGTGTGCGCTTTTCTCACGTCCATTACTCGCTCTTTCAACCTAATCTCTCATGAGCGTCAAGTACCTATATATATGAGACACGTTCATCAAGCAGGACTTACCATGATAGAAAGGACACACAGCATTGTCCTAATTCCCCCTTCGTCTCATACTTTGGATACACTATAGACTCAACATTGTGGTCTGGAAGCTTCTTGGATACTTTCTCCTGTAAATCGACCGGGAAGGTTTTAAATGTGTCATCGTCGCCCTAATAGAATTATTAGGAGGCATATTGACATAAGCTCTGTTTGATCCTACCTTGAACCCGTGTATGAAGCAAAGGAGCAAAGTCCGAGGCATTGTATTTTGGGACAGTAGACCTTAATAAGAGTGAATAAGATGTGCGGACCGAGTTGATATAATGAATGATACTGCGTCGGAGTTGCAAGGAAAGAGTTGATACAGCAATATGGATCTCAAAGGCGGGAGTTTTTAGAAATGAGGATTTTAGTCGTGATGGTCACGAGCTGTAGTCCGGGAGATGTAGGTTTAACCTCGCGGCGTATGTCATCTACGTAGCTACTCCCTCCTATGTAGGCTGTCATACCCTCCCTACCATTGTAAAACGTCATCAATAACGTCACAAATACTTCAGAATCCCGATAAAATTCCTAGTCCCGGTTCAATTATAGATGTAGTCATAGTATCTCCTGACATGTGAGTCTCAGATTCGGTACGCGGGTACCTTATTCATTGTCACTGGCAATGAGGGTATTCCCAATGACGAAACTGGACAAATATTACATTCGGGAAGAGAAACATATTTTAAATACATTTGCTAGCTACCTAACTATATCCTTCAGTATACTCATTACTCATCAAAGGGGGCTTTATATGTACCTCCTCGCCCTAAATATTTTTACAACAAAGAGCACCCCTTACAAGAGGGTAGCCTAACTACCCAAAGTACCTAACCCATCCAGACCTATATCACTAGAAAATTAATAAACTATTTTTTCTTGACCGTAATGGGAGCCAACACTGAGCCTAACCCGAGGCCATCCAATACTTTCGTAAGACCAAGTCCTCCGAGTAAGTTATTAACCAGACCGCCTAGTCCAAGTCCATTGAGTAGTTTGCCGACGAGTCCCAAGACACCGCTAAGAAGGAGGCCGACAGCCGCAATAATCTGGAAGAGAGGCTCAGACAGGAGTCCCCAGAGTGGGTTAATCGCTTTCTTGGCGTGCGGAAGATTCTCCAGCTTGCGCTTGGCGCCTTCGATGGTTTCGGTCACGGTGCCCGTAAGCTCCTTCAACAGATCCGCGAGCCGGTATTCTTCAGGGCTTGCTTCACGCGCGGCCGTCCTATGTTTAGCATTAGCCGCTATACGGCCGTCGGGATCAAGCCCCCGGATCACTCCGTTGGCTTCGGTTAGGATCTTGCCGCCTTCCTCGATCAGGGGGCGGACTTGTTTGACGAGTTCTTCCTCTTCACGTTCATCTTCGGGTTTGCGCTCTTCGGCGTCGATTCTCTGCATGTAAAATTAGCATCCTCGAAAGAGACATAGAAAGCAGATAGAAAAAGAAATAGTTGTAGACGTACCTCAACGATCATTTTGCAAATAGGCTTTATCTTGTCCAGCGACTGCTCAATACAGAAGGAAATTTTACCAGCAATCTTTTGGTCTTGCTCTACCTGTAGGCGGGCTTCTTTTTCCTCCTCCGTTTCTTCAGGCAGTTCGGCGAGCAATGAGCAGTGACCTAAAACATTTCCTTTGCTGTCGATAACATCACCATCGTCGTCGATCTTCTTACCTGCGCACTCGCTCAATATGCCAGAGGTAAGTTTGCCCATAAGGTCACCATTCTCGTCGACGACGTTGCCCTCGCGATTAACCCTCCGACCTGACATAGGATTGATGTCTTTGGGGATTGGCTCTTCCTCCCAACGCTCAGCGTGACCTAGTACGTTTCCGTTCTTGTCACAGATGTCGCCGTCGTCATCAACCGTGCGTCCGAAGAGAACTTTAGGCTCACCGGAGACGAGTCGGCCAACTACGTCGCCACCAGGTGTCACAACCTTGCCTTCCTTGGTGACGGTACAGCCGGGGAGCTCAGTGAAAGGGCCCTCTTTCATACCCTCGCGTTCGGCTTCGGGGATTAATTCGCACTTCCCGATGATATCGCCTCCCTCGTTGCGGATGAAGCCATTCTTATCGCACATCCTACCAATCAAACGGTGGAGGTCGCCCTCAATGACGCGACCGTAAATATCGCCGTGACTGTCGACAGCATTGCCGGCTTTATTGATGCGCTTACCAGCTAGGGCAGACATATCAACTTCTGGTTCCGGCTCAGGCTCTTCTTGCTCCCATCGTTCGGCGTGGCCCAGTTGGTTTCCTGCCTGGTCGAGGATATCGCCATCGGGATCTACAGATTTTCCCTTAAGTTTCTTGGGATCACCCTCGACCAGAATCCCAACTTGCTCGCCGTTGGACATAATTCGGCCTTGATCACCAACGATAGCATCGGGGTAATCTTCAAAGGGCGCAGGCTCCTTTACTTCCTCGCGTTCGCTGTCGGGGATAGGCTCGGCCTTACCGATAACTTGCCCAGCATCATTGAAGATCTCTCCGTTATCGCCGACCTTCTTACCGACGAGGAGCTTAAGAACGCCCTGGACGACACGGCCCCAAATCTGACCTTTGTCATCTACGACGTTGCCTAGCTTATTAACCTTCTTATCACGAATCATCGAGTAGTCGACGGGTTCCTCCTCAGGCTCCGCAGGCTCCTCGGCTTCGGCGCGCTCAGCGTGACCTAGTACATTGCCATTCTTGTCAAGGATGTCACCGTCGGCATCCACCTTTTTCCCAATTAATTTTTGGAAATCATCACCGACAACCACACCCACTTGGCGGCCATCAAAAATAACCTTGCCAAACTTATCGACAGTCGCGTCTGGGAAATCTTCGAATGGCGCGGCTTCATTATGGACCTTTTCAGGGAGAACTTCAACCTCGCCGATAACATTGCCTTGATTGTCCCAAACCTTCCCAGTCTTGTCAGATGTCTTTCCGATCAGCTTACTGATATTTCCGCTTTTGACTTTACCGATCGGGTTACCATTATCATCTACAACGTTGCCGGCTTTATTGATAGTCATGCCTTCAAGGATGGAGATATCGGGCAACTTGGCAGCTTCGAGCGCCTCAAGCCGGTCTGCTGCCTCGGGGACTTCTTCCTTTATGCGTTCCATTATCGTCCCCTCAGGAACCAAGTCAATCTTCCCAAGAATGGTTTCATTGTCGCCAAGCAAGTTTCCCTTGCCGTCGACTCCTTTGATATCTTTACCGACCAAGTTCTCCAAGTCTTGACCCTCCGCTAGCTTGCCAAGGACTTTGCCATTCTGATCTGTGGCTTGACCATCCTCGCCGATGTGAAACGGTCCGTCAAACATGGCGATGACCTTTTCGGCAACAGACGGAGCGAATGATGGAATTTGTATTGGCGCAGCTTGTTGAGCCTGTTGTTTCAAGGCGTCAAGGCGCGGGGCAGCTTCAGGAACTGCCTCCTTAACACGCTCGGCAATCGAGCCCTCGGGCGCAATATCAACTCTCCCAACAATGGTGCCGCTGTCGGCTAGGAGGTTTCCCTGATCGTCTATGCCTGTGACATTCTTGCCGACTAAGTCTTGAAGGTCCGAGTCGTCGGCTAACTTGCCGATGATCTTGCCATGTTGGTCAGTAACCTTGCCACCGTCTGCGACTGTAAATGGGCCTTCGAATAAAGCAATTACTTTATTAGCCACAGATGGTGAAAGCGGCGGGATATCAATAGGGGCAAGCCCTCGCTGAGATATTCCACTAGCCTCGGAGCCTAAGTCAAGATTCGAGCCAGGTTTGGAGACCATATCTTTGGCGTCAACTGTTCCCTTTCCTTCAGCCTGTTCCACACCCTCGGCGGCATCTTGGGCTGTTTTCTTAGCAGCCTCGGCGTCGTCATCGGTATCACCTACAGCTCCCGGTGTGTCTTCAATTCTATCGCTGACACTGACATCTTCGGTTGTTTTCTTAGTAGTCTCAGTGTTGCCATTGGTATCACTTATAGCTCCTGATGTGTCTTCAGTTGTATCGCCGACATCTTGAGCTGTTTTCTTAGCAGCCTCAGCGTTGTCGTCGGTATCACCTACAGCTCCCGATGCGTCTTCAACTGTATCGCCGACAAGACCCGTAGTATCCTTTGATGTATTACCGGCGACATCCGTGGCAGGTTTTGCTCCAGTCGCCTCCCCAACAGTATTTGCAGTCCCTTTTACTGTGTCGCCGATAGCCCCGGTAACGTTCTTCGTGGCTTGACCCAGGCTGCCGGTAGAGGGCGCACTATCGCCACCACCAGCTTGACTTGGTTGTTCTCCCGAGATATCTTTTGCAGGTTCGGTGGTGTAGTTAAACTCGGACGGGACGTCACTCAAAGGCTCAGCTCTACCGACTACACTGCCTTCCTCGTTCAGCACATCGCCCTCTTGCGTGACAATGAAGCCGGCAAACTTGTGCGCGTCGCCTTCGGTTACTTTACCAATAGGGTTCCCGTCATCGTCGGTCACTTCTCCTTTCTCGTTAATGCGGCCTGCTGCCGGAACCATCTCGCCCTCGTTATCATCTGATATATCAGGGACAGTCCTCGGCACTGAGTCTTTCGTCGCCGCTGCTTGGCTGTTCTTTTCTTCCTTAGGAATAGCCTCTGGATCCTTGCTCAGCGGAACACTCTGCGTTTCACCGGGTCCAGACATGGCAGCAGGATGTATAAATTCTACTGAATTTCGGTCGGTGATATTATATCGTCTTGTAGGCACTATTGTGGAATTATGTTGCTCTTGCTGTGATAATGGGGATTTGGGTGTATGATTGTAAGAGGTAGTCATTAGATTCCGTATTTCGAGACTTCTTGGAGCACGAAAAAGCGAATTTAATCTTTTATGAAATATAACCACAATGAAGTACTATAGGAGAACTCGGCCCCCAAAGCTAATATACTTACGTCACAGATTTAGGGGAGCAACCAACATTGCTTGAACTTCAAGGAGATATGACAAGGTTTCCTTCCTCTTCCCACGCTTGAAAACCCTTCGTACATTATGTTCGACGTCATGACAATGGTTTTTACTACCTAAGGCAGAGCTCCGAACGTCATCAGTAGGGAATACCTAGGCAATGAAGTCCCGGAGCAAACTTCGCGATGAAGTTTAGCCACGAATGAGGCTGCTCTTTGGTCCATCTCTCCGTCGATCTCTGGTCGGTGTGTGCCACAAACAAGCACAGGGTGTTATGCCTGTGGCTTGCTGGTCTGTCCGCACCAACCGACCCAGGGGGTTGAGTGTTTCGTAGGGAGATCGAATATACAAAGTCACCATTCGGTAAGGTTTACTAAATTCCAGGAAGAAAAACAGGGTTGTTGTTCTTAGCTTTAGCTACGAGTCCATGGGCACCCTAGGGGGTATCGTTTGCGAATCTCGATCGTAGTGAACTACCAGCTACCTACCACACCCTCAACCCACCCCAACTGCATACGCGGCATGGATGATGGTGGTTATGGGATAGTGATACCATGTAACTATCGCCTTTAAAGGTTAAGCGGTTTGGTTAGGTTAGGTTAAGTCCCGTGCTGCTTGATCGATTCTGTATCATATGTACTTCAGTAGTATTAAGCAGTACTGGATAATCTTAAAAGCCATCTTAAAGCTACAAGTGTACTCACAGGGTCATCTTGAACTAGATCCGACTTTTCTATTCGCCAATTTGTACCAAAGGGGTGTCCAATCACCAACTCAAGTTTCGATGCGGGATGTATTAACAGTTATGCTGGTAGGCGCGCCACCCTTTTGACGTTATTCGGCCGCCCCAACCTGTTTTCATTGCAGTTCAGCAAGCCACATTAGACATGGGTCACCATCAGAAACGTCATCAGCATAATTCAGTGGCGTAGGCCTTCTCTCGGCCGACATGTCGTTAAGAGTCAAATTGCTCACATCTCATATTCTTATATACATGTTAGGTACACGTTTTCTAAAGATGATAGCTTGCTTAGGTAGTTACACTAATTTCGTAAGAGGTACACCAGTCGTATCGAGACTTTTAATTCCCTATGAAATATCGCCACAGAAGTACCCGTACCTCTGGGGCAAGAAGAAAAAAATCCAAGATTATAAGCTCATTAACATTTACCTCCTATGTTACGGGACCTTGTTTGATACACCATTGGCCGTAATTAAAAAACACAACTCCAAATCCTAAGATGCACATGTGCCTATGAATCTTGTGGCTGCCTTCCAAATGTCGTAGGGATGCGAATTGTAAGTTGAATGCCATCAGTCGTAGACTTTACATCCAGGAAGATGTCTGAAGGGCTCCCTCCCGTATGAGCATTTACTTTTGGCTTTTTATCATCAGGTTTTCTATCGTCGGCCTGGGATTCGTCTGGCTTGGGCCGTTTCATAAAAGAGGCCAAATTTTCATTCTCCTCGGCTTTCTCGTTGAAGCGACCGATGATGTTGCCATTTGTGTCGAGGATGTTGCCATCATGATCTATCTTCAACCCCTCGAGCACGTTTTCTGGGATATCGACAGGCGGCGGTGGGCCGGTAAAATTCTCAGAAACGTATCCAATGACCTCTCCGCTTTCTCCGTAGACTTCGCCGTTGTCTGCAACCGTTCTACCCACCATGGCAGGGAGGTCTCCTGTCGCGTGACCGAGTACCTTTCCTGACGTGTCTACAATGCTGCCAACGTCGTCGATAACACCTCCGCTAAGGCCATGTGCGAGGCGAAGAAGATCAGGAGGCGGCGCCATGCCAATGGGTGTAATTTTTGGGATCTTTGGAATAGGGGTAATACTAGAAGACGGAGAATGCACAGAAGGATCCAGGACTTCTTCTGGTGGATCTTGTAATTCGTCCGTACCCGGTAGACCTTGGACATCAGGCAGCTCATCGGGATCGCCGAGGCCAACTGGTATATTATTTGCTTCCGGCTTTGCCGGTTCAGAAGGATCGCGTACAGTCTTTTCAGGGCGAGGAAGTGGAATCTCAATTCTTCGTTCAATATGCGCTGGTTGGTCCATGTTGTCCGCAACCTGCGTATCGTCATCTGAAACTACTGAAGTGCTAGGAGCTGGATTTTCTTTCATGTTGTCCGTAGTATCACGAGCCGAAATACCTGATTCGGGCTCTTCACTAGATACCTTAATATGAGCTTCCTCCGAAATGATACCCGTGTTGGGTTCGCCGATAATATTAGTTGGCGCAGCACCAGATATCAGTCCTTCCGGGCCGCCCGTAGCCCCTTCGGCCTCTTTAGAGATATCTGCAGGTCGATGATGATCCGGTATTTTATCGATAATATTATTGTCTTGAGTTAGCTTCTCAGTGTCCGATACCTTCGGTGCATGTTGGCCAACTATGTCATCATCTTTGCTTTCTCCCTCAGTTAAACTTGTAAAATTAGGTGTCTTGTTCGCTATGTCGCTAGCTAAATTTTCGAGTATTTCTTTCGTTCGTTCATTGGGAGAAACGACTGAAGCATCATCACTAGGTAATTGTTTGATCGACTCAGACACCGCATTCACTAACTTGTCGTCGTGACCCTTCGTTTCAGTATCGGCTCTCGGTGTTTCAATGCCGTTGCTAGCCACGCCTGTCTGGTCGTGTTGAGTCCTGCCAGTCAGCGCGGATATGAAGGTACTCATTTCTGAATTTCCCTGTTCGGCGAAATATCTAGCAAGGTCTGTCGGCGAATTTAGGGTGTCTGTAGGAGTCGAGGATTCGGGGAGATCGCTAGTTGAAGGGTTGAGGATTTCTCGGGGCTTCCCACCAATACTCTTAACAGCGTCATTCGCCCGATCCGAAGCGTCCTCCCCGACTCTTAAATTATCTACAATACTCGTTGTAGTCTCTAGTAAACCACCAAAAGTATCCGTGCTTCGACTAACTGTCTCTGTGGGAGTCAGGACTTCGTGAGATTGAAAACTTGAATGCGCGGAAGTAGTTGGTCTCTGCTTTGTTGAAGAAGTTGGCGTCTTCATTATACTTGAAGGCTTGAATAGTTTCCTGCGTGGTGTCTGTGGATCCATCATGTCGGCTATAGATAAGAGAAGGTTTCGAACTTGCCTTGCGTTAAAGAAGATAAATATGGCAAGGTATACTACCAGGATGATATGGCAGAAGATGTCAAACCCGGACCCCGGCGGTAAAGGGGGCATTTACTCATATTTACTCATAGATTATCAACAACCTAGTGTAAATCGCGTGTCATGGATATGGAAAATACTAAATGTAGGCGGAGGGGCGATAGCGTGAAACTCTATATACTATGTAAAGCGAACGTAAAATATCCAGGCAGCTGACCCTTACAAGTTACCATATTGTCATGGTACGGGACTCGGTCTCAATTGCGTCATAGGTAGCAGGGGAAGGTGAATCCTATGTAAGCAAGTCTCACGAGCCGGAGAGGGGAGCCCTATCAAATCGCAATCCATGTAACCCATATATGCATTGGGCGCGTACCTATGCATAGTGTATGTGGCTGCATGTGTTTTGTTAATAGAAAATCGGAAACCACCATACTGCGGTGAAAATAGTGTAGGTACCTGGATTGAGATGAAATAACTTGTTGCGGGTGAAAGAAGCTTAACTTAGGAAAAGGCTACACAAGCTTAGAACTCCATGTGTAGAATAACCATACACTTGTACTGGAAGGGGAGATAAGATCAGTTAGTACTTATGTTCTGATGGTGTTCTCCCTTAAGATAATTAAACGGAAATGTCGGATAGGCGAGGCTCCAGCTCCAGCATGGTCGCTGGGCTTGTGGGTTGGATGGAAACTCGCGTCCCCAAATACATATGAATGGGTAAGCTATCCAAGATGACTACCTCCTAAGTCAGCAAAGTGCAAGACAAAAGGTGGAAAGATATGTGCGATGTGATGCATAAAGAGGGTGTCCGAGTGATTGAAAAGTTGGAAAACTGGGAAAGCTTAAGCAAGAAAAAAAAATTACAAATTTAGAAATTTCCCCGTTAGGTGTGTGTGGCTTTCAACACAAAGAGGTAACAGCCACATTCTTCCAGTACCTAAAGTACCTAAGTACCTAGGTACCTAACCTATGTACATACCTTCAATTCAAATTTATCTTTTACGTGTTTCGGCTTTTCACGCGGAGGCTTCACAAAAAATTCTCGGAAGGTTAAGAACAACAAGTCCGAGTTATTAACTAATATATTATACTTAATTACTTCTATACCCTATTAAAATAGAAGCACCATGATGATTACAGAATTATATCGTTTGTATAAGACATATTAGTGCATCTAGCCCCTCGACCCCTCCAAAGCATTTTTACCCTTAACGCCTACGAAGATCGAAGCGCAGCAACGTCTCCGTCTGCCATCGGCACGAATTAAGATGTAGCCGTCATCGCATATTCGAAACGACGAAGGATTCGTTTCGTAACTCCATTTCGCCCGCACAGCTTACAGCCAAGTGGTGCAGGCTCATAACCCATCCCTATTAACGGCGAATAAGACTGTTAGTCAATTGTCTTCTGTTAAACCGAACTAGCTATTCACTTTTGTAGAGTCAGTTCAATGGGTATCCAGCGTCTCTCAAACAATCTCGAAGTATTCTAATGCAATGGATATTCAAGGGTAAGAAAAGGGTTATCAACACTTACAAGAGAGACAAAGTCAGGTCACCGTGGATCCGGGCCTTTAATGTTATCTCTATTTCGAGGTTGATATCCAACCGCAACCTCAGTGGATTGTTTCCTCCGTCTTGATTATGAGATTGTGGCTGCATCTGTCGTTGGGGTTGGAGTTGGGGTTGGAGTTGGGGTTGGAGTTGGGGTTGGAGTTGGGGTTGGTACTGTGGTGGCGGTTGACGTTGCCTACGAGGTGCCATCTGTTTTTCGTGGTCATTTTCTATATTTTCATCCATCCACGCCGGTTGATTATGGCGGCGGCGGCGTCGTGATCGACCCGGCTTCTCTGACTCGACGCGGGCTGGTTTAGGTTGAGGTTGTTTCTTCTTTTCAGATTCGGCCGCGGATCGGGCCTGAGGGTTAGCCTCCTCACCCTTCTCGCTTTCGTCCTCGTTCACTTCGTCGCCGCGTTGTCTCGCTTTATTTTTGTCATGTTGGTCGCTATTTTGTTGCGATTGACCCTGAGTGTCATTCTGATCTTCCGTTGGTTGCTGTCCTTCGGCCTGCGAAGTTGGCTGCTCTTGTTGCTCCTGCTGTCCCTCGCTTTCTTTGCGGGGCTGTTGAGATGTAGTATCGTCGTTAGATGACCCCATGTTGTATTGATACACCAATAACTCTTCGATTTATTTTAAATATTATAAACGGTATCAGATAAACCTAGAATAAGCCAATACTTGGTGGTGATTCTGTATGTTTTATTTTCTGGATTCGAAATGGCACTTCAGAAAATACCTTGATCTATTCATCCATACACTGCGGTAAGGTCGGATAGCCGTGACGCAATGGGGGCACTTGACTGAGTCGTATATTTAGTATTGATGACCTGGTCCAACCGGCTTATGGCATTAACCCCTGTCCACTCTCTCCGTTTACCTAGGCACACTACCTATTGCCAATCAACACCCTTCCACACCAAAATCATATGCATTACACTACGGCACATACATACTATGTAGTAGAGTTTAGAGAAACTCCCTGCATTCGTGGCTGAGAATAGAGCTGGTATAAGAACAGGGTATGTGGCGTTGGCTCAATTTCATCATTTGAATACCTAATGTATGTACACTCCTGTACACTCCAAGGCCTGCACGAAGAGGCTTAAAACCTGTTTCGTCACTCCACATGCTTCAATGCTGCCAAAATTAGTCGCTACTCCGACAAGTATTACCTCCTTTTCTGTTAGAACACGAGGGATCTTCTAAGTGTTAGTGGAGTTCATCCGTTGTACTTCTTAATCAATTGGCCTTATGGCTCTTTCTACGCTCGGGTTACTCACGGTCGGCGCCATCCCAACAGTCATTGGTGTCGCAGAAGCAATTGACGCCCAGAAGAAGCAGAACCAACAAGCGAAGGAGAGAATAAAATTCAAATTAACGGCAAACTTCTCACACGACGACGTTGCGCCGCCTCAAGATGCTTCCGTAGTCTTCAAGGACAAGAAGGTAAGTTTAGTTGGGTGAATGTTGCTGCCAGAACCTATTTCGCTTCTTTAGCTCACCAACGGCCAATCCGTCTTCTAAACTCTCTGACAGCTCTATCTAAACCACCCGGCATGTCCAGTGGAGGGTTATCCGTTTAACGGCTTCTATTTTGGTTACCCCGGACTCGAAAATCACCAAGGCTTAGTAGCGCCCATAGCGGACGACCCGCCGATGCTCAACTGGATATACGCTGACAAGGACACGGGACTACTACGTCACGGGTCAAGATCGGAGACCGTTGGCCACATCGTTGGGCCTTGGAGTTGGACAGAAGATGAGGAGTGGTTAACACTCGAGAACGGACAGAATTTTGTAGCCGTTGAGAACGATGAAGGTTCGTGGAATATTCACTACGACAAGGAAGGAAATTTAGACGAGATATTGGACCGCGACGTAGTAGATATAAATTTGCATCGCGAGCTGCAGCTTGGAGTATCTAGTCGATATACGAGGGACTAGCATATAATTCGATAATAAAGTACATGTTCGGTACTCCTAGGTAAATACTTGTTTTTAGAGCTAACTACATAACCTTCACGTTATACCTACATAATACACCCTATCCGCACCCCCTGTCGGATGAGAGCTGGCGATCGACTAATACATACCCCTTAATCTGTGGCTTGACGTCAACATCCAAGCCACTCAGATGTTGCTACACCCCAACTATCCCCGTAAGTGTATCCAGAAAACAAGATAAGAAAACAAGATGATGCTGTAAAGATAGACCAGTAGATGTAAAACTTACAATTGCGCAAAATCAGGGTTTTGAATCGGACAATGCATACCGGGGCAAGTTTCCCGATCTAGACCACTGGTGACGTGTTATTTCTAAGTATGACATTCATGCGAAGACTCCCAAGGCCAAGACAACCTCTTCCTAGGTACATGTAGCTGTATCTTATGTAAATATACCTATCTTATGTGAATACTTGAACCCGAAAGATATAAACGTTGGCGATTTATTCCTCAATTTTCCCTTACGAAAGGCAATTTCTCAAATCTGTCTCCTTTGATCCAGTTACCTATATTTTCCATTCTCACAGCTTAGTCCGCTCAGATAATTCATAAGTATAATCGAAAATGTCGTCCCCCAGTCCCTCAGGATCCGGATCTAAGTCCCGCCAGGGCCGTCGCCGCAGCCGTAACCAATCCCGACGACAGGAGGCCACTGCACCACAGCCAGAACCGCAGAACCAGCGGTATTCGGAAGAGGACGAAAGCGCCGAAAACGCCGAAGCGGCACCTCAACCACAACGACGACGACGCCAGCGCAATCAGCAGACGCAGCAGCAACAGCAAAGTGGAGGGCCGCTCGGTGGCATTGGCGGAGGTGGTATTGGTGGCGTTGATCAACTGCTCCCCGTCAACAACGTCGGCGAAACCGCAAACAACCTGACGAACTCGGCGACTGGTACACTTGGCAACGTTGCTGGTGGTGCACTCAATCAGGGCGGCGGTGATGGCGGAGGTAAATCCGACACTCTACGTCTCAGGCTTGACCTCAATCTTGAGGTTGAGGTCACATTAAAAGCGAGGATCCACGGCGATCTAGAGTTAGCTTTGCTGTAAGTGACCCCTTTTCTTATTAAACCCTCCCAAATTTCTCTCAGCCATTTTCTATTAATCATCACTATCGATCGCATGCTTCTTCCTCCAATTTTCTAAATTACTTCTATCGCTGCTGTCAATACTGTAGTCGGCGTGCGCACCATTTCTTCCTGTTATATTTGACGTTCAGTTGTTCTGATGTACTTTCAAAGGGACACTGCTTGAACATGACGGAAAAAAGTTTTGAACATTGTATTTTGGTTGTTTGGATTTGGGAAGAAAAAAAAGACTGCCGCATACGAATAGAACGCCCGAGATGACTATATGTATACATATCTCCGATGATTTAAATGTCTCATGTATACCAATCATGGTTTTTGTCAACTACTGTTAGTAGAACTTGCTAATATTTCTAGTAATGGTTAAGAACAAATTGATGGTACTATTTACCATTTCACACTCTTGACATATAATCTATATGGACTTTCGACTCAATTAATGCTCGAACTGGCATGGTCTCATAAGGGGTTTCATCATTTATATCTTACAATACTGGATAGGACCCGCCTTCTTTCAATTAACTCTTTATTGATATACGCATACATGTATATAAGTGGCTACGCATGTAATTCAAGTTATATGGGACAATAACTACATAAATTAGCTATTTGACCCAGTTGTCCCCCTTGTTGCCTAAGCTATTCTCAGTCTTACACCACAGATGTGAAAAGTAGTTTAGCAATATCCTACTTTGAAAGGCATATCCTAGCGTGGGATATATCGTTCTGGTCAACCCTTACTTAGCTTCCCATACCTCATTATTCTGTATCAAATATACGGAGAGGGATCATATCAAACGTGGCGATGTATATGTCTGTCACTGCGATCCTACTGATTGCTACACCTTCTTAAAAGACACTAAGTGCTCTTCGGGCATGAACCCTACTAGATCGTCACTCTAGTTACCCGTAATATACGAGATCGTGTTACAAACTTGGTTTACTCACTCTACACGATATCACTAAACGGTAGCCGATAAGAGATTCCCTCTAGCCGAGGGCGATTTAAGGCCTATTTATAAGTTTATATAGTCGGCTAAATAATATGAATTCTAGGCCTGACCTCCCCCCACCCTCTCCCCGGAAATTCATCGCATAGGAACCGGCCTATATGGTAAGGCTACCCAATAGTAGGGTTAATATGGCAGATTTAGCCAAGAGATCTGGGGTAAGGCAGTTCGCTAGACATAAGAGGGTTTCGCTTGCGCCTATTTTAGGAAGGCAATATACTGCCACGCGCTTATCGGGCCGTACTCCATGCCCATGACCCAGAGTCAGTATACAGCTGCACGGTTCTGTCTGGGAACCTAGGGAGGCGAGTGCATATATGGCATACCTCTTCGGCCGGACATCCGAAACTCGACGCGCTTGCCCCAGCAATAAGTTACAATATAACGGCCTTTTGAGAGCCAAGCATTTTCCAATGTGACCAGGATGGTATATGAACTACTTGGTTCGACAATTTATCGCGACAAAGATTAAATCTTTGACGCGGTCACTTGGACAGTTAATTATTATTAGCGCCTCGCATTCGTCGCCGCAATATCTGATGACCTACGTGCGGGAAAATTTGGTGGTCACTCTCTTTGGATCCGTCGTACATCGGCAAATGCACCCATGAGCGTTAAAGACGTCGTTTCGGAGCGCTAATGGAAGCAGATAAGGAATAGCCTCATACGGCAAAGCTCAGCCATGCGTCCATACTGGGTCATTCCTATAGCCCTAGACAGCTAATACTGACCGCGGACCCTGTCTTCCTATATCTGAGAGTGGGTGTATAGTAAGTGCTATTCGTAGCTAACGTAATTATCAACTAGCCCTTCAGCCCAACATCAGAAGATCAGTACACTCGACGCGGCACCCGGCATCACCAAGTTAGAATGATGCATATTTCCTCGACGTGGGGTTGAAGGGACCGTAGCACACCATATTAATCCGGGCCTACACCACATCGATGGGCCGTGATGTTCTCACTATTCTTTTTCTTAACTACTATAGCTACCTAGGTACCTACCTAAATATTACTACATAAATATCCGCCTACCCCTTGTCTAAAGAGTTCCTTCGAGCAAGTCAGAAACCGCCAACACCCGGGGCCAATTATCTGAGTCTTAGTCGAGAATTTTGACTTGCCTTCCTCCAGACAGCCTGGAGAGTGAACGGTGCCACTTCGAAATGTATGGTAGTGAGTCAGTACCTTCCAGGTACAGGATACTCTTCACCAAAGCGATCACGCAGTTCCGAAGATATATCGTTCCATATTACGTTCGTTCATAATACTGCCAATAAAAGGGGCACTTAGTCAATAGCCTTGGCGGAAAACCCAAACTAAATTACTAATCCGTAAGTACCCAAACTCATATATACAAACATGCCCCCCATATCTACCCAACAGCTATTAGGATATCACATTCTTATTTCATAGTAGAAAAATATGGCTACGATCTATTCCTATCCATCCCCTGATGTGGCAGCTGCGATGGAAGCATCTGCTACCTGTCAAGTAAATATCATGGCCGGTATCATAGGCATCATGGGTCTCTGCTGGATCCTCCTAGCTGCTTTCTTCCTTTACAACTTCTATGGACCATTAAAAATCGTCAATACGGAGGATTCCATAGGCCTGCGTGTAGTTGATGATGGAAGTGAGAAGAGGTGGTGGATCGATGATTACGATGTTGTGTAGAGTGGGCATATGTGGAAGTTGAAGAAACAAGCCTTCTGTGTCTCCGGTTGCAACGGGGGACCAATATAGTCATTTAGGTTACAAATAGGAACATGATTCCGTAACTAAGGGCTATGGGTATAAACTTATATCTTGTGACGTGAATATAAAGGCTCAGTCTACTAAACTTCATGCAGGCCGCATCGCCAAGTCGATTCAACCTCTTGGCATATAGGTATTCACTTGCTCATCAAGGTAGTTGTGCGTATATATGAGGCAGCGCTGGAACGCTTTATCTACCCAAGGTATATGTCCCGCAGTTATTTTGAAGAACATAATATCTGTATTCATAATATAATATTCACTCCGTATTGATTTCTCGAGCGTATGCCAACAGCACGATACAGTCACTCAACGTAGCACTCCCATGATATACTTTAAAATAGCGCTATGTCGGCAGCGTCGTTTCCAACATCAGAAACAACGCAGACCTAAATAAACCATATCTCACTTAGAGCCTTGTGGTTTAGTATGTTAAACACAATCCGTGACTCTTTTCTTTTGCCTACCTGATATAGTACCCCACATATACGATGCCTGCTACACGGGCCTTTAGCCATAAACGTATTCTTGGAAACCCAAGGCTAAAGTGCCGGGATGGAAAAATTCGAGGGCTTGGGATTGGCTAGTTCGGACCTCGATCTCCCGAAGCTTGTTAATACAAATGAGGGATCTGCTCTATTGTAATTATGAAGTTAGGAACTAGGTCTGTGGAATTTGTATCTTTCATTTTCAGAACCGTCGCAACCATGTTTATTCGTCAAGCTCTTCGCTTTGCTTTATCAATTGGCGTTTTCCTTAATCTATCCCTAGCTAGTCCGCTTGATCTAGGTGAATTAGGTGTTCAAGCCGAACGCCGCGCAGACACGGGATTAGTTGGATACCTTGGGGCTATCTTCCTCGGGGCAGATCCTTACGTATACTTCTATCTTAGCAACGGCAATGATCCGCTATCCTTCAAAGCGTTGAACAAAGGCCAACCTATTTTACGGCCAACAAAGGGCACTGGTGGTGTTCGAGACCCGTATCTTGTCCAAGGCGGCGGTGCCGAAGCTGGCCGAAAATGGTACATTATTGGCACTGACCTCAATATTGGGAAGGTGATTACATTGTAAAAGTCCCATATGTCGTCTCTCGCTGACAGCATCATAGACAAATTGGGATGCATCCCAACGAACAGGCTCAAGGGGCATATTCGTTTGGGAGAGCACTGACCTTGTGAACTTTGGCAATGAGCGATTAGTCAATGTGGAAGACTCAACTGCCGGTATGGTGTGGGCTCCGGAAGCGATATGGGATGCTTCAAAAGGTTGATAATCCATTTAAAACATATATGTAGAATGATACTGATGGATGCAGGCCAATATTTAGTCCACTGGGCTTCGAAATTTGTAGGTCTTGTCGTGTAAAATCAGCGGAGGCTCTTATTAACGGATTGTAGTATTCCACGTCAGATAGCGGGCATACTGGTTCTCCATCCAATATCCGAATCAGATATGCTTACACAAGTGACTTCAAGACTTTTACGCAACCCCAAACGTACATTGATTATGCGCCGACCAACATCATCGACCTAGATATTGTACCACTGGATACGGAAGGAAAAAACTACTTGCGATTTATGAAAGATGAATCAGCTAAGACTGTGTTTTTGGAATATTCCACCACGGGGCTTTTTGGAAGCTGGACTAGAGCCGGAGGAAACAATGGTATCATCACATCTGGTGTCGAAGGCCCTGCCGCATACCGCGACAACAAGGACGACGCCAAGATCCACGTCCTCTTGGATTTCTACGGTGGCGATGGCTATCGACCGTATGAGAGCACAGACCCAAAGGGAAACAAATGGACGGCAAGCAGTCGATCCGGGTTTCCAAGCAATCTACGACATGGGAGTATCCTCCCTATTAACCAAACTCTATACGATGCGCTGAGCAATAAGTTCAGCTCGTAATAGATATAGATTTGGTTAGTAGCACACGTAGGCATTGATAGGTAGTTACCTCGCTACCGAATAGTATTTTGAAAAAAAAAAAGAAAAAAAAAGTCCATAAGAGGAGAATTCTTGGAGTTCATGTTGTAGTGTACGGTACCTTTACCCGGCCTTACCAACTAGGGTCAATGCGATAATCTGCCCACTGACCTCTATCCGCGTCTTTAAACATGTCTATATTCCCGTCGATGCCATTGTCCCCTACTTTCCAGACGCCAGACTCAACCAAATGTGTCCAGGCGTCGAATAGCATTTCTAACCTCTGTGCCCGCCACCACTCGCCACCAAACGGCTTAAAGCCGTGCTGGAACAGATCCGCTACACTTTTCTCTTCTACTAGGTTCATATCGCTCTTCCTTGCCCCGTGCTCTTCGCCAAGGGCACGAAGGGGAAATGGAAGCAAGAGCCTGAAGCCCTCTTCAGCATTGTCTCCGGAGAAACGTTCTACAGATTCTGAATAGAGTCCAGATAGGATCGACTGACCATCTGAAGGTATGTCCTTGCTAAATGCCCGACAGAATGGATTAAACGAGACGTAGGAATTGGCAGATATTAAACTCACAATCCGCTTCTCCGCCGATGCGAAGATAAGGACAGGCGGAATTATGGTGCCGTGCTTAGAGCTAATATTCATAACGGTATACCTCTGATTGGCTGCGAATATAGTTGGGTTGTGAGGAATAGCTAAACCTGGAGCAATTCGGTCGAATCGTGGTCGACGAACACCTGATAGGAATGAGCGAATGAAGCATGGATTCGGAACAGAGGCTTTATCTAGGTCGGTGTGACTGAACAATGGCTTGTTAGAAATGGGTAAGAGTTTGTCAGGTGAGATACGGGTTTCGATAGCTTTTACGAGTCGTTCGAATGAGGCAATTGCACTAACTACTTGCATGGGGCTATAAGAATGCCAGATCCAGGGGCCATGTTTCTCATTAGGTGCACTGTCTTGAGAAGCTGTGATCTTGCCTATTTGAACCATGTGCCACCAGTTGCTAAGTATCGTCTCAAGCGAATACCACAGATGACGATGTCTCTCAACTGGTCGGGTGAAGTCGATATCCTCAACTCCGAGAGCCATGGTAGCACAATGGAGTTGTTGATCGTATATTAGACCCATCGCGTGTCCTACTAAGCCCGGATTTGTGTTGTATAAAATGAGAAAACGTCCGGGCTCGCTCAATGCGTCGTGATGGAGAATATCGTCACTAGCAAACATAAACTCGGGCGGTGAGATGCCTTCAACCCAGAAGAAAAAGGGTGGCAGCTCATCAGCTAGTATGATGGATTCTAAGAAAGCCACGAGAGCAGGATCAAGTCGCCTCCTGATTTCATTTGCTTGTTCCCCATAGTGATGGAAGAACGAATGTCGTTCCAAGTCGTTTATTTCACGCCCTTCCGCTGCCCAAGCGTATTCGACCAATTTGTTATGTAGTGCCGCGCATCTTGCATAGTCCAGAGTGTTATCAGTGCGTGCTGGACGAGTGGGCGTAACTAAGAGATCGTGTAGGCTTATTTCCTCGTTAATAATATTTGTGCACGCGTATTTCGTATACATCGGATGTCTAATGAAGGCGATGGTGATTGATATTATGACGACCAGTAAGAAGATGTTCGGGTTAAAGTATCTGACGATAAAGGTCGAAGTCATGATTAAAACAATACTGATTTAGGTATCATATCAACATACCTAAGGCATGGGCCGTTCACCGTGCGCCAGTGGGTTATTTCCAGCAACCTGACATCCTAGGTAGGTACCTAGGCTGTAAGTTTAAGTTGGTGCCCAGATGATCGATTTTATCTCTTCGGAGTTAGAAATCCAGTCATAAGTGCAGCTTTAAGAAATTTCTAATTGTCATAGGCGGTGACAAACAAGTCACAAGTCACAAAGTCAAGCCTCGAGCTAGAAATTCCGAATTTAGTAGCCCCCACATCAATAAGGAGGCATGTACGTACCTTAGGACTTGAATCAACTAAACTTAAGCGAGACTAGCTCAGTTTCAAGCGGCTTGGCAATTCTTTCCCATGTTCACCTTAACTTTTACATACGCCAATCTCCCAATCCCATGTGCAGAAAAGTCCATCCCGCCCTACAAAGGCCATTGCTTATCAACAATTCCTATCGCGAATCGCGATCAAGTCATAAGCACCAATGACCGGCTCCCTCGGCCGATTGTGCTTGACTGCGGTGGTCCGACTGGATGCCGAGTCTTCCGGTAGGAACCGTCACGGCAATCACATGAACGACAATACAATATGAATGTAGAAAATGTTTACAGAATGTCTAATAAGAACGTCGAGAATGTTAGAGTGCCCCAGCCGGTCCCCCGGTGATAAAGGGGGTGGAATCTCCTTGGACCCTTGGACCCTGAAGACACCCCCGGCTTTCTTTTTTTTTTTTTTTTATTAATCCGCCGCCACCCAAAGAATAAGACGGAAAGGGAGAAGAAAAAAAGCTTATTATTAAATAGTCGAACGGAAAGTGGCCCCGCTAACATTTCTATTATTATTATTATTATTATTATTGTTGTTGTTGTTGTTAACGTTCAGCCTCCTTTTACTTTCCTTTCTATTCCCTCACTTTGTGTCAGCATTTGGCAGAAAGCTTCGTCCTCATCATTACTTTCCTCCTACATAAGCTATCAACATGATATGACGCTTCGGGTAGCTAGTCTTCTTTTTCTATCTATACCGCCCCTTTCCTACCTCATTGTTCCTCCCTACCGCCTTGCCAAACGTCAATTATGCCGTGGGCGACAAATCCTCTCTTCAAGCAGACGGCGGAGCTCCCAGCTGATGTCGAAGCTGCCGCTGCTAACTCCAGTCCTGATCCTGACACCGATACTGAACCCGATCTAAGACCGCAACAGGATGTCGCGGGAAGTGTAGATGATGGATTTAAAGAGCCGACGGAAAAGTTCACTGCTCATCAGATCTTCTACATTTTCATTCTTGATGGACTAGGTGCCATGATTCTCTCCGGTGGTATCAACTTTGCAATTGCATATGGTATAGTTATTTATTTCATTTCAATTATCTCTTGATTCTTAACTTTCAAATCCCTAACAGAACGGTAGCCATGTATGCAACCCAAGATATCGTAACAAGACCTATTCGGTTGTGGTTGTTTCCGAATACTCTTGCTGGAGATGCGGCAGTCACCGTTATCATTCAGTGTCTCATTACATGGCACATAGAACTCTTCCTCGTAAACCGAGATCTAAGAAAAGGTGGCGTGCATCCGATCGGGTTTATCCCTGAACCCAAAAACCGGTTCATTCGGTGGTTTATGTTCTTAGACCGTCCCAAAGAGACGCACGAAGTTAGGAGCATTGTGCATTGGTTGAGTTTCTTCCGTTCTCAGATCCTCCGGGCTCTGCTGATCGCTGTGGCCTTCTTCCCCGTGATATGGGGGCCTAGCATCGGCTTTCTCGTTTTGGCGGGTAAATGGGAGGGCAATGATTGGTACTACGACAAAGTGTGGGCACCGCAGGTCTTTAAGCTCATTCAGGGAGGCGTGCTGGGGCTGCTGACCACACCGCCTATGGTGATATTCTGGCTTACGAGGTGTGGATGGGCGTTGAAGAATAATGAAGAGCGTTATGGCGAACGGTGAGCTTGGCAGGCGGTGTTTACGTCGCTTCAGAGGTAGGTATATACTAATAATGCATTATGGGATTCCTGATAGTGGATCCTATTCAGGTATGTTCTCGCATGAGAGTTCAAGTCCGGCTTCTAGCAACGGCCAAACAAGCAGGGCAACAGACGATTCCAATTTTAGGTCGTGTGCGCACTTAGTCGCACGCTGATTTCCCGCAGCCCTCGGCAAGGGCACAAGGTAACTGATCGATATTAAGTGTTCTTCTATGACTAATCTCCTCACTTGATCACCCGGTCACAGGTTTCCGGGTGTCATATACCTGTTATGGATAGCTACTCCTGTCAAGGCCATGAAGATGCATCAGTACACCGTAGCTCTAGCTATGAATTTCATCACATAATCATAGTTTTGATTAACATTTCACCTGACATAAAACGCTAAAACTTATAGCGAAACTCATCTCCAACTTTCCTCCAACCAGTATGATCTTGATGCATTAGCCTATATTCGTATTAGAAACATTTAAGCGCTATTCTACCTTCATAGACGACCGGCTCTCATACTCTGATAATGCAAGTGAAAGGACCAGTGTGCAAAGCTTAAGTTGGAGTGGGCACCGGCACTACCGATTCAATGAAGCCAGTAAGCGGTATACCGCTTCCGGTTGGAATAGGATGACTCAGTGTCACAGTCTCAATCCCGGAGATAAGAGTCGGGCCCGGAATCCTGTATGTCGACAGGCCATCATATATATACAGATGCATGCTAGGATCGTCCGGGTCATAGAGCTTCTCGCCGAGAATACTAGAAGGCAGTTCGGTACCGTCGCTAGTAATCTGCAAATTGATACACTGAGGATAGTTCTGCGCGCCGATTTCGCGCGATGCATTATGCAGTGAGATAATTTCAGTTCGCATGATATAAAAGCCGCAGAAACGGGAGCATGGTCCTTTGCGTTCTTAGCCCCCCTATGGCATATAATTTCTTCTGTTCAATATCCAGTCTAGTTCACATAACCTTGGTCAAGGGCAGTTGTCGACCAGCCAATAGCAAACGGATGACTACCCGGCTCCGTAGGGCGGAAGCCATCATATGAGAGACGGTTGATATCGATATTGGATACGAACCTATGCGCCAAGACTGAGAACCGGCCTGTAACGGCTGCGAACAAAATAACCTGAAGAAAAAGCATTCTGCCAAAGTCATATATGATCCAATCAAGGGTTAGTGCTTCATGAGAACATGATTAGTAAATATAGGTAGAGATGGGTAGTCTATCCTAGGTTTATACCTAGCTAAAGATCCGACAACCGGGTTACAATTCAGCATAGGTAGAGACTAGCCAAGACAACCAGAATAAATTACACTATGTAGGAACAGTTGAGAAGTATATAAATAATACAATTCAAATAGCAGCAGCAATAATTCTGCCTAATATCTACGCTAGTTCGGGTATCTATAGCGGTCCTTCTCTTATCCCTGCCCCGCGCGGGAGAAAGTTTTAAAGACAGAATACCGCGCATAGAAATGATGCGTTAACCTAGTGAAAATATAACAGGTAGGCTTCGTGAGCTCACCATACCGTAACATAGAATAATGAGCTAGGTACCTAGGTAGTTTCTACATGATAGTAAGGCAAGAAACCATACACAATATGGTCGGCAATGGATACCAAATAAATGATATTCTAAGTGCCTAACTGAGAACTGATGGCGCGTTGGACATATGTAGGTACATACATTTAGTGTACCAAACGGAACGCGGGGGGGAAATGCTCAGGTACGAAATACCTAGGTAATTCGGCATTAGGACTCCCGTAGCCAATCACGGCAATGATCAACATTTAGCTTGCATCGAATGAGGCGCTATCCGCAGATCATCCAGGGACCTGGAAGAGAGCCAAGAGCCCTAAAACGAGCGGGGCATATGTATTCCACACTCCTAGACTCCTTACGCCCTCACTCTGCCACTCTGCCTGTGCACTTGGTCTGTGTATATATTTACGTCATTTGTTGACTTTTGATGCTAACTATCACCCATCGTCGTTCAAGAGTAACGTCAGTTGTGACATCAATCGAGAACATGCGAGAACCACTATTAAACATCTGATACAACTCCACATCCCTACCTAGGGACCTACCTACCTATGTATTAATACTAATCACGGACGGCAGGACCAACGTCTCGATTCCCTTATCAAAAAGAACACTTACATTTTCCTTAGTTAATCCAAGGCTAAATATTCGTATTAGGCACTTAATCATTATCAGCAACTAAGGGCTTTTCAATAATGACTCCCCTGGGCCACTCCGACGGCAACACGCAAAAGGCCAACCAGGCTTCTATAACAGAAGTAAGTATCATATGTACTTCTAAATGCATTTGCGCTAACGGTCACGTTTAACCAAAAGTCCCCATATCTACAAGGCGACGAGAATAGCTATAACAGACCCGCCGCTCATAATATTGAACCAAGCACTGCTGTATCAAGGAAGCGTAAGTCGGATGCAGTAGAAGACCGTCAAAATATATCTGAAGTGGACGATAATGATCCTCGCCTTTATGTGGTAGACGAGACGTGCAACGGGATCCGCCGGAAGATCAAAGACTTCATTCAAGGTGGAAATATGAAAGTTGGAGAATTCCAGAAAGCCATAGGGGTATCTTCGGGCGCATATCAGCGGTTCATGAATCAGAGCGGAACCTACAAAGGCAAGGACTGCGATACATACCCTAAAGCCTTTGCGTTTTTCAAGAAGCGCGAGCTGCAAGGTCTCAAAGCAGCTCCGCCTAAGAGACCTAGGAAAAGCGAGAGTGAAGCTCTTGATGTCAGCAATATAAAGCTTGACGGCGAGGACACGCAGAGTGTACCAGTATATGACACATGTGACGAGGTCCGCAAGAAGATCCGGGCTTTTCTACGCAAGCCTGACATTAGCCAGAGCGCCTTCTGCCGCGCTATAGCGGAGAGTTTCCCGTCAGGGAAACGGATTCAACCCAGGCAGCTTAACTGTTTCCTAGATAAGAAGGGACCCATGTCTGGGAATACCAGTTCTGTATTTTACGGCGCCTACGTGTTCTTCGAAAAGCTACGCATGAAAGAGGGTAGGCCCAAGTCGGAGATGAGGCAGGAGATGGAGAAAATCCACCCCAATGGAGTGAATACCACCGATCTTCAGCTGTGGTGGACATGTTGGAAGGATGAGCGTCCGGTTTTTGATGCCTATGGACGTATCCACTTCGTCAACCCCCGATCCGCGTATATTCCTTCAAGTACAATATGATCAGGAATTACGTGTACGGTTGCTAGCTAGAAGAGCGAATAGTTATCTGAAGTATCAACCTCCATGTGCGTTTGTTAACCTAGTAGCCTTGCAAGCTTTACTGGGTAGATGAATAGATCGATATAGACCTATTATAGGGCATTGCTACCTCGATCATTCGCCAGCCAGAATGCCTTACTCTGACGGGACGACGTGATGATCAATCCCATTGTCGCATGAACGCGACGGCATAACACCTAAATGACAGCACCCAAGATTTCAACGACGATTCCGATTGGAGTTTTCGAACAGCAGACTTTACCCACCATTGTACATGATAAGGGACTTGCCATAACCAATCGCTTGCCTGTGTAAATGGGGCTAGGTTTCATTCGGACGATGTATATAGATTTGTGCAAATTGAAATCAAGGCGGCTAAACTTATACGTACCAGGACCGAATCTTGGTTTTGGGTGTTTCCCCGCGTTAATATAGAAACAATGGCCTATCCCTCCGCGCACTATAAATATATGTTCGCTTCTTATCCCATGAGGTTCAGGAATATACCATGTTTGGAACTGGCATACCCACTACTACGAAAATGCGTTTCTTGCTATTTCTTTCTGCTGGCGTCTTAGCGCCCACTATTAGCAGCGCTGCTCCAGTTGCGCACGGCGATGCTCTCATCAAGAGAGAAAACTTGTGCAATTTGAACGCTCCCCCTGCTCTCTGCCAACCGGATCCCTCTGTTACCGTGGAAGAGACAGCACAGAGAGCTTATGATTTCTATCGTGCATTCGTAGTTGATGGAGATCCCAGAAAGATGTTTTCCTTAATAGATTCAACTTATAAAGTTAGTTGCTATTTTAACTCAAACCATTTATCATATATTAGTAGCATTGGTACTAATTATCGAATGTCCTATCACAGCAACACCATCCAGGATACGCGTCTGGACCCAACAATATCTGGGGTATTTTCTGCAGCGGAAATAAACTTGGAAGCGAAACAAATACGAAGTGGTGCTTTGATGCCAGTACAAACATGTCATACGCCCAATATTCGACTACGGACAGATGGCTCTGGCTTGATGGATGTGTTCACGAACACGTAAGTTGTTACGAGTTACTTACAAGCAAGCGTACATTGACCTAGCAATCTATTCTAGTGGGACCAAGGCGAGAGCATCCCGACGGATAAGTGCTATCAGTTGACCCCAGAAGGCACATCTTAGCGGCGTTATGTGTGGAGTTGTTGGTAAGAGGAAACTCCAAGGGAGGATCTTGATAGTAGTTTAGAACACTACCTACGTATATGAGCTTGCGATGAAGAATATTCAGTACTTCTTCCCCCCTCGATACGATACTGGCATTCATTAGGTATCTAAGGTAGTTTATCAAGACATCGAAGCCGTCAGAACAAACAGCTATATTATCCAATGCTTGAACAGCACTACAATGCGCCCTGTTTCCTTTCCGATGTACCCAATACGAGCGCTTTATTCTCACTATATTAGGTGCCTAGGTAGTTACATAAAAGAAAATCTTCTATGAAACCAACCCCATCAGCTCCTTTTCTGAGATGGCTCTTCTGCAAGATGATATCCTAGGGCACGATACGCTCTATTTTAGAGGGATGGAAACCCCTCAACCTGCTTGATTCCTTCAACACCCTTAAGCCATCCCACGCGGCTCTCAACAAAATATTCTACCGTGGGTCGCATCTTAGTCTCGTGTAAGTGAAAATCGTCGATGGTGCCCAGGCGCAAGATGCTCATGCCTGGGAAGGCTTCTCCGACGCGGTACATAAGCGTACCGCACGTAGAGCAGAAGTAGTTGGCCATGCCTTTGCCTGAAGCGACAGTTTGAGCTTGGGGGCCAAATTTCGTAAGGTTATCACGCCCACGGAGATGTTTTAAGTGTGTGTCCAGAACGGTGAAGTTGGTGGCGAACATAGATGCCGTGATTTTATGACAGTCACTGCAATTACATACAAATGTACCGATGTAACCTGGACCCTGAGTTGGCTACGGATTCAGTAGTATCAGTAAGGAGACACGAAAAAGCTATAACTTAGGGAAGCAACTTACAAATGCAAGCTGTACTGCACCACAGAAGCATGTTGCCGTTGCTTCGTCTTCCTTAGACCAGCCGTCGTTAGCGAGGCCAGCTAGGGCAAAGAATGGTTTGGATATGTCGGTAGTAGTGGCCATTTTGATTTCAAAGCTGAGAAGATAGACTATAAGGTCTTATTGGATTTCCGAAGAGTGCGAAGCAAGCTGGCTTGGAAGATGATTCTGAGAACTTGAGGTCTTCCAGGGCTGCTTTTATACTCACTCTTACTATATGAAGCGAGTTGAGGCTATGATAAGAATATAAAGTCCTGGGTGATTATTAAGCCCTGAATAGTATGATGTAATTTGTAATGCCTAACTACTCCCTATTCATCATTATCTTATAGAAAATATTTGATCTAGCTAATAGGTATGCCATCTTGACGTTTTCTCACGCCGTTACATCGACCGGTGACGCCGGCGTATATTTCGGCCACGTAATACTTGGTACCGCAGAAGTAATATTACTACCCGCACTACCGCGCTCAAGCTGGTAACCAAGCGCTTGACCCAACCTAGTCCGCTAATGTGCGTATCATCAATTACCTTGGTACGTCAGTGGAACGTACGACAACAAATATAGGTAACATAGGCCTATCGACGCTTGGGTATATCTAAGTGCCTGGCGTAAAGAGACCCCAAATCCCTTAAAGCTTCTTTTCGAATACAATACAGAGAAGCTAACTGTCCTAGTAGAATGAGAGTCCTGCGATAACTTTCTTGTGCGATGATCGCATCGATCTCATTGGCTGGCCACTCCCATTTCGGAAGGTGGGGAAGTATTTGGTTGATTAGGAGCCGAAAATTATTTAACGCGGATGGTTTAATTGACATTTCTCTTTCTTTAAAGAGAAGTCTTTTTTAAAGATAAGTCCTTCATCTCACGTATTCTTACACTCTACAACGGGATGCTTCTCACACTAATAAGGGAGCAATTACTTTATCTACTCCTTTATCGAGCTATCTACTAACACCATCATCCCTCCAAGAGATTTGATCAGGGAACTGAAATCCACTTTATTAAACTGAACCTCGCTACCGAGATTTCTTCCAGATCTGGTTCCGCCAATGGCTCGATCGGGATCTGTTTTAATGGAGATTTAATATAAATGCTATCTTCCGATACGCTAATACCTATCTTACAGATGGATAAGCACTAGTTTTCGGCCTCCTGCTTGGATCTCTATGCAAGAGATCTCTGCAAATATGTAGATAAGATAGGTCGGCCGAAGCCTCTTTGGCGCTCTTCTCATTGATGGGGCGTCAGTGGGCCTTCATGAATCTAGGTAGTTTACTGAAAGGCTAACTACGTAGATTCAAGATCGAATATGAAGTAAGCCTATGTCCATTTTAAAATTAATATCGCTTACCTCCAGAAGCTTCTAATAAATATTATTCGTACTGTATTATCTTATTCGGAAGGCCTTGACTTCGGCCAACAGTCCAGCATCCGTAGGTGCCTCGCTGAAATTTCAAGTAAACCCCGCACCATTGTTTCTCACTTGATATCCAGGTAGGTTAGGCCGTTGCCTCCCGTGTTCGCCATAGGAGAGCCTATCTTAGAGGGACGGAACGCTGTTATTCGTGGATACGTATGACTCATCTTGTCTCCCGGTCCGGTATCTGGTTAAGCGTAGTATATGACCCCGGATATTCCGTCATTCGTCATTCCTTCTATTTATTCTACACGTCTTAGCATCCAGATCAGAAAGTTTAGGGAGCATGGTATATTTACGTAGCTAAGATTATAGGTAGGTAGTATTCAAGTTACATTATGTGGCCTTGAGTGGATATGATTAGCCGATATTCAATTTAGAAAATCATACTATTCAACCATTCCACAGCCCATACTCCTTATATCTATTCACTTGACCACATCTTACAACTGTTTTCATACGATTTGCCTCACTTTGCCGGTCTCAACCTCATATACCCAACCGCTAATAATCACGTCGTCCGACACAGCAGCGCTCCTCTTTAAGTACTCAACGTCTCCCTTTATAGCGTCATCTATATTGGTGAAGGGGAGGAAATCGAGGGTGGCAATTTCTGCAGAAGCGCTCGGTCCTAAATTCTTCTTCACAAGACTATGAGCGTCATCGTTGGAAAATGTTAACATGCCGCACCCAGTGTGCTTAATAAGTATGATCTCTTTCGTCCCAAGCAGTTGTTGCGAGATGATGATGGATCGTAGAGCATCTCTTGCGCTAGCCCCAGCGTTTCGAATAACGTGGGCATCACCAAGGTTGATACCAAAGGCGGCGGCCGGGTCGATACGAGCATCCATACAGGTCACTTTACGTCAGTTAGCTCCCAATTGCTTGGACTGAAACCTTCATATAACCCTACTCTAAAGGTTTTTACGTACATATCAGATAGTGTTTAGCAGGCGGAAGGGCAAGATCGCCTTGAGTGAACTTGCTAGCATATTCAGCATTCTTGCTCGCGAGGTTTTTCTGAATTGAGGAAGACATGTTTATTGCCGAAACTAGAAGACGATCGTAATGAAAGAAAGTTGATGCTTCTCAGTAGAGATAGATATATGGTTTAGCTACCTGGATCCAAAATCAGTACCTAAGGGGATTTTTATACAATTTCCTGAACTTGGAGAATGACGCAAGAGTTTTTATGAGTACCTAATATTCGGGTTCTGGGTGACCCTCGTTCCTGCGCGGATACCGATTTAAAAGCTACCTACATATCAAACCTCTTATTGGTGATAGCACAGTATATCGCCATATTAATTGTGATCACGTCATCATCACCTAGCTGAGGACAGTCATTCTGTGGGGAATGATCGCCGACTTGGCGGGAATAGCTAATGTATGATGTATCGATAGGTCAGAACAAAGGCCGACTACATACAAAACAGCAACCAACACATTTCGGTTAGATATTAGATCAATAATTGAAATGCTTGAGCTGCTTACAATATCAATATCTTTTGTGTTCTTGGATTAACGACCATAGTAAAAATTGTAAGCCGAGCAGAAGCATTTAGCTTCTACGGCAGCAGTAGAGGAAGAAGATTGATAATAGTACATAAAGTGGTATAAATAACACGCACCAAGATCTGCATGGGTGGGAACTACAGGTATAGACCCTCAGAATGGGAGCGAAAAAAAAAGAACATTTTACACTACCATGAGAGCAAATAATCAAATTTAGCTCGGCTCCGTTTCGATCGGAGGACCTCCGGGTTATGCGCGCGGCGAGCTTCCGCTGAGCACAGAAAAGTTGATAATAATGGTTTATTCGGTACCTATGCAAACAAGTCCGGTCCCAATGAGTCGCAATCACCCCCTTGACCTAAAATCATTGAAAATATATATTTAATGTCTTACGTAGGTGCTAACACGAATATCATAGACACGTATTCTGGCGTAGTCACAGACAATAAATAAAACAAAGGGTACTCTGACGGTTCTGCAAAGGCAAATGGGGAACAAGCACCAGATAACAGGTACCTCAGACTACTAGGTTATTCACTACACTACTATTCTCAGAAGTTAACAGTGATATATCTTCCCGGATATATAAGTTAACCTATATTAAAGGGGTATTTCTAAGGCGATTAAACCATCAATCATCTATGTGCCTACCTACCTAGGTACCTAGGTACCGAAGTAGGTATGGAAACTAAAATAATGAAAGACACAAGAGAATCAAGAAGTTCACACGTGTTAATAACAAAGTCATTGTCTTAGCTCAATTATTCTTTACGTTTCCACGCCTATATCGCTTTTTAGTGAATTGATCTCAAGATATTGTTCAAATCTAGATTAATGAATGCTTTCAGATCAATATTAACGCTTAGGAATTACTAGTGACAAGAACAGGGTCTTTCCGATAGGAACCAGTTGAATGGGATCGAGCACAAATGGATATTTTAGAATTATCTATAAAGAGTATGTTTTCAGGAATCTTATAGTATATATACAGTCTAACCATCACCCCTCTCTCCAAACCAAAAACATCATTAACAACTCCTGTATCATCAATAATACCGAGAAGAGACAACTCCGAAGACCTTTGAATCTAAATTTAAGGCATATCCTCACATATCTTTACGAGAAAAGTCTATAGCGAATTCAGAAAACCGCCAAGATGTGCCAAAACTGCGCTGTCTTATCTCAAGTCAACTACAGCTGTGGTCATCAGTTGCTGCTTGTCAAGAACTTTGCAAAGTTCTGCCTCTTCTACCCTCATAAGGATACCGAGTTCCATATGGCCGCCATCGCATACTCGAATTATCCTACCGACTACCCTTGCAAGAGCTGCGCTTTAAGTCAGGAAGCCGCCGAAAAGGGCATTCACAAAGGGCAGAGGAAAGTCTTCATCGCCGAAAGATATCCCAAAAGCAAGGAGGCGTCTTCAATAGAGGATGCGAAGTGGTACCTTGCTACAGCCAAGAAAAGCCAGGAGGGCGTTGATGCCAGTAAGATTGAGGAGCTTAACAAGCGTGCGAAGGAGCAAATCAAGTATTACCTCGGACGGGAGGGGAAGAAGGCACTAACAAGGAACGACAAGGCCATTCTTCTAAAGACCATCTTGCAAGTCCCTGCGGTTATCGACCGTCATGCTCTTGTTGTAACCTTTGGATCCTTTGTAGGTTGGAACCAGAAGCAAAACCATATGAAGTTCATCCATTATTCAGAGATGTCAGTGCTTAGGGATATTGCTCGTAAAGGAGGTATGCTCAAGGCTTTGGAAACAGGGTTGGCGCAAAGAGGTTGTGACGCGTAAGGAAATATGCTAGGAGTTATTTTGACGCCGGAGGATGTTTTTGTTTATGCACTGAAGTCTTGACGCACAGCACCGGAATAGAAAAATTCCATAGTTATTGTTTAGTATGAAATAAAATACTTCCTGTTTCCCGTTCTATTTTCCTTCAACTTTTATGTTGAAATTGTTTCTAACTTCGATATGGTTGCTTGGCATATTATATGAATAACTAGTGTGAACACACGGGATTTGATGGATCAGCATGATTTCGAAGCCAATGCCAACATAGGTATTAGTTATATTTATATTGAAGTCTTTATACCATTCCACGTCTTTCCCACCACGACATTACAAACCTAGGTAATATTAAATCAAACCTCCCTCTTCAGTTCAACTCTAAACGTCCTCAGATCTACACTCTGTGCCGATCCATCATCACGAAGCAAGAAGACCCACTCATCCATAGATCGGAAGCCGTAGGTAAGTCGGTCCATAGAACCCCAGGTGTGACAACTTGCATCGGGCCAGAATGAGTTTGCGTCTTTCTCCGCACTCTCCTCCGGGCTTCCGATATCGAACACGGCCCGCCAGGAATTATGGCATCCCGAGCTCAGGTTCGTAGGATACAGCCGGACGGAAACGGGTCGGCTCGTCGGGCTACTCGATAGTGCCCCGAATTTACTATAGTTCTTAATTATGTCGACGTCACGGACGACCCAGTTGGATACCGCGAATCCTGGCGCATCGTCAAGAGAAAGCGTGATAGTCGAGTTTGTAATGGCGTCCGTATATGTGCCACCGAATTTTGGCAATGCCTCTGCTTTACCCGCATCTTCAATAGCTGGAAACAGGCCTTGCACGATTTTTGTGAGAATCAGATCCACCAGGTCGGTATTCGACTGTGGCCCACCAGAGAGTATCGTAACGACGATATCATAGTCCGGTACCAGGCACAACATGTTGTTGTACGAACCTAGATTGCCGGATTTACAGTAAAACTCAATAAGACGCTTATCTTTAGTGACTGTGTTGGAGCGAAGAATTTCCCAAGGTCCGCCGATAAGTAGACCAGAAGACGAGGTGGATGTTGCCGGTTTCATCCACTTTCTTGTTTTAGTAGAATCCAGCAAGGCGTGCTTGAGGATACCAGTACCAAAGGAAAGTAGGTCGACCGTATTCGAGTAGAAACCGCCAGCTCTAGCCAACATTAGATATATCCAACCTCTAAATGGGTATTACAACTTACATATCCTCATATCCGAAACTAACACCAAACCAGGTCTCATTTACAGGGATAAATCCCCATGCGTTCTTCTCCGGTCCCTTGAATATAGTCGTGTTCGTCATAGACAGGGGGGCGAATATTGATTGCTTGACATAGTTGTCGTAGGTCGTATTGGTTATTGCCTCCACGGCATAACTTAGAATGACGCTCGCGACGTTTGAGTATACTGGGTTTGTGAATGGAGCGTACACCGGATGCCGCTTGCCAAAATCTCTGAAAAATTCGGTCCTGTTACAGGGTGGGAGGCCGAAAACACCAGCGCACCCGGTCTTCGACGTCTTGTTTAATTTAGGGAGACCAACTTCGGTCCAGTCCAAGGGAAAAGTAGCTAAGTCGATTGTAACTGGGAATAATTAACAAGAATATCAATTGAGAGTGAGATATGTAACTTACGGTCTGTGGCAATGCCACTCATGTGCGAAGCGAGAGCACCAAGGGTTACCTCACTCCATCTGACGGTTGTAATATCACTAATTTCATCTGTCTCCCCTTTAAGTTCACGCAGCTCAGGAACATATTGAGTGATAGAATCATCCAGATTCACGTGGCTCTGTTGCAGCAAGGAGAACACTGCAAAGATCTTAGATATACTTCCGAGCCGATAGATAGTTTGTGAATCGATGGTTGAGGTTCCATTGGGGTTGAGTATCGTAGGTGTATGATGGAGTTCTAGTAGCGGATCAGTTTCGTGTATCGACTTGACTGCTATAGATATGCCGGTAGAATGAAGGCCAGCAGTGAGATTTTGGAATGTATCAGTGACACTGTCTATTGCCAACCGGACAGACTCATGTACCGTCGGGTTCTTTGGAGCGGGTAGGACTGGCCCTAAAGGGGGACAATGCCCGTTAAGAGCAGCTAAGGCGGTCTCTACCGTCACCAATACGACTGGGATGCTCGTCAAGATGCTCTGCTGGTAAAACATGTTGTGTTCAAATAGATAGACATATAATCCTGATGAGTTGATATTGAACTCAAGTAGGCTGAAGAGAATGCCATTATATATATACGTATGATCCTCTCCTGAGCTACTCATCTCCTACCGGAAGCTGGGATAAAGTTGATTTGTAGAATGATTCTAATTAAAATCGCAGTGGAGTCAAATGCGAGCTATATTGCCTATTAGATTTTGGTTATAGAGCTGCCTAGTATTAGTGTCTAGAGTTGACCTCCCTCAGCCACTACCCGATAAGTCGTCCATACGTAGATCCAAACGATGACCGGCGATGAGGGCTAAAAAGGAACAAAGGAAGCAGCTAAACATCCTCAAATTTAGACTCATACGGTCGAAGCAGTAAGAGCACTATTCGAGGTGTGCGATGCCACGATAGATACATGCTTTTAATAGCTTTGATTGGTCGGCTCGGTCTTCAGCCCCGTACTTAGACAAGGGGCTCGGACTTGACCTTGACTATCGACAAAAATTTGCGGCTGATCTGGCTAAGCAAGATGTGTCGCATACAGGGCGAGAAGGGGGATAAATATTCTTATACACGCCGGGATCTAAGAACTTCATACAACGAAGAGTGGATGAATTTAATTTACATATTCAACGACTCAGACGGTTTGTGTCAATCCGATCCCTTAGATACATATGACGTACGTTTGCTTCCAAGATATCTCTTATATAAATATCCTATTTTTAGACCTACCAATAACATACCGTTTTTCTGTACTGTATCCTGCGAGGCTACGACACTGTGTCTGATAAGGTTGTGGACCCTGCGGAATTTCGTCCAACATGGCTTCAATTTAGTTTCTTTATCCACTTCCGTCTAGAACTAGTGCACCTACAACATTGTAAACTCCTCTAGAGGATCTACATTTTCCATGGCCAGCATTCACTACCTACATATTTGAAGGACGTTAGAATCAAAGTATGATTGCGGAGGCAATGGGTTTATCGAGAACGACATCATCCCCTTGATGCTGGAATCAACCATGCGAGACCCAAGCGTTACTAGGTCTTTCAATGACAACCACGATGATAACCATACGGGGTTACAGGGGGTTACCGACGAACGATCCGGGAGAAGTATAATGAGAGAAGAACAATGTCGAGATAATTCTATAGCCAGAACAACATCAAAATATCCAGCTCCTCCAACCGACCCGTTCCCTACTCTTGAGATTACTGCTTCTACTCCCGTCACCCCCAAATTGGAGAAACGCGAACCGATCTATGATTTGAGCAATGTAACCGAGAAACTTGCTACGAATGGAAATGGTATATCGAGCAGCATCGTCAATGGACACACGTCGCCTACTACAACATATAGCAGCGCAGATGGGTCCGTTTCTAGTCGATCTACCGATACTACAGCCAAACCAAGTACACATTCAGTTTCCAAATCTGCTACGAAGAAGGCCAGCCATGAGAGTGTCAGGAAGCTCTCTGCTTCCCAGATGCAGGCCTTAACCTCGTCACCCGATTCGCTACCCATCGCTGTCGTTCCTCCTCAGCCTCTCCAACGCAAGCCAAACGGTATCGAGTATCCTATGTCCGCTAGTCTTGTCGAGTCTATATCCCGCCCATCAATGTCAGATCAGTTACGAGGCAGTGTCCAGACACCAGCCACAGATAAGGATACATTATTGCCAGCGTTTCACGATTCTCCGAGAACAGCAGCAGATTTCAGACGACCCCCTCCCTCGTCACGAACGCTTTCCAGCCCGCCTATTAATAGGAGGTCTTCCACCGGCCCTCCTACAATAGAATCAAATACTATAAGACGAAATTCCTTTAACCCTCTTCCTCGTCCTCCCCCCTTAACCCTTTCATCTGTTACGTCGAAGCCTCCCGCATCTCCTCCGAAACTAGATCGACCAGACCTACCGCCCTCTCCCATACCACCCACTATACCTCTCCCGCCTATATCTCTCCCCACCCATCTCCAACTCGAACTCGCTGGTCAACGGCCTAGTCCTCTCTATATCCATCATTCCCACGCTACAGACGTTCCATACGAATCCAGTGCTGTCAAGTTCGAACGGCTCTTGAATGCTCTCCTCTTACCCCCGTACCTAGAACGCGTCTTGACCTTCGGCACTCTAGCATGTCTCGATGCGTGGCTATACACATTCACCATTTTACCCATAAGGTTCCTAATTGCTCTCGGCGTCCTTGTAAAATGGTGGGCATACGTAATTGGGAAGGAAGCGCGATGGGTTGTAGGCTATGTCTGGCAAGGTACTTGGCGCCTATGGCAAAGAGGGAGGAGAGGTAGATTCAAGTCACGAACCCGATCCGACAGCAACCGGGCGGCTAGCGAGTCGGAGAGGAGCCAGAGTCGAGCGAGGGTAAGTAGCTCCAGCACCATCCAGAACGGTGCCACGCGACGTCGCACTTCATCCGAGACCGCGGGCATGTCTACCCAAGACGCCTCTCGGCCAGGTAGCAACGGTGTGTTCCATCCACCGAAGCATCCAATGCCTAGACCTGGTGGATTTCGCCATCGGAGGACAAAGTCTATGCCCTCGAATCTGACCTCTTACAATAAAGCCGACCTTCTCCAAGGGTTCGTGCTCGTGTGCAGCTCCTTGGCGTTGATGAACCTTGACGCCAGCCGAATGTATCACTTTATTCGCGCTCAGTCTTCGATGAAACTCTACGTCATTTATAATATCCTTGAGGTTGGCGATCGCCTTCTCTCGGCCCTCGGTCAAGACGTCTTAGAGTGTCTCTTCAGCTCCGAAACCCTGTCGAGAAATAGTTCCGGGCGATCTAAAGTCCTTCTCCCCTTTGGGATGTTCATCCTCTCGCTAATTTATAATGTCGTTCACACCGTGTGTTTATTCTACCAAGTCATCACGCTAAACGTCGCTGTAAACTCATACTCGAATTCTCTTCTCAGTCTTTTGATATCCAATCAATTCGTGGAAATTAAAGGGAGCGTTTTCAAGAGGATCGAAAAGGAGAATCTTTTCCAGTTGACCTGTTCGGACGTGGTTGAGCGGTTTCAGTTGTGGATTATTCTATTGATCATTGGTATGAGAAATGTCGTGGAGGTAGGAGGCCTGTCTGTGGTGGGAGCCGGAAGTGAAATAGATGGCGGAGCTACAAAACCCGGTCCGGTCCATACCAGCTCAAGCCTGCCCAACAGTTTCACTGTGTTGCCGTCATGGATACTCTCGGGCGAAGTTCTCTCACCTTTTCTCGTCGTCATAGGTATCGAAATGATGGTTGACTGGACAAAACATGCATTCATCAATAAATTCAACAATGTTAAGCCGACCCTCTACAGCAGAATGTTGGATATCCTATGTAAGGATTACTATACTAATGTAAGTCTAATCCGTATGGGGTCTGCTTTGAATCAATATCTCACTATAGGCGTACAGGCATTTTCGGCTCCCTCGCTGACTCGACGATTGGGCTTACCACTGTTGCCGTTATCGTGCCTTTTCATCCGGGCTTCGATCCAGGTATACCACATGTTCCTAGCCACGCATATCAACCCTCCGATTCCAACGTCGACCACGGAGCTTTCGGTAGAATCTTCAACGCCGTCTTCGCCTGCGATGATTGCCGCATTAGAGCATCTGGACACGCTTCTTAGAAACGCCCTGGGCCGGGCGGTGTATGGAAATCCGTACGGGTCATCCCAGACCCGTTCATTCTTGGCTTTCTCTTCGGATGACGCCATTGCCCTTCTCACGATGGTCATCTTCTTCTTTCTTACATGGATTGTACTTCTTATCGTGAAGCTCCTCCTGGGCATGGCTCTACTGCGGTATTCTAAGGAGCGGTACGCTGTAATGAAACGAAAGGAACACGCAGTAGCTGCTGGAAAAGCAGAGCGCGAGAACTTCTCTCAGCCAGGGAAGCGCGTTGGTTCATGGGGCGCTGTCGAGGTTGGGGACGATCGTAGGAAATGGATATACGAGGACGATAAGGAAGGGCTGAAGAAAATGCGTGAACGAGAACGGAAGACGGAGGAGAAATTCAAGGAGAAGGGTGACGATGGGCTTTCTAAGGTGATGAGGTACGAGATGGTGGCTAAAAGGATATGGTGAATGAATGATAGAGGGGAGACGGGGGGTCGTTATGATTTTACCTCATTTTTGCCAAGTCATAGCGTTAAGTCTACTGCATTGTACTGTATTGTACTAAACACTGCATGATATTCACATTGTATGGCGGTTAGCATTACTTTTGAGCGTTACTATCTATGTTAGGTAGGTGGTTTTCAATGTCATGGTGCCGGAATTAATAGGTTAGGTACCGATTCAGGGGCATACCAGTCTGGCCGTGCAGCAGGTAGTTACAACATACAAATTGGTTATCTACCTAAGGTACCTAACCCTTCGTTCTTGCGTTATCCTACAGACGTAGTTACCTTAGGTGGGCAAACGGCATGAACAGAAGAGTTCCAATAGAAGCCTAATTTATTTCTACGCATACCGCAAGAGGTACCAAGTTTCCAATCAAGGTTCACTAGGCAACAAAATATCCCAACTAAAGAAATCGGCGACTGCCTTGAAACAGTTTATTCACAATTATCTGTTCTCGTCGCCGACTTCTTCTTGTTGTCAATCTTTTACTTTTACATCGAGTCTTTTCTGTTTATTTTCTGTTTACTTTCTACGCCGACTCACCCTGACTGCCTGCCGCACCACTTCGTTCTTGACTATCTTGGTCGCCGACTCTTTCCTATTCATCTTTTACAACAAGTTGCCCTTGTCTATTTTCTATGCCGACTTGTTCCTATCCAAACTTTAAGTCGGCCTGCTCTTGTCTACACTCTTTACCAAGTCGTTCTTAACTGTTTTCATCACTGACGCGTACTTGTCTACCTTCCTTCGTCGCCGACCTGATTCTTACAACCTTAAAGTTGAGTCGTTCTTGACTATTATCGTTCTTGACTATTATCGTCGCCGACAGCCAGTTTATCCTCTACTTTGAGTTGTTCTTGGTTTATTCTTCCTTCCCTCGCCGACCTATACCTCGCCGACCTATACCTACCACCATATACCTCTTCCTCTTCTTATAGACTAAGGTTGCACCTGTCTATATTTGTCGCCGACCTATACCTTGTTACCTTGGTCGCCAACCTGTACCTTCTCACCCTGGTCGCCGACCACTTTCCAATTGTTATTCAATATCGACATATTCTTGGGTTTTCTCGTCGCCGACCGGTCAACTTACACCCTGAACACCATCCACAACCAAGAACCTAACGGTCAACCATCCTATCAAAGGACTTAGACGCGCTGCCAATTCGGCCTAGTAAGTTGAATCATGAAATCCTGTTCTTCCATGGCGCGACGCGTCTCCTATAACCTTTATTTGTCTCTGTTATCAGCAAGTTAACTTCCTCTTTTCTACATAGACTCTTCAGGGCGCGCTAGGAGCTGTCTACTAGGCCTTATATCATTATCTCAGTTGCCTAAGTCAGTAACGCCGCGACAATGTCTGCCACGTAAGTACCTAATATATCGGCCTCTCTAAATTACCCTTGCTGTAAACTTACTAACATGAGCCCGCCAGTTCTTCCACACGAACCTTTCCTCTTCCTCTTCAGGATCCCGTGGGCTGGAAGCTTGCCGTCTTTGAGTCGATCCAGAACTTTGAGTTGGCAACCCTTCAATGGATTGGAATTCGCAACTACAGCGAGGGTGTGTTCACTCACACTCAGCTTCGCCGCATCCGTCTCGTCTTGGAGTGTCGCAAGCTCTATTTCGATGTCTCCCGATATTGGGACGATCGAGTTGCCCGCCAGGCTCAACTCACCGGAGGAGAGTTCACGATGTCTCCGTATCAAGTGGCCCTCCGAGAGCATCTGGAAGCTAGAGAAGAAGAGTGGTTGTCCATCCTGACTCTTGTATATCAGAGTCTACCGGATTACATCTAGATTAGGATTGCATACCACCTTCATGTTGCTTGCTAGGTATTCCCATATGCTGCACCAAGTGTGTATGTAGCCCCTTTGGTATCAACATGTGAGCTGACGTCACGCGTCGGTGGCCAGAGAACTTTGAGTTGACTAGGGAACATCAAGGTCATTAGCCCCTATATTCGATCTCTTGACCTTTCGTGATGATTTGTGAACCCACGTCGCAGATGGAGTACCCCCGCTATGATATTCTAAGACTGCCAATGTACTGGGTTTGGGATACCCTTGTCCCATTCTCTCCTTCTAGTTTCAGGTAGCAATTGCAATAGTATAGAGCAATAGCTTTTGCTGTCAATCTCTTCTGTATCATACAATTGAATTGCTAACGCACTCTCAAACGTCCAAGATGATAGCAATATATTACCTCTGCATTTTTCAGAGTTCTGGCTGTGAGGACTCGTAAGAGGTGAGAGCAAAACTACCTCTTTCAGACATAGTGAACTGTTAATCAGGTACTTGAGAAATATGTCTATATATCAACGACATCATTTCGACAAGGCCGTAGTGATGGACCCCCCCCCAGTTGACTAATAGGTACTTCGAGTTTGTTGGTATGCAATGCAGGTAACGCCATGAAGTATAAGCAGAGAAAAGCTCCGTCGTGCCTCGTTACCCTTCCAATGTAGTCCGTATGCTCTAATTCCCTCAAGTGGCCTGTGGATATATCCGTGAGAACGCCAACTAGTATACATCAAAATTAGTGTACATAAACCCTGGTGCTGTATTCAAGCCCGAAAAACTCCGAACCGTATGCGCCGAAGCGTCCCGTCGGTACTTCCGTTTGGATGTATGTCGGATTCTTCTATCTCGTTCACTTCGGTCCGCCACGTAGTCCCAGTTGCTTTGCCGACCTCGTCCCATAACTCTTGCCAGCTCGCAGCGTTATGCAGGAACTTCTTAGAACCTCCAGCCCCTTCTCTGTCGCCAGGCGTTGTCGTTCCCACTTGGCGCCCGAAGATCATGACGTCGGGGTCATCCGCGTCGAGAAATCGTACCATTCTCCTGGCGGCTAGGACTTGATTTTCCCACGAGAACAGGTGGAAAAAGCTAGTCGCATGGATGATATTCATCTTGCCGTCGAACACCTTTAACCTCTCGTCGCCTTCGTCGGTCTGCCCGCTCTGACTCAACATGTCACCAGCTACAAACGTAGCATTGAGCTTGTCTCGGTCCTTGAACAAGTCGTAGCCCGCGTCTAGAAAGCGCGGTTCCAAATCCGTACCGTACAGTCTCGATGAATCTACGCCCTCGAATGTGAATTGTCGCAATACCTGTCCCACGCAGCAGCCGACGTCGAGAAACGTAGCCTCCGACTTGGGCGCGAGTAATCGATTTAAGGCTATGCGGTACCGAGGATCTGATGTGAACCCAAGGGAAAGGAAACGAAAGTGGCCAATGTAGACATAGGGATAAATCTCCCAGAGACGATCTCGCTGAATGTGACAATAAGTCTATGTTTAAACCTAGCAATGGGGGAATATTACGATACGTACTATTTCATGAACATGATCGTCGACGTCCCTAGTACGAATACCGCTATATTTCTCCAGCAGCCTCCTAATAGGTTCTATATCCGAAGGGAGTTCTTCAATATAAACCTTCCCCCTTAAGACGTCATCCAGTGATCTATCAGGATGATGCTTGCAATTTTTATCTTCGGTTGCCATCGTGCATCGACCATACCGTCGGAGACGCAGAATCAGTTTGTGCATAATCTAAATCGGTGACGCGCGGGACGAAGCTCGCAGGACTCTTTTCTTTTTATCCAATCGTTCTCAGGTTGGGGATGTGGCGTCCTTCCACTGCCAGGAAGATCCCTGAGTCTGACTCCGAGTCTCTGGGACGCATCCACGTGAACCGATTAAAACTTGCAGAATGACAAGTGCAATATGTAATGTCGATGCTCGTATTTATACTTGCATAGCTTGCTGACAAGTTTATCTTCTGGGCTTGAGAATGAGAAATGCTTCCGATGTACGCGTTATTTTACCTTTTCTCACCTTTGTTTATTTCGTCGGCCGAGGTAGCATAGCAATGAGGTATAGAAGCATAAGCGATCCAATCGAGTTCTGCTAATATATCGCTGACAGGTACAAATTTAAACAATGGTGTACCTATCTCGCACGACTTCGAGAAATCAAACCGACCTATATAGAATAAGTTTAGTGTTAGTTTGTCTCTGCTACGGCGAGATTCCGGGGGAGCCGGCTCGATACTTGAAAATGTCAGGATCTGACCTGCAATATCATCAAGCTCCTGGATCTCAAAAAAGGAAGACTTACGTATCGTAGGATAGTCACCAAGATCCTACTAGTTGTCTTAGAATATTTCTCCTTATTAAGTAAAAGAGACAGATTGGCCATCTTCTAATACATCGAGATGTTAAAAAGCGAAAACCTCGGAGCTTGCCAGTGTTTCATTCGAATCGTGAGACTACATAGGTAAACGATTATCTATCCTAAACGAACGGAGCCGCTAAACCCTTGGCTCGACGGGACGGACGGCCGGATGACTAGACTAGGGTCTCCTTGTTCTCTTCAGATGGTAACGTTCTTGGGTACAGAAAGGGCCAGAATGGGAATATACTTAATTTGTAGGGGCTAGACCAAATCCCGTTATTCAAGGGTAAATTCTTTGTCTTCCCTTATTTTTAATTGGAACTGTTGGAAATCAGCGAATCGGTCAATTACCTGAGCCTTTCCGATCTCTCATTCATCTTGAATCTGACACTATCGATACCCAAACCCAGGTAAATCGACCGGGACAGGGTTCTGTAATTAATAACGATGAAACGGAAGAGAGGCAAGTCATATAAACCCCGTCAAGGTTACAAAAGCATGACGCGCCGGAAGCGGCACAGCAGTGTTATTGTATTGCCTCAGCCTCAGCCCCAAGATTACCTTATTCTAAATAACCCAGATAGTCACCTACTCTATCTATGTATTTAGAGTCCCAGCGCCGTTGATAATAGCATTCCGGTTCAACCCTAAATAAGGTCGCCAAGAGTCAAACGAAATAAACCGTCCGTCCGTTTATCCATCCTGCTGGAACCCGTAAACTTGGCATTCTTAGCATTGATCAAGGGAACCCGCTGAATAATAATCCAATTGCTTGGCTCCCTACGACCTAACAGGGTGACATATTCTCAGGGGTAAGATGAAAACCCGTGGTAGCTATTATTCTAGTCACAAATTTCATTACTGAGACGTATAGATTTTGTCATGATCTATGGTTAGGGACTTAATGTTCAGCACCAATTCAAACCGTACCGCCTAAACATACCTCGGATGATATATTACCAGATATGAGTATACTAACCACCTACATACCCTATCACTAAACTTACCATCTACTCAACAGCTCTCCACTGCTGTTCTAGCTGTCGGACAAGTAGAACCGCACTACCACTTGCAGCACTAGCACCAGCTTGCGCGGCTTGCTGGGCATACACAGCGCCCTGTAAGAGATTCCCATTCGCGTAGCCGTAACCAACTCCAGCAGCGCCATATGTGTGCGTGTGCCCGTAAGTGATATCTTGTAGCATGCCGACCTGGTTATAGTGAGAGCTCGTAACGTTAAGAAACCGCTGTTGATTCAGCGCCAACTTCGCTCGGAATATCATCATTCGCATTTGTGGAACTGTCTGGATCCAGACAAGACGCCGCTGCACTGAACATGTGAGTAGCTCCCTGGCGTCAGGAGGCGACGCCTCGCTACATTTTATATAAAGATCGCGCATACGCGGGCTATACATTTCGCACATTGTGCTCGTCTCTAACAGCGTGTTGTTTAGTTCCATCTTAGCGGCCAGCGGGCTTTGCTGCGCGAAGTCGTGATAGCACTCCGGACAAATCGTGCAGTCCGTCCATCCGTACCAGTACTTGTTCTGCGCGTCTTCGTCGCGAGGGCACACCGGTATAGAACAATATACTGACGCAAATTTGTCGAATGAGGTCGGATCATGTGTATGATACATCTCTAATAGCCGTGGCATGAATTGCCGAAATCGAGGATGCGCGAGGCTAAAACAGCATTGCCATTTCATCCCAGCCGGCTGTGCATCGCGTTTCGGGACAAAAAAGCGTGATATATCGAGGGGCTCCGCGATGGCCACGTAACATCCGGCACAGATGCCGAAGTTGGGCGGGTTAGAGGGTAACGAGTACCAGATACCGTCTTCAATACCGTCATCATCGCAAAACTTCTCGTTGGCAAGCTTATGCACGGATCTCCAGAATACTTGGAAGTCATTGATGTCGTGCGCGCGAGCCATGGCCATTCTAATGCTGAACACACCCAAGCTGCACCGAACTTTGGTGTCGTACGCCTTTGTAAGTTTCTCATCTATCTCCCACAATGCCTCTTCGCCAGTGTGGATCACCCGGTCGCAATAGCATCCCGAGCAGAGCACCAACCCTTCAGGACCATGCTTAGGAACGAACCACTTCCTACCGTAGGTTAACTCTAGGTTGCGTTGTGGGCAAGGCTTTATGGACATTCGCGCCTTCGTCTCGCTTACGAAGCCAGCCCAGTCGTTGCCCTTGCCCTTGGCCTCATACTCCTTTTCGATAAAAGGCACGGCTAGGTCGCAGCTCCACTACAACAACGAAAGTCAATGATCACTCTTCTAGTAGGGAATTTAAGGGGTCTAGGCATGTCTTAGGAACAACCATTACTCAATCAAATCAAGGCAAAAATACAGGATGCTCATAAGACAAAGAGAGGCGCGAAGGGGGAGGGGGAGTTTACATACGGTGTCCTCTGCTGGCTGTGGCTGTGTCGGCTCGAAATTTACGAAAAAGTGGTTGGTTAAGATACGGTCCTCATAGCAGGCCTCGCAAGATACAAAGCCTGGTATATTGTTTAATTTCACCATGTACCACTTGATGCCGACTTTTCCTTTAACGCCCTCTATCCCTTTGCAATCGGGGATCTGTGACCGGGAATGCATCCAAGCCAAGGCTGGCTCCAATGATCCCGTTGCGAGAGCATCTTTAAATAGGTGATTTCGCATTCTCGGCTTGTTAAAGCAGCATACCCGCGGTTTGCTGTCGCTGAATCTCTCCCTTCGGAAAAGGTCCCAAAACCTGGTCCCGTGGATGTAGTCGACATAGCAGCGCGAACATATCAAAAACCCGGGTGCGTTGGGGTGCCAGTACCAATCTGTTGCGAACGTTACAGGATCGTCAATACAGGAAGTTACCGCGGATGGTGCAGCAGGTCTGCCTTTAAGTTCGTTTTCTGTCGGTAACTCGTAAATATGGCCATCTGACTTAGGTACGTGGGGGTCGGGAAAGGTGGCTACGGGAGGAGTTGAACAAGCCACTGGAGATTGCAAGGGCTGCGAAGTATGATGCGAAATCAAAGGTAAGTTGGTCGACGGTCGATTTTCTACAGATAAAGATCGGAATTGAGCCTCTAAATACTCTGAAGATGGCGACGTGGTTGGAGCGACTGGCGATGGGAGCTGGCCAGGCGATAAAGATGATATCGGGGTATTAAATGGCTGTGGTGTCGATGACGAACTGGGATTCTTTTCTAACGGTCGAATATCGGGAGTTCTTGTAGCTGTTGTATGCACTAGAGGCGGTATCTTGACAGTTTCCTTTGCCTCGGGATAATGATATGGGTATGACGGGTGGTTGGCAGAAGCCGGCCTCACGATTCCTGGAGGCGGTCCCGGAGGAGGCGGCGGAATGGAGAACCTTGGAGGAAACTGTTCATTAGAACTAGTTGGAGTGATGATTTCATAGCCAGGAGGTCTCGGAGGGACCGGCGGAGGCCGAGAACTGGGTACGTAAGCCGGATTCCGAGGAGGAAGTCCAGGAGGTGGCGGTGGATAGCCGCCGTTCGGATATCCCAGAGAAGTATTAGTATACCCAGGCGGCTGGGGGTTCCGAGGTGGGAGCGGCGGGCGATATGATCCGGGAGTAGACATATCGATGTAGTTGCTTCTAAACATGCAACTTTACTGATTCCTTTACTAAGATGAGATTCAGCTGTTCCAGCCAAAGACCCCCTCGAGGCTTATATTACGCAGCGCATGGCGGTGGAGAATACGCTTATGTCGACCTTTTTTTCTCTCCTTAACGTACCGCGTCCACTCGGGATCGAATGTTGACGAGTCGCGAAGGATGCGGTCTAAGCGACGAATGAGTATAAGGCATGATTTTCTTTTCCATTTATAAACTGTACGACTTGAAATATGTTCAGCTGAGCTGCGCTAGATAAGAGCCTGCAGCAGCCGCCCTTAAACTTATCGTCTTGGCGTCACCTTTGCGAGAGCTTACGTGTTGTAGGAAGGCTGATACCAAGCCATATGAAGGAGTTGTTTTGCTTAAGTGTTTATCCCGTAACTCCGTAAAAAGCCCCCTTTACTACGGAGTTGACCTCTACTAGAGTAGCTATACGGAAAGTTGTTTCACAGAGAGTCAGCTATATTTATTAGACATACTATCCCCAAGTCTATATGTCTGGAGCCAACAGCGTCATCATAGTATCTAACTGGACCTAGACGTATCTATGTTATCTATGAGTTCCCTAGAAGATTACATTCTGAAGTTATTCATAACTTAACCTATCTAATTATGTTTTACATATCGGGCTTCTTATAAGCTGCAACGGACGGACCGTCTATGCAAACAGTTAATCGGGGCCGAGAAGGAAATAGATATTGACTTATCCTTGAGAGTAATTGGGCGACGGACATTCCAGCTCATGCAGGCTTGCAAAGTGATTGCAACTGTTGCAGCTCCCCTTGCACGTTCGTGGTCGACTTTCCCCATATTCTCCAATCTAGCCCCTTTCCTTAAAAACGGCCTCTCATTGTATATGATATGTCGACTAGTTCTAAAATATGTTGTTTGATTGGCGGAACAACCTTCCATGCATGGCTAGAACGAGGGGTTCTTAACGGGCACCGTGATGGTTGGGCCGTACGCTATCCTAAGCGGCAACGAGCGAAACATGTTTCTTTGGGTTTGCATGAACATGCTGTCTAGCGTGATTTCCGTGTTTTGATATCTTGCCAGACTTGATCGATATGGGTTTGCGGACAGAGCTAAAAGGGGAAAAGGGGAATATATAACCGGGACATAAGGTTAAAAAGCAACGTAAAAGAAATGGAATTTATACTTAGACCAACTTGGAGATATAATTATAATTGCAGTCAAACTATAGTGTAGCCATGCAGCTTCATCCCACGAGGACCAAGAAGGAAAAAAAAAAAAAAGACCAAGGTGCACGTATTATGGGTAACCCTTGGGTTTCGTTTGTGCAGGACATGCGCAAGACGCGTGTAGAGGGTGCAGCTGTTGGCTTAGGTACTTTTCTACCTGTCAACCAACATGATACCATGCTGTCATGATGCCGTGATACTCTGTTGTAAGTTATGTTGCCTCCGAGACACGGGGCTAATAAATCCATCAAATAGATGCCTTATAAAATCAACCGCATATCTTATAAATTTTTAATAAATGATACTAATATGCGTCTACAAATAGTCCGTCGATGAATTACACAGAATTATAGGAGGTAGGTATGTAGGTACGGTACGTGTAGTTTGAAGTGTGCGGGCCGAGGGAAAAGGAGAAAAGGAAATGTAAGTTACCCGTATGTACATGTCTACTATGCGTGATGATCACGAAATCAGCCACTCGGACCCCATGATAAGATGGAAGAAAGTTAATAGATTAGGTACCTAAACTACCTAAGGCACCTTAGATTAGGTTAGGTACCTTAACGGTTCGCGTATGAAAATCAGGATCATCTGAACATTAGTATGTCTGTAAGGTCGACCTTTTCCCCAGGAATGGAAAACCAGGTGGTACTTTGTGACTGGCTGCGGAGTCGAATACATGTATGTACCTAACCTATCTAATATATGAGGTAGGTACCTACCTACTTCAATTTTTGTTGAACATTCCAAGGTTCCCGAGGGTTGATCCAGCGCGTTATGCCTTAGGTACCCTATATTGAGAGACGAGCCTACAGGTACAAGGTACCTAGGTAGCTTCAAAATTATTAGTACATTAGTAGGTACACAGGTACCTTATCTTAGGTAATCAAGTCACTTCCATCCAAAGGTTTTTTTTTTGGTCTTTTGGTCGTTTACACTAGGTACCTACTGCCTTCGCCTGCTGATTTTTAACTGTGGGTCTGGGGACACTGTGATCAGCCGAAGGAGGCGCGCTTGGTAAATGGATTATGTGGGTATCTGAAAAAGTACATGTAGTGCTTAGCGTGCCATAGTATGGTTGGATGTACCTTATGTGAATAATACTGGAGTCAATTGCTGGCCGCTCATGCTGGCTCATGCTGGCTCGATGCATTCAATGTTGTTATGTATTGGCCACTGGAGTTTAAATCCGCTGGATCTTCCCCGCCCTCGTGCGTGTGCGGCCGATGCAAAACATTTGCTCCGTGAACCACGTATGACGCAAGGCGAACTACGAAATGCGACAAAATAAGGCGGGCTCGACTCTGATAGGTCAATTGTATCTGGAGTGGTATATTCCAACCACGGATTTATCTGGAGTGGTATATTCCAACCACGGATTTGGCTATTGGCTATAGTGCTGCTACTATGCTACTGCTACTATGCTACTATGGGCAATTGGATGGATCAGGTACAAACAATTTGCAAGCCTTCGTTACGACCCGCCGTTGCTATTGTTAAATTTCGAAGGTCTTGTGACACTATTATTTGGCCCTAGTCTGAAAATCTACCTCCTAAGACTAGACGTCACTTATTAAAGTGTCCAAGGTGCTTAGAAAACAAAACTTGCAAGCGCACGGCAGGCATAGGCGACTTGCATTGTGGAACCCCAACAGCGTCATCCTTGACAGATGTCGCCCTATCCGGTTGCTTTTTCTGAGAAGGGAGCCTTGTCCCTGACGCCTGTCGCCTGACGCAGATGCTGTAGGACTCTTATCTACCTAAGGCAGACTAAGGTTGTTTACATACAGCTGCCTGTACTTCGGGTCCTGCGGCACCTTGCATTAGGTAGAATTGTCATAGAATTGTCATTGTTGAGCTGTCCCCAACTTCATGCGCAAATTCTCCTTGATCTTTATTTTCTTCCATCTTCTCTTTTTTCCCCTCCAAGTATCGCGCCCCTGAAATATACCACGAGGCGCCACCTAACCTACAATTTTACCTATACATCTCGACTCTGAGCTGATTATTTACCTTCTATTACCTACAGTTTGTTGTCGACGGCAACTGGGTTACCGACCACACCGCACCGAAAGAAATTGACGAGAGCGGTAACGAAAACAACATCCTAACCCCCGACCGTATTATTAAAGAAGCGCCCGCAACTGCTGCTATCATGAACACTGTTACACCGGACTCTACGACCGCTGCTTTGGCCGCAGCTGTGCCGCTGGAGAAGAAGAATGATGAGGTGCCAGGTACTTTCCCCATAACCCCCGCTGCGGAACCCGACGGGGCCGGCGATTTTGGAGTAAACCCATTGCCGGCTGCTGCAGGCGCCGTCAATCCTATCAAGCTTGCTCCGGGCGAGAAGATCCCCCAGGGTCTTACTGCCAATGGCATCACCGACCAGGTTAAGCTAGATCCCGAGTCGTACGAGAAGAGCGACACCATTCCAGGTAAGCTTCGCTATTGCTTCAGTCCCAATTTATATTCAGTGTCTAATTTTCCTCCAAGGTGGCTTGCCTCTCACCCTGAACTCTGCCGCACCGGTGTCTACAACTGCTGTTTTGGCGGGAAGCGTACCCCTCGAGCCAAAGGTTCCCGAGAGAGTCAGAGAGAGCCAGGAGAAAGCAAACGTTGACCCCGAAGCCAGCGGCATCGCAGAGGAGGTCAAGGAGAAAGCCGAGGTCGAGAGCGAGCTTCTGGACAAGGTGAAGGAAGCACCCACTACGTCCGAAGGTACTGCCGGCCAAGGCACCGAGAAGACGGAGGACGTCGTTACTCCCGGCGAGGCCGCCGCGTCTGTTGCAGCTGCGGCTACTGCTGTTGGCGCCGCTGCAGTCACTGGTGCTTTTGTTGCCAAGGACGTCGCTGTTGAGAAGGCCACGGATGCTGCTACGGCAGCCCAAGCCTCTGTTATCGAAGCAGCCGCGAATCTGCCCGACTCAGTCAAGGAACAGCTTCCAGAGTCTGTTCAAAATGCCATTGGAACCACGAAGAAGGAGGAGACTCGCGAGGAAGTTTCCCCTGAGGTACCTGCTGGGGTCAAGGAATCTATTATCGAAGCTGGAAAGGCCCCGGAAGCCGCTGCAAACACGGAAGCAGTCGAAGACAAGAAGGCCGTTGAAGTTCAGCTGTTAAAGGAGGTCAAAACCGTCGACGCTGATAAGGAAGAGTCGGCCAAGCCAGCCGAATCGACAGAAGCCGCTGGCAACTCTTCTGAGATTAGAATACCACCAGCTTCGGAACCAATTACTGCCAATGGCGCTAATGGTGCTAATGGCCACCAGGAAACTGTAAAACCTGTTGAACTTAGGCGAGTCCCGACTGACCCCACTGATCCGACTGACCCCGCCGAGGCCACCAAACCCACCGCTCCGGCTACCCTGACCGTTCCCGAGACTACGGCTCAGCCGACTGAGGTGACCAGCCCGACCAGCCCGACCAGTGACGCCAAGCCAGCTAACGGCGCTGCAACTGAGAAGAAAAAGAAAAGCAGGCTCAGCTCCATCTTCGGCAAGGTTAAAAGCAAGCTGTCTGGCAAATAAACGCCAGTGGCTTGTTCTTTGCTTTGATTATTATTTCGGCACTATTGTCAACCTCTTCATTTCATTTGAAGCTTATGATTCCCCATCTCGCGTCGACCCGCTACGACAGGTGCCGATAGGGCAATAGTCACTGTCAGGCACTTCCTTGTACATATAACTCGTTCACTCAGCATACCTCAACCGTTTACCTAGATAATACGTTACTCTCCCGGTTTACGAAAGGGCTTCGTGCTGTTTTGGATGGTGCGGGGTGGTTGGCCCTCCTTTCTATTCAACTCAATGTTTCTTGGTGGTAGCTCTTATTACGTTCCGATGAGCCATGTCGAACTTGACGGCGTTCTGTCTCGTCTTTCTCGTCCTGCGTTGCTTCACGATTGATGCAGTTTTGCTTTCCAACATAATCAAGTCAAATCTAGGCTGTTGAGGGGTTGATGAAAATCCAGGGTCGCGAAATGCAGTGATGGAAGTTTGTGATTGGTGGCAGTTAGGCATTGACGTCTAGGCAGGAAAGAGACTGGATTATATTGTTGGATAATCAGATAGGACACGCTTTGGATGCAGACTGAAGGTAGTTGGGATACGTAGAAAAAGCGGCATAATAGACAAGTATCTTGTGGAGCCGGCTAAGACTTTTCTTTCTTCGCGCACATGTGGTTTGTGATTTCGGGAAAGGAGGTTTTACTCTACTACCTGTTATTCTGTTTTTGGATTGGAATTGTGTACTACGTAGGTAACCTAGGTATTGTAGCTTTTAAATCCCGCTATGAATGGAGGGGGCTTAAAGACGGCGATTGTTTAATCATCGTTTCAGTAACAAATATGTAACAATCTTTATATACGCAACTACCTCATAGGAAAGATATAACTATCTCGATTATAGTATAATACGATAAGTGGATTATAAAGTAGCGCTAACTGTAAGAGTGACATCTGGATGGAATCGTCACTAAGGATTTGGCCCCGCCGGTGACTCTAACTCCTTCCACTCTTTCCTTCTCAAACCTCCGGGGTCCCGTCCAGTCTGGACCCCTCGAATTGCGAATTGCCGACCAACTGCCAATCGAAACAACCCTTACAACTCTTATCATTGATGAGAGAATCTTTGGATTCTCGTCACTGAACAAACCTCTCTATTTTAAATTTACTGATAATTGATTTCCTTTTTCTTTTGTTATTTTAGTGGAAGTAGTAGTCTTTGCATGACGTCTCTAGACGTTAACCTTCAGCTCTTTGCGCCGTGGTTGCCATCCTCCATGCTCGATAGGACGAGCTTGGCCTCAACAACCATCAACATCATGAGCTCTGGCCCGTCAAACTTGGGAGGCAAATCCCTTTCTTCTCCGACACTCTATACTCCAAACTCGCAACCCATCTCAGTTCCCGCGCCCAGCTTCGAAACCAATTCTCGTCGTTCCGGTCTGTCGAGCCCGTCGTTCCCGAATTCAGCTCCGAGAAAGGGACAAGGGTCGAGGAAGCAGCACCGGAATCAGCGAAGGCCGCTGAATGAGGATTATGCCATGGCAGAACTCGTAAGTAGATATGGCGAACTAATTCTATACCTACTATGCAATGTATAGGACCATGTGTAGGTAGCTAACTCATTGAGATAGAGGGCCGTCAGAAACACTTCGAGCCGTCGAGGCCAAACTTCCATCACCCATCTTCTAAACTACTCTGCCCCGACGCGTAGTCATCACGAATATCCTAGATCGAGTCGTAGACATGCTACCTGGGGCCCTGGCTCTGGATACCATGCCGTTGATAAGGCAAGGTACGTTGATTTCACCCGCGAGTCGCGAGTCATTAGTGGGCTTGAGTTGGTTATGCTTACAAAAGTTTTCAGGTTTGTTCACGCCAATTATCGGTTTGTAGTTTCACCCTCTGGGGACTACTCTTCCCAAGCCGTGGATGCCGACAAGTATCTCGAGTGGTCCGACGTACTTCAAATTATAGCTTCCGCCGAATCCCAAACCGCAGCATGCCCAATCTGCCTGTCAGACCCCGTAGCCCCTCGCATGGCGCACTGCGGCCACATATTCTGTTTGCCGTGCCTATTGCGATTCATGAATTCAACCAACGACGACGAGCCGAGCCCCCGGAAAGAAGCGAGATGGAAGAAATGTCCTATATGTGAGGACTCGTTCCGGCTTTCCGAAGTCAAGCCAGTGCGTTTCTATGCCGGCCAGGAAAACCCTATGCCGAGACCGGGGGAAGATGTCGTACTGAGATTAATGGTACGAGACTCGGGCTCTACCTTGGCCCTACCAAACGAGGGGGGCCAGGATGTCGTCAATCTGGGGGAGGACATTCCGTGGCATTTTGCGGCAAACGTTATGGATTACGCCAGGGTGATGAAAGGGACGAACGATTACATAGTAGGACAGTATGAAAGGGAGATGACCGATTTAGGGGATCAGGCATTAGCGGACGAGATACAATTTGGTCAAGAAGACGGAGCCTGGACGCAACGAGCTATTAAAGCCATCAATACAGCCGTGGACAAGATTCGCGATGAGCCGAGCGAAGAGTTGTTACAACCAGGCAATACCAATACCTTGAAGGCAAAGCAACCAGCCAGTCAGAAGTTCTATTTCTACACGGCGCCTCCACACCTATACCTATCACCTCTCGATATTCGAATTCTGAAGACCAAATTCGGTGATTTCTCAAACTTCCCCTCGACGCTGCTCCCACGTGTCGACCATATAACTACCGGCCACGTGGTGGATGACGCTCTAAGAAAGCGGGCCAAGTACCTAGGACATCTTCCTCACGGTTGCGTTGTAAGTTTTTTGGAGTGTGATTGGACGGATATAGTTCCTGCGGATGTTCTGGAGACGTTTTCGGACGACCTAGAGCGTCGACGTAAGTCACATCGGGACAAGGCGGCTCAGGAGGAGCGAGAAAGATTACAGGCAGAACGCTTAGAAGCCTCTGCTATCGGACGTAGCGCTAGGCGACACTTTGATCAAGCCAACCAGGACAAGTTCGAGCCGACTCCTACTATGAACTCGGAAGACTTCCAGCCGCTTGGTGCCGTTGAAGGTACGTCCCCGCCAAACCCCCGACCGGGATTCAGCCAGCTCGCAGACATGTCGACTAGTCCGTCAACATCGAAGACAGTATGGGGAACTCGAGCGATTCCTGCTTCGCCCCAATTAGGACCCGTGCCAGAGCGCGATGTTAATGACGGCTGGCTAAAAGACGACGAGTTCCTCGATGCTGCTGAAATAGCAATGCAGATGGAAGCTCTAAGCATCGAACCTACGCATGCCGGACCAAGCAACGGACCTAATGGTGGTTCAAGCGGCAAGAAGAAGAAGAAACAGAAAATCACATTAATGAGCACCGGCGGCCGTCGCGGCGGTTAACAGTCTGCTATCGGTTTCAATGAAACTGTATACTTTTTAATTATTCTATAACTAGGTTTGGCAACAATGGGCTATTCGTATGCGGAATTATTTTCTTAAGGTGTCACTGCGTTCTACATTAGAACGGGCCTCGCTTTCTTACTATAAGTAAAGATGGAGGGGATATCGGCTACGGCCGGTAGGTATAGGGTATGGGAGAAATCGAAACGGTTGAATTCTCTACTATACTCAATATAACTCTTGAAGCTATCGTTGAACGCCTCAGTTGGGTTAAACCTTGCTGTCATAATGGCGACACGGGAAGGAGAAGGGGAAGGGGAAGAGATACGATAAGAACTGTGAAGTTATTCTTATCTATTATGAATTGCAACCCCGCTATCATTTATCCATCATTAGATTCTATCTCCATCTTGAGCTTTAACATATATCTTACACACGCAGTGATACATATACCTAAACATTTACATACCTAGGTATATATATGTAGGTATATATATCCATCGTACGTATTGTGAATAAACACCACGCTGTCTACACTACCCAAAACATCAGGTACCTACCTGTACTTATTCTCCATGGCCAAAACCGAATCCAAAACGACCAAGGCTAATTTACTACCACCCCCTATCCATATCAATCCGCCACTCCTCAACTCGGCAAACCCGTGGGCGACGACGCAAGAGGACCTCGAGGCTTTATTCGATTGTCCGTCTACAGGCGCGGTGACGACGCGAACGGCGCTGCTGCGCGGGTTTGCGCACGATCCGGCGAGGCATCGGTATGCGTTTTTTGATTCGGGAACACATACTGTTGGTATTACTACTTCTGTCTCTGGCGGCTTGGTTGGGAATGTGAGTGCGAATGCGAATGCTAGCTTGAATAATATGGGGTACAGCCCCGTGACGCTGGATGAGTACTTGGGGTTTATCGAGGCGATAGTAGTGGGGGGTAGGGAAAAGGAGAAGGGGGAAGGGGAAGGAAAAGGGGTAGAGAAGTTGAAGTTGTTTATGGTCTCGGTCACGGGGACACCGGAAGAAGTCGCCGAGTGCTACAGGCGGATCGCGGCTCTGGCGGCGAGGATCGATGCGCCGCTCGCCACGGAGATTAATCTCAGCTGTCCGAATATCCCCGGCGCGCCGCCGCCGGCGTACTCTGCCGAGGGGTTGGGGTTGTATCTGCGCGCCGTGGCGCGGGCTACTGCTACGGGGGGGCGAGAAGAAGGAACTTGTTGTTGTGATTGTGAAGTGCCGTGGGGTATCAAGATCCCGCCGTATACGCACGCTGGCCAGTTCGATATGCTGGTGGACGCGCTGCGGGGAGAAGCACTTGGACTTGGTCCGGGGGGCCGTTGTCCGGCGAGTTTTGTTACGGCGACGAATACCCTGGGTTCGTGTCTGCTGCTTGATGGGGGGAATAATAGGCCTGCGTTGGGGGGCGGGATGGGTGGGATAGGGGGGATGGCGGGGGCGCCGTGTAAGACATCCTTTTTTTTTTTTTTCTTGTATTTCCATTTTACCATTTCCTCCGTCTAAAGTTCCTTGATACTAATTCCTCGTTTGTATACCCAGTACACCCCCTAGCACTAGGTAACGTGGCGACGCTCCGGCGGATGTTCGATGCGTATCCGGAGACTTCGCACGTGCAGATAATAGGGGTCGGGGGTGTTGAGGATGCGGCGGGGTATAGGCGGATGAGGGATGTAGGGGCGGCGGCTGTTGGTGTAGGGACTGCGCTTGGGAGGAAGGGGGTTGGGGTCTTTGGTGAAATTGAGGATGGACTGAGGGCGTTATCAGGGGATAGGGAGGGGGAGGGAGTTAGGTGGTGAGATTGGAGTGAACTAGGTATCTACCTGTTAGTGGTTCGTCTATATGAGTTCCAATATGATGAGAGCTATACCGTGGGTATAGTCTTACGACTCGGTAAGTTATAGCTGACACTCTCGACAGAATTACCTCCAACGAAAAGGGGACAAGCTTTCTTAAAGGACAGAAATATGATTTGATCGTCTTAATAAACATTAAGATAGATAGTCTATTACATGTAGTTAACGCCCAAATTAAATGAAACTGTATGTCGAATACATCATGCCGTCTAAGGTAAAAGTCCAAGGCATCGCAGTGCATATTAACTCCCAGATATGTCCTCCTCTCAATACCTAGCTATTTTTTGAATAACATGCCATTCATCCGACCGCGAAATTATTCCAGAGGGCGAAGAAACGTCGCGATATATTCTCCCAAAGGTAGAAAAGACTGTATGTATGTATCCCTCGCCGCTGATCCCCATCTGCGGTGTATAGAAAGCGCAAGTGAGTGAGTGTGAGCCTACAGGAAATACGCGATGACACCAGCAACAGCGGCTAGTCTACCCCCAGCATGATGGACTACCCTCTCGCCAGCGCCGTTGCCGCTCTGAATGGCTCCGGTGGCGTGAGAGGAGCTCGCGGTAGAAGTGGCGTCGGCGGTCTTTACACCGCCCTCGCTGGTCGCGGTCGCCTTCGAGGACGAAGCAGACGTGCTGCTGCGGCTGGTGGTGCGGCTGGTGGAGGTGGTGGCGTACGCGGTAGCGTACATACTGTGGGTTTCGGTGTTAGTAACTAACTAGTGGAGAAGATGGATATTATTGTTGTTGTGAGAAGGTGAGAAAGGGGGAATGTGGCTTACCAGTTGAGATCCTTCTGTTGTTGGTAGCTTGGTTCTCGGCTGTCGTTGGGACAGTTGCCGAAGCATCTATATACCACGATAGAATCAGTATTTTATAAATTGGCTATGTAGAAGCTAGCTAGCATAAGGAGGGCTGCTCCGTACGTCATGATGGCGGTATACTTATCGCACAAGCACACATAGTCGGTCGTAGTATTATCGCAAAGACTGAGATAGCTCTCGGTCGTAGCGAGACAAGTATCGAGAATATTCTGAGCTTCACAAACCGTAGACGACGAGGAAGAGCTTTTATCATCGCTATCCGTCGTCTGGGCACCAACCAGAGCAGTAGCAGCAGCGAGGAACGCGACTCGGAATAGAACAACCTTCATAGTGTTGAATATGACAAGTTGAAGACTGAGTTAGGTACCTAATATATTATTATCTCACAGCGACTGGCAGAATATAAAGACGAAGATGAGACGAGACAAGAGTGACCATTTCACAATAGACAACTTAAGACACTAGGTATACTCTCCAGATTATTATTATTTGCGGGTTTATGAAAACGGAAGAAAAGGGGCGCCGCCTAGGCGGAACTCCAAGTTGCCCTCCTTCGGGCTCAAGTAAATCTCGGCAAAGGGACGAACACGACGTCTGATGTTGACGCGTCCGAAGGGACGATACTTCGGCAGTGCATGGCCCCTCGTCTCGTCTCGTCTCTTCTCGAGCGGAGTTCCGCCCTGTGGGTAGGGGCTCAATATGAATGATCTCGATTCTAGGGGTCCAGTCTAGGGTCCTGGTCCCCTTGTAAGCTGTATAGAGTTCGGATGAGTATTATAAGGTTGTGCGTAGCTTAGCGCTTAGCATAGAGCCTAAGTTTAGGGGTCTCGCATGTAAGTTTTGTGGTGGGAGTAAGGTATTAGGGATGGTTCGGTGTTTAAGACAGAGCCTTGAGACGAGCGTATGTACCTAAGTGATCGGACACATTACTGGATAGATGAAGAATTAAGGTTTATGTTTTGACGATGAACTTGATACTAACAAGTGAAAAGGGGTATCTCATGCAGGGCAAACACGGGATGACGGATAACTTTGAAACCACGAGACTAGAACCTTGGCAATGCGCCCACACTCCCTCAAACATTCACAATGGACACGAAGTTCCCGGCGTGCACCTATAACCTTAGTTCCCTGACATCACCGACGTCCGAACTTGAAGACGATAGGCACTAACTACCACGTGAAGCCAAACTGGCCACCGTAGACAACCAACCATCTAAACCTGCTGCTGGAGCCTCGCCTCCAGCGCCGCATTGCGCGTCTCCAGCTCGTGAACACGCTCGCGCAGCTCCTCCGTCTGCTCCTCCACCTCGACGGAAAACTCGTCCACAATCTTCACGAAGCGCCACAGCCTCAACATGACGATCAGGGACGCGATCTTCTCCGCCGTGTTGTGCTCCAGCAGGTCGACCGCGAAGCCCACGACGATAACGAAGGCGTCGAAGCAGTGCAGCTTGCTCGCAAAATATCTGTTTGGTAGGTAAATAAACTCTTGTGATCAGAATAGGGATTGCCGGGAATAAAATAAGCGGGAGGAAGGAAGGAGAAAAAAAAGGAAAAAAAAGAAGGGGGTGTTTGTGACGGGCCTCACTCACCGCAAACCGTCGGCCAATACGGACAGCAGCAGCTCGCCTAGGAACACGCAGCTCAAGGTCAGCGACAAGACGGCCAGCGTGTTCCTCGTCGGCGCCACCCACGGGTCGTGCTCCACGCCGATCTCGCACGTAATCAAGGCGATGAAGATATCGCTCAAGATGCCCGCGACGTCGATGATGACGAGGACCAGAACAATCCAGTGTTTGGTGCGCGAGTTCATGAAGCGCGACAACGCCGCTCGGGTCCGACGGTAGACCGACTTCCAGTCGTCCACCAGCGGCGCTCCACGGTGGTGGCGGAGGTACTCACCGAGGAGGGGAGCGTTATCACTCATGACTTATATTATACTATTGCCATTTACTAGGGAGTCTTAATCTTTCAAACCAGAAATATCGAAAGCAATTGTGCAGGAAGATGGTTGACTTTGGTGTTTTTTACGATAGAGTTAGTTAAGGCTGAGTCAGTTGAGCTATAACCCTAGGTGTAAGTTAGAGTCTTAATTAGAGAGGTATAGGTATGTTATGTACTTAACCAACTGGATATACCTCGGCAATTGAACCCCTCTGCCCCTGAAGTCTACCTTCTTCAAATAAATATCCCCCTCTAATTCCTTTGATGAGTAGGGAACTCTCGAAAGAAAAGAAAAAAAAGAAAAAAATAAAAAGTCAGGCACGGTTTTCATATAGAACAACCATTTTACCCGAGGCTGATAAGCATACAAGTTATACAACTTTAGGTAGTTAATGTTAGTTGAAACTAAAACAAATGACTTCTTTTTGTAGAGCTAGGCAAATCCCAATTGCATTTCTCGAGAGGTGCGCGTAAAGGCCCCCCACTGCGTAAACCATGCGGATGCGAATGTATATAGCCCGCGGTATCTTATGTACAGTACGTCACTCCTCGACAAAAGACAAAAGTGGTCTATCGCCGCGCCGTCGGGACTCGGCCCAAGGAGCCGCAACCGGAACCGGAACCGGATCATCTCGCCTTTCCCATCTATTACCGTCTCTCCATCTCTAACTAACCCTCTAGTTTACTTCCTGTACCACATCCTCGTGATCTTGGTGTTCCGCATCTTGCGCTGGAGCTGGAAGATACCGTACATGAGGGCCTCGCTGGTGGGTGGGCAGCCGGGGACGTAGACGTCAACGGGGACGACACGGTCGCAACCGCGCACGACGCTGTAGCTGTAGTGGTAGTAGCCGCCGCCGTTGGCGCAGCTACCCATGCTGACGACCCAACGCGGCTCCGGCATCTGATCGTATACTTGTCGCAGCGCCGGCGCCATCTTGTTGGTCAGTGTACCTGCCACGATCATAATATCCGACTGTCGTGGCGATGCTCGGAAGATAATTCCTAGTCTGTCCTGGTCGTATCGCGGTGTCGACACGTGCATCATTTCCACGGCGCAGCACGCGAGTCCGAACGTCATCGGCCAGAAGGACGATTGCCGCGCCCAGTTAGCGATCTGGTCGAGTGTGGTCCTATGGTGGCGAGTTAGTTTTAGTTCCCGTAATAGTATAATATATAATAAATTCCGATAGGAAAAGAAGACGAAGGTATGACGTACAGGGTATATTGGATTACGCCCTTCTTGGGTTCTTGGCTGGGGAGCGGGATTTCTCTGCGCGGACGGTGGGCGAGGCCCGTAGAGCCGTGGGGTGTCACGGACGCAGCATCGTTCTTAGAGGTGGTCGAGATGGAGGCGAGGGACTGTAAAGGGACGATACGAGGTGTCGGCTTCGCTGAATATGAATGTTAATATACTACGAGTGCATGTCTCTTTTGAAAGATGGACGAACCTCTTAGAGCCAAGGTGGCTGCTCTTCGCGACGAAGACAGCATCATTATTCTATTCACGGATTGATAACCGTATGATGCTTATCTGATATGGGTAGGAAGTTGTAGGTTGAGTGGAGAGGGTTATTAGAGAGAGAGAGAGAGGAAGAGATGGTATGTAGAAAGTCCGATCTGGCGTCAATCCATAGACTGGGACTGCATCTAAAGATTGCGGACCTTCCGTCAATTGACGTTTAACTCAAATTACGTTTTTGCCGCTTCGCTAATCAAGAAATGCTTTAATCCGACTGGCCGAATATGATCGGATGTGGTATATTCCGCTCCGATATACCCCACATTGGGTACCCGGGTACGGAAAGGAAGCTTTCAGCGGCTGCTGACAGTTGTATTACAACGGGCATGTACCTAGGTAGTTATTAGATCTGCCTACTAAAACATCAATAGACTTGGAGTTCAATCTTATTAATTATTGAGTATTGTCTAGAGGTCGTGATATCCCACATGATGTCAAATAAATCACAAAATATCTAGCATCATACTGGCTAAATAAATAATAAATAAATTGAACGCTCACTCTTGGACCCGTGCCGTGCACTTGCTATTTGCCAGAAGAGGCATCAAGCTCCTAAATAAGGGATGAGTTAACTATGGCTGGAACGTGTCAACATGGTGTACCTAAAGCCTTAACTTGTCAAACATCGCTATTCCTTACCTGCTGGCCCCCTAATACGCACATAGTGTGTTAATCTCTCTCTCTCTCTCTCCATACATCCCAAAACCCGTTACACCATCTTCACGAGCTTCATGCCACCAAACGCGAGCTTCCGCGCAGGTCGCCATAAGTGTTTCTTGCCATCGAAGTATACGTACGCGGCACCAACCGCAAGACCCGTGAGGTGCGCGCCGTGTCCGAGACGGAAGTACGGAATGCCGATGAACAACCCGTACAGCTCAAATAATACAAGAGCCGTCATGAAGTTCTCGACGGAATAACTCCCGGGAATGAACATAATGCCCAGCCGCGCATTCGGATACAATGTGGCCCATGCTCCTAGCACTGTAGCAAGAGTCAATGGATAGGTATATTATAGATAGATGGTGGCCTCCATACTATAGAATATAGCACTAAGGGACAAACGATACTGGAAGTTACTTACGAGCCATAACAGCGCCGCTAGCTCCCAGGCCCGGACCGAGACGGTTGAACTTGTAAGTCCGGGTGGGCAAGACGGTGGCAAGATGGAACCCCAGCGACGAGAGTATGCCGGCCGAGAGATAGAAAGCCGCGAAGTGACTGCCGTTTCCTGCGAAGACGTGGGACCGCGCAACCTCGGGTCCTATCTGGAGCAAGGCGAAGGTATTGATCCCGGCGTGGAGCAGACCCAAGTGGCCGAACACAGACGTCAGGAGCGTGTAGTTAGGGCTAAAACAAGGCGTGTGCGCAAAATACTGCATGAACGCCCCCGGGGCGAGAGAGCTCGCCCCGACGAGGCCGATGTGGAGAGCCGAGAATCCCAAGATCAACTTCTCCGCGTCGTTGTGTCCCGCGAGCATCTCGCCGATCTGGCCCGGCAGGTGCCATTTCGACGGCTGCGGTTGTTTGCGGAACAGGGAATGCAGGACATGTCCGCGATGCCTGGCGTCCTCTAAGTCTTCGTACGAAGCGACGCTCCCATCTTTGAAAAGCCCTCTCCTCTTGGCGTTCTGGACGTCTCGACGGACGTCATAGGCGGCGCATCCGAGAAAGATGGTGGTTGTAGCCGCCAAGGCCCATAGCGTCGGCCTAAGGATCGGAACGGCCGGGAGCTGGTCTCCCGGGAAGTAGGGCCCGGTCCTAAGTGTGCGCTTCGATGGACCGGCTCCGGATAGACGATTAGGTGTAGGTAGTGCAATTCTTCTGAGCTGGGTGCGCAACATTGTTAAGGGCCCTAGGTGCTGCACTGCCTATCTAGATATCTAAGGGATAGCGGCCATCAACAAGCCAAATTCGGGTTTAAGATTCCCGAGTTTGGTGTTCATTTGGAGAGTAGATGATTGTTGCGTGATGATGGTTGGATGTATGTACAATGTACGGGGGGGGCTATGTAGGTTGTGATATTTAAAGAATGTCTGATAAGTGGCAGTTGTCTGCCAGCTGAAAGCAACTAACCTACAAATCTTACGTAATATTCGTGCTTAAGCTCAGAGAGTAAACATATTCCATTACAAACACCCCTTAACTAAGGCAAGGGGAACATTAAAAGGTACATATCCAATTCATGGATTCCCAAACGCTACATGTAGTTTTCCTATAAACACAACTAGAAACATCAATTTTTAGTCGAATGGTAGCTTCGTTAGTATATGCCTTTACGGCGGTGTCGCGTTGCCCGCCATATAGGCACTGAACGCTCTCTTTACGACATGTTAGTCAATGAAACTCTAGGTATAACGAACATGGAGCGAAGAGAAGAAGAAAAACAAAAATACTTACCGGGTTTCTCGTTTGGAGGAACACGGTGCCAGGTCCTGTAAATTTACAGACCAACCCCTCTCCGCTAGCAAGTCCTCCTATGATGCCGCCGCTAGCTACACGTTCCATGACATATTTAACGTTCCAAGCAACCAGATGTCCGTTGTCAACGATATACTTCTCGCCGTCAGCAAGATCCTTGCGGATAATTGCGCCGAAACTAGTGATCCAGAGCAGACCAACACCACTAATCTTGTGCACCCATAGACCTTCCCCGCTAAACATAGCCTTACCGAGTCCTTGGCGCTTATAGTCGCGGATGACGCCTTGAGTGCTAGCAACGTAAGCATCTTTGCCAACGCTCCACGATTCCTCTCCTGTTAAACGGATGGTGGTCATATCGCCGAGCATACCGGGCGCCAGCAGCAGCTCACCGGGGCCGATAAATGTCGAGTGACCTAACTCGCTGCCGCTGGCCATCAATTTCTTCATGCTGAACTTGTACTCGCCCTTCAGCGTGATAGTGGGGCTCATAGCAATCAGTACTCCAGGCTTCGCGGCTATCGGGCATCCCATCGCCAGTTGGATCGTGATTATCGTATTACAGTCCCTATGACTGATGCGGTATGAGCCGCCATTGAACGTTCCCACATCGTCTAAAGTCGCGGCGGCGCCTTGGAATTGCGCGGCTGGAGGCCCCTGCGTAGGCGGAGGCGCTGCCACAGGATTTGATGCTGCCCGAGAATGCGCCGGCCCCGTTCCTAGAATACTCTGTGCCTTCTCGTTCGGGAACCCCTCTGGGACGTTGTGTACTATATCCCCGTATGCGGGCGCGGCTCCATTTGGTGGCGTGGGAGCACCTTCATTTCGAATCGGCAGGGCTCCATGTTGTGCTGGCTGAGGAGGCGGAGGTTGGTAAATAGGCGTTATAGCTTTGGGCGGTGGAGATACGCCTTGTTGTGGGGGCGCAGGATATTGTTGTTGTGGAGGAGCTGTGTACGTTTGTTGCGGAGGTGTAGGATAGCCTTGTCCGTGAGTCTGTTGTCCAGCGTAACCGGGTGTGCTTGGCGGCGGCGGGTAGAATTTGGACTTGTTCGCAGGAGGAGAGGTAGGCGGTTGATAGTTCCCCTGTGATGCTGCAGTTGTTTCTGTTAACTTACCAGTACTGGCACAACTCTAGGATCCGATTATGAAAGCATACCTGGTGGGCCATTGGTGCCGGGAGGCGCTAGATTATGAATGTTAGCTATATAAGCCGAAGCTGAAGAATATTAGTTAGGTAACTAGAAGACCGCATACGTGGATAGTAATGAGTAGACATTATCGCTCCGTGATCCTTCAGCCTCTTGATGCAAAGGGTGTTCAAATCAAGCTATAGAAATGCGAGTCCTTGACACTATTATTTGCCGTGTTAGTTTAGAGTCGGCATAAGACCGGATAAGTTGAGGCGGTTATGATTGCGGTTGAAGTTGAAGTTGAAGTTGAAGTTGACCGCGAAGGATCGTCAACGTGCCATAAGCCCCGCATTCATTTCGCACTTACATGTAATAGACATGGATTGTATTCCGTACAACCATAAGTATCTGATATAAGATAGCCAAGACGGATTCCTCATATATTTGACGACTTCAGATAAATATTTTCGAACAAGGGGAACTTCGATATCATGGAGGACAAGTAAATGAGCAAAGCTGGAAGATGCCTTTAAGACGCAACCGACAAATGATGGCTTTTTTGGCCGCCATCTTCTCAGGGGCCATCAGGCTGCATATGCATGTCCTATGCTTGCGGAAGGGATAACCCGTAGCTAGACCTTGCTACATACCTGTATTGTACATATACAGCTTCGCCCGGCTACTCGGCGTCGATGAGAATTATCCAATCATGAATGAAGCTGGACAGTTGTACGGGACCCCATTGACTTTGCGAGATGGCGCCGGGGATCGAAGACTGCGTGGCCAAGCGCTGCGCTGTTTTGATAGGCGCTAAACTCAGCGCTTAAACACAGCCTTAGAGGAAAAGGAAATTGTAATTGGCTAAAAAGAGTTGGGGGCTAATCTGATTGGGTGTTTCGTGCGTAAAACTGGAGAACGCAAGAAGTACTTATCACAACATACCCGCTAAGATCTATTAGGTATAACGATCGGGAGGTACGAAGGTTGGGGCCAAAAGTCTTGCACATATGAGCTTGGCAAAGCCACGTGCGAGTAAAAAGAGACTGCACGGTCTTATTTAAGCTATAGTGGCTGATATCGCTATAAATATAGTGGTAAGCCACCTGAATTCAGTGGACAGGCCACTATCCGACCTTCAGCTTAGAGTGTGGCTGATACAGTATTAATAAGTTAAAAGACATACGAAAATCGATGCCAAGATTTGGACATGTGCAAGACTTTTGGCCCCAACCTTCGTACTTGTGGATGCTGCAGGAATTTATCACGATTTACGCGCATCTGCCTGTATTCAAATATTGACAGGTACCTCCTACATAGAATATTGTTTATACTCATTCCATTCTCACGTTTCAATAACAATCCGGCCAAGTGTGTTTGGTCATCAACCCAACATCGTGATTTCGGTATTACGAAACTGGTACTGGAGTGCCAACTGCTTCCACATACTGTCCTCTCGCCCTCATTCGTCGATAATCTTCCTGCACGACCGGCTCATACTTGATAGGGTGTTCCTCATCTGTACAAACGGACAAGCATTCGATGACAGATTTCTCATCTGGTGAGACGAAGTAAGGAATCGAGTATCTCGACTTAGTCATGAGCTTTCCGTCGATTTGTGTATTATCCCGGACTGGTGGAAGGGTGACGCGGTGAAGGGTCGACTTTAAGAAGTCTTGAAGTTTACCGTTAGTTAACTAGTTGATCTATCAAGGAGCACTGACCTGGGACCATCAAAAAGAATACAAGACACGAACCATTACTCCATCTCATTAGCAAATCGCCAACGTTCATAACCAAAGCATTCTTCATCGGCGTCGCGTCAACAAAATGACCAGGCGCGCGAGGATGCTCGACTTGTAAACCCCCACAGTCGTCCTGAAAAAGCATCGTGATCGTCCCCCAGTCCGAATGGGCCGGCATTCGAGCAACGACATCGTTGGAAAGCTTCTCTGCTTCAATAGATGGATAATGAAGTAGTCGTAGCTGGTTGTTAATTCCACTATGGAAGCGCAGGAAGAAGTTTTCGTCTTCTAAGCCGACGCCGATTGCCAAAGCGCGCAACAAGTCTTTCGCTACCTCGAAACATCTCCAGTAGAATTGCGTTGTGAATTCGCGAAAACCAAGGAGGATGTCTCCGGGTAGCCAGACATTCGGCTGTGTCTTGGACTCCTCGCTACCAATTTCATAACTCTCCTATTCAAGACTTAACCTTTGTTCACTCGGCAGATTGAGTAAGAAGTTCGTTCACCCGATCGAAATTCGAAAAGACTGACCTTAAAATCCGATATTTTTCGGTTCTCGGCCTCTTTTGTTTCGTCGCCATCCTTGATGATATCCTGCGATACTTTCTCTAGACCTGGCCACGAATATCCTCGATGCACATTAGGGCCTAAATGATAAGCTCAACAACTTGCTCGTTGACTTGAGGACTGAGACTCACCTGGTGGGTGAGGAGCCATCATCTTCTTTTCTTGAGGAAGATCGAAGAGTTTCTTCGACCAACCAAACGCTTCCTCGAGTATATCGCTCGGTACACCATGGCTGACAATGTATACGAAGCCAACCCGACGGCACGCATCGGTTAGCTCCCGCCCAATGCGTTTCTTGTCTTCTGTCGAGCCCTTCGACCATGCACCAAAGTCTACCACGGGAATTGTACCTTGCTCTAGAGCCATAAGAGAAATATGAACTTATTAACGGTATTATACTAGGTCCCCCGATGTTAATAAGCTCTGAATCTTCAATCGCTAATTACACCAGATCCATGAGGGTATAGATAAGAATGATCGAAGTTGTATGTTACCACGAATCATTCTTGTACGCGATGCGGGGTTCCCACGGACACCATCGCCTAGCCGTGATAACAATATTTTCAATTTCTCTTCAGGAGATCACACTTCGGGTATGATGGCTCCTTCTGCAAAGCTGAGAGCTCTATAGTAGCTTCAAACTATATACCCTACGTGAAAGGCAAGAGCAGCTGCCTAAGTTATTGGATTAACTTGGGTAATTTTTATTGAGGCTTCTATCGTAATACATAGTCCACATCTAGGTACTAGCACAACTACGGAATATTACCAACGACTTAACATTCAGGCCCAGTATTGTCAGGCTTTTGTGCCATTCTTATATATGAAGAGCTAGTCTGCTTTGGAATCGAAATAGATTACACATGGCCGTTTTCCAGCCACTAAACTACCTAAAGCATGGACCATTCAAAGACTTCATATTCTATGTCGAGAACGATAAAGCCCGCAGAAGGGGACAGTCCGTATATGGCACCACTAGGGCGCCCATTGCCACCACTGAGAGGGCTTAGGACTATAGCACAAGTTATGGACGATGATCCATACTTAGCGTACAGGTTGAAAGTCCTAGTATGGGATCTGTACCATTTTAGCGACCCGCGTCCATCATCTCGCTTAGACAGAGCGATCGACAAAACATGTTACCTCTGCCCTCCGTACTTTTCCAGATTTGATGGCGATGTTATCGGACATACACCTACTCGTACGAATCAGGGTCGGGTAGGTTTCTTTTATCCCCAAAACGTACGAGACGCCCTTCTCGAACAAATCAGTGCCTTCCACAAAGACTGGCGTCGGGGACTAGCAGATAAAGCAGAGAATAGAGAGCCTACCCCCCTGGATGTGGCGCATATATTTTTGTTCGTGTTTGGAATCACATTTATACAACTAGGCAGCGTACGATTTCAATATCAGCTCCGCAGGTACGGCCTAAGACCCGTTCCGGAGAGAGATCGCGAGCATACCACTTATGGAAAACGATTAGATGGTGTGTGAACCACGATCCAATACACTGGCAATGGTGTAAATTTGGCTAGACTTCCTACGGCTATAATGGAAGGGTAAATCCTGGTTGGCGGTAGTAACTAATATGTACCTAATAGCGATGTGAGCGTGCTTGGATTGGAGGCGCTGGTTTAGAAGTAAGCAATATGAGGAGGTTGAAGATTGAAGGTTCGGGTTGTCATTGCCACTTGTGAAATAAAATAGAGCTGAGTAAATGGATATGTTCTAGACTGCAGCCTGCAGGAGAAAGCTTGGCAGGACATCTTGGACGTGAAACCATAGTTGAAGGTTGCTTACATATGTATACTGAGATAAGATCCTTCCTCTATGTATATATTATGTCCTTCATACTTAGCCATAAGTGTTTATTCCCGGGAAGACGGCATACCGCATACGGCATACATTAGGTGCTACGTAGTATAGGTAGTGACCACTCGCCTGATTGGCCTTTCGTGTTAGCTAGGTACCTTATAATGAAGCAATATAATGAACGCTAAGTACGTCATCGTAAAAACAGGGAGAAATGTGACCTAACATATCCAAAGGAGTAAATGGCGCGTGCTAGATGCATACGATTACGTACCTATTTAGCGGCAAGCTTGTTCAGTGGCTTGAAAGCAGGCCTTAGCCTAATGCAAACATATGACATCAACGAAAAGGACCTGACGCCACGCTCAATGACGTCCTACTTGCCTAAACGGGTAATCTTTCCTCTGCCTTTGTGCCACCAAAGCAGAACGCCATAGTCACTTACATCAAGATTTGAAGATTGCGCTCAAAGATTTGCATTATCATCGGTGTATTGCGCTTATTTCAAGACTTCTTCCAACTTTGCCTTCTAGTATCAATATTACGCAAAGTGCTAGTTTTGAATCTGACTGAAATATAAAAAGCCGTTCACTCCCACTTCAATAATATAGTTATCTTATCTCAACATACCATCTGAATCCAATCGAACTAAACCAATAAACCACATCTCAACTTACAATACTCATCTATCAAATCATCCTACATTATTAAACATACCAATATGTCTAACGATAACACTTCCACTCTTAAGTCTGTCGTCGACTCTGCTACTGGCACCGTCCAGAACGCATTCGGTTACGTAACCGGAAGCACGGCTGATCAGGTATGTGTTCTCCATACCCATTCTGCACTATATGTCGACATATCCAATGTGAACTAACATAAAATCTTTATCTAGACTCAAGGTCAAGCTAAGCAAAACAAGGCCGAGGCCGAGCATGACGCGTCACACGCCACTATCAAAGCTCCGGGCTTCACGGCCTCATCATCAGGCGCCGTCACAAAGGACGACCCCGACAGAACTGCCGGCTCATACAACCAGACCGTAGGCTCCGCTAAGGAATTCGTCGGCGGACTAACAGGTGTCGAGTCCCTAAAGGCAGCTGGGCGTCGACAGAACGAAGAAGGCCGACAGCAAGAAGCCAAGGGCCAGGTCAACGACTACGTTAGCGGCGTCTCTGATCGCGTCACCGGCACTGTGGGCGGAGCCTTCGCAAATGTCACCGGCAACAAGGCCGCGCAACAGGAATACGAAAGGCAGCACGATGCTGGAAAGACGACCCAGCGAGGCGCCGAGGAAGATATAGTGAAGCAGGCAGACGCCGACTCTGCAGCCTCACGTAAGGCATAAGTGCTTCAACTGAAACATGTGGAGACTTGATGAACTTTTCGGGGGAGGGGGAGGGTAGCAGATGACATTATGATACCCAATATGGAATGCTAAGGTGTAAGCTAGTTGTCCGGGGAGGCTTGGGAAATGGAATTGTATTGGTATAGAAAGATCTGTACTTATATCCGGAATGGAGCTTATAATCACCTACCTTCGTTTAAAAATGATTACGTGACCATTGAGAATCCAGACATGGACTATGTATGAGGAAGAGTAATCAATTGCGATCATTTCCGAGAGATTCTGGGTTAGTTTATCTGTTAGTCCTGCATCTAGACCAGCGAATAGAAAGCGATACCAGGATTGCTATGTAATTCGTCAACAAACACCCCCCCTGTCGAGGCTCTTCGCTCGGGTAGTACTGGAATTTCTAGCGCGGTCTATAGGGCAGAATCGCTTTTGCCGGTTTGTGAGTGGTCCATCCGAATTATTGGAGTCTTGCCGTACGTAAGATTTTAAGATTTCCCTACCAGGTACATATGTAAGACCTTAATAGAGAGGTATTTCCCGTACTGAGACTCAATCATGAGTAATCGTTGACCGAATAATTGGGTCGAATGTCGAATCAGATGTGATGTCTATGAGTATCAGAGATTCTGTTCCCGTTTGTTTGTTTGTTTTCCCACATGACTCTTACCGGCGTAGCCGTCTGAGATCAGGCGCACGCATCAATTAATTCCCGTGCGAGGCTACTTTATAATACTTTGCGTACCTGGGTAGGTTACATGATAGGTTAGGTAGGGAAAAGCGTGTGAGATCACCGTTACCGTATGCAGATGAAGCGTTGTGGATTAGGTACCTATCTAGGTAGATATGCCGAGTTGAGGTCTTATTGAGATTCCAGGTTAGATAGACTTTTCTATTTATGACTGGAGAAGAAGATCTAAGATAATTGACGCAAAGAAAAGCCACAAAAGTAAACTTTTTGCAGAATTTTCTTCTTATTAACACTTCTTCTTAAGAAAAGGAATATTAGAAAAAGATTACAATACAATATACAATACATGGAAGTGACGCAACGCAGTCTCCTGAGTGGTGGTTAAACGATGCAACAACATTTTCTTTAGTGAGGTACAATACCTACCTATTAATCCCCCTGGGGAATAACCTTCTCTGCGGTGGAACGCAGCAGCACCCCCAAGCCCGCTACTGGACGTGCCGATACCCTACCAAAATACGCTACTGACGCTGCTGTGGAGCCGCGCTGCCCTATAAACCTGATCCGTGCGCCGATACTCCCTTTTGAACTCGTCTCGGCCCCCAACTCACCCTGAATCAACCTCAATTCAGGATAGAGCCGCAGAACATACCAGGCTCCAGAGACTTAAGGGCTTACTTACCACGGCCGAGAAAGCAGCCTATTCTTCATGCACGACGAGCTTGAACATGTGCCAATGGACAGCCCCCAACTTAGTTTTTTTTTTTTTTTTTTGTTCTCCCTTCGAATATTTTTAGGACCTTTCTTTACTCTATCCGTCAACGCGGCGCGTGCGGACTGTCCCAACTCAGTTCACTAACAACGGCCCGCTCCTACTCTTTCTGATATGGGCTGACTCGCTCGTGGTGTGCCCATCTTTCCTCTCGTTAACTAAGTATCGTCATGGCTATATCATATTATATGTCTTGGGATTTAAATCACTGCTTTAGGTCCTTCGGTGAGAATTCTAACACCAGGACTTAGACTGTCCTAGGTGATAAATCTTGTTGCCTTCTAGTACATGTAATCACTTGGCCTTAATAAATCCCGTATTAGTGAGCAAGTAAGCTTCTACACGCATGTGTGAAACTAGCTAGGTGATGGTTTTATTTTTTATTCTTTTATTTTTTATCTATTTGTTTGCCTTACTACTGGGGTTGTATATTATAGGAGATCGCCTTACTCCTTAGTACGTCAAGGGTCTACAGCGCTTCCCACCTGATACGGCGATGGATACTTGTACTTTCTATCGGAGATTCAGGCATATCTCCTTATTCGATTCTAATTCGCTTGCCACACCTCCTTAGCTGTCATTACGAGCTTCCCGATGTCGTTTAGTTATTGGTGGAACACACCCTAAGGCTCACCGAAGGCGTCTTCTGCTCACACCCTTACACATGGCCGTTCCCGGGACCGTAAACTGCAGCCCAGATAGTGGAGCATTATGCAGCACTTTACTATAGGCCTTTACTATAGGCCGTAGGCCGTAGGTACTTGGACGTCCTTGGATCATTACCGAAATGACTCTCGAGTCGAAACTGATACATACCTATGATACATACCTCTACTTACTCACCATGCGGGTCGACATCTTCACTCTATCAGGCAGCACTAACTAATACCTCAATCTCGATGGATTATATACATTATACGGAATATCACTGGATATAGGTGCGGACGCGGCTTTACCTTTAAAGGGTCTTTGCAGGACGAGTTTACAAATCCTTGCCGGGGAACAAGCTCACTGCTACTACGAAAACCGGCACAACTCTGTTGGTACTACTCAAGAAATATCTAAGGAGCCGGATTAGATTGCCCATCTCCGCGCGACATCCCCTCAGGATCCAAGTATATCATAAACTTGTATCGAGGCCCACTTGTTCGGAGGTCATCCCGTGGCTCAGTAGTGCTCATTTGGACCATTTGGACTCGTCGAGTCGACCTAGACGCGTATCTCGTGGACATCACCTACCTAAAGAACCCCTCTCCGAATTTTTCGGCGTCCTCCATCTTGGAAAGCCGTAGGCACTTGAGAGTTGGCTCGCCCACTCGGCTTTCTCCTGCTAGTTTCAGAAACTCGAGTGACACCGGGCTGCTCCTTTAACGCTGTCCACCACTTAGAACGCGAGTCCCAGGGGTTGACTCATCAAAGCAGGTTCGCTACTAATACATCGAAGTATATCCCTTGTAGCAATTTGCCAGTGCGAGATTTTCTACACCCATACTGGCAGAAAAGTGGTAAAAAAACGACTTCCAAGTAGACGAACGTGACCATAGACGTCCACCGGACTCTCAGCCGGATATTTTTTATTTATCTATCGACCTGCAAACCGTCTCGACCATGGGTAGGAAGACATCAACGGCTATGATGCGAATTGCGATCGCAGGTGCTGGGGGCTTTGCAGCCCTTCTAGTCCGGGAGTTATCTCGGACTGCCTATGCCATACTCGTACTCTCGACGAAGGTGATAAGAATCAGAATTACCACCATCACATCATCATCAAGGCTGGCTAATTTATTAATAGGATCACCCGGAATTAGAATCTAATTTCGACTGCCAGGTAGCCGTAGTCGACTATACAGACCTTGACAACCTCCAGTTTGCTCTTCAGGGCGTTGACCTTGTGATTTCCACCATCTCCGGCGCGGAACAACTCAACGTTATCGATGCGGCTCGACGAGCCCGCGTACGCTGCTTCGTGCCTTCGGAGTTCGAGGGCTCCGTAAGCCATAGACCGGCCGTAGGAACTGACCCCTTTGACAACGGCTCTTCGACGGCCTTGGAACAACTTCGACACTGGTCCCAGTCGAGACACTACTCGATGAAATACACCGTCTTCTCCTGCGGCGTTTTCTACGAACGCTTCGCCCCTGGCGGCCTCCAAGCATACAACATGGGCGTCAGCTGTCGGATCCGAAACCAGGGAGACTACATGATCGACGTAGGCCTTGGAACTGCCGAAATCCCGGAAACGGACTCCCGGGGCCGCCCAGTATCCGTTGTAATGACATCGGCAGTTGACGTGGCACGATTCGTTGCCGCTGCTGTCGAGCTCGGAATCGACAATTGGCCGCGAGAGTTCAGAATGCGCGGTTCTCGTCTGACAACGCAAAGACTTCAAGAGATTTGCAGCGAAGTCCGAGGAGGTAAGTTTTGGCAAAGCGGCCTATGTCCTCTCGCGTCAAGTTTCCTGTTTCCTGACATATTGTGTTATTTATAGTCGCTTTCAACGTTATCAGGAGGCCATACGAAGAAATCGTGCAGTGGCTCCGCTACTACGAGCAGAACCGGGACGAGGCCAAATGGTGCACGATGCAGCATCTTCTACAGACTGCGGATGGCCGATACAGCTTTGGAGAAACGAACTTGAACGACGCGGTAGACGTACAGCCGACAAGCTTTCGACAGTGGCTATACGACACCTGGGGTCCGGCATAGTAATATCATTGTTGACGACGACGACGACAATAATCTAACTACCTACCTAACCTACCTAACCTAGGCTACCAACCCTCACCGCCGATTTCTTCTGCGCCTCGAGCATCCTGCCCCTTAAATAGGTATCTGTTGGTCGCGTTTATTAGGTTAGGCCGGCCCGTTTCGAGCACCATATTATGTGTGGCCCGTCTGTTATAACAGACCCATCATCTTGTATGCATCACGGCTGAAGTTGAGAAGCAACAGCGACGTCTATTTTTGGTTTCTTGATACCTTTGTAACTCCAATTTCTTTCTGTCGGCATTTTAAATTGTATGCACATCAGCATTTAGCGCTCTACCTGTCTGGCTACCTGTCTGTCTACCTGTCTATCTATCTATCTATCTATCTATTTAGGTATCTATCTATATTAACTGCTTGCCCGCGGGTCGAGCATAGCCGTTTCAATAATATAGATATTCCTCATTCTTTTTCTTATTCTTCTCATTCTTCTTCTTCTTCTTCTTCTTCTCTAGAAAACAACAACTACTACCTACAGCAACTTCGTGAGGACTCCCGCTGTAACTGTCCCAAGCCCGCAGTCGTATTTCTTCCCCTACGCTCAGAAGATCTTTGTGAGACAATGTACGGCAAGTCGCGCTACCTAAGCGCTACGCCTTGTTGGTGTTCCGTAGGCGTATGTAAGTAAGTGGTTGCATACATGTGCTTATACATATGTGCGTATTACGCCCCATTCATATACATTGCCGCCCCTCCCTCCTATAAGGGGCTGTAGAACGAGCGTCGAATTGAATCGCTACCAGACAATCGGGTCCGTTGCCATTCCCCCCCACGCCGCCTATTCTTATTCTTATCGAGGGCTTTGACCTTTGAACTTCTTTCATTTCTTCGAATTCGCCGTGCGACGCGACGAAAGGCCCGCCGTGCCGCTTGCGCGGATTCCGAGTGGGAGTGGCGAGAGAACTTGAGATTGCTTTGTTCTTTTTCTTCTTCATCTCACAACGTCTGCTTAAGCTTCCTCGGACGCCCACGAATGGGACGAACGAGTAAGTGCTGCCTATGAGAAACGTTATACGACTCTAGCGTGTATGTAATCTCACATACATACATACCTACATACGCATCTACATGACTACAATTATCTTGTGAGAGAGGGCATGGAAGGCAAGTCGTGTTGAACTCGGCCATGATCTTCGTCCCTGCAGCCTTAGCCCTACCGCGTAACTCCTCATCCCCTCATCCCGCCTTTTCGTAGAATCAGCCTTAAATAAATTAACAAAAAAAAAAGTCTTCCCTGACGCCCCAGTAAGCAGACAGCTTGTCCTTCTTTACGTACGACCACAAATTCTTGTTCTACGCCGCTGTACGTCAACGTCACCGAGATCTGCAGGTAAGCTGCTGTCGCACTACCTAAGGCTGCGGGTTGACGGGAGCGTACCATCATACATGGGTACTAATCCCAAACCCCAATTCTGGTTCGACAGTTGTCGCAGAGCCTCAATTTCCCTAACTGAAAATTTTTTTAACCCTTCAGGATCCTTCGTGTTGAACCGCGGGGGCATCCGCCTAAGCTGTACCACCAGGAAACCATCTCGGGGAATGTGGGATTTGACCCATTGCGAATGGCGCAGTAACTTTTTGCTCGTCTCCGCCATTTGCCTTAGGCAACCTCCAACGCTCCCGCGCTTACACCCCCCTTTTCCCTCTAATCTTCGCCGAATTCGTCAACGACCCACACGCAGAACTTCTCCCACTCGATCTCCCATTCCTTCAGCCTCTGTGCCTTAGTCCCGCTTCCCGTACTTGCTTCCCTGATGTCTCTGCTCCACTCCTCGGCAGATTGATCCTCGAACGCTGCCCACCGTATACTATTCTCGGCTAGACTCCCCAGCCCTGCCAGCCCTAAATTCTCCCAACCCTGCAGCGCCTGCCAAAAGTCGTGCGTGGACCCGGCCGTGTCTTGGCCGAGCATGGCCGGGTCATCGTTACATAATGAGCAGGCCACTCCCCGCGCGAGTAGAGCGGGAAGAGGATGACTCATGACGGAACCGCAGAGACGGAGGACCTCGTTCGATATAGGGCAGCTTTCAACCAAGATCTTCTTCTCTTTGACGAGATTAATGAGTAGGGGGTGCTTGTACAAGCTAAACCCGTGGCCGATACGTCTCGTTCCCAAAAGCACAGCGTCGAACAAGTTGTGATCTGTCTCGTTACCGGATCCGAGACACTCGCCGGCGTGGAAGAAGAAGGGGATATTGACACCCTCCTGGGCACATTGCTTGCGAAACCAAAACAGCTCGGGAAGTAGGTCACGTAGGGGCCGACCACCATCTTCCTGTCCGACCAAGTCGTATCCGGCGATTAGGTGAGGATGCGTGATCTTGGTCTCAATGCACTGTTCCATATTTTCCACGATATTTCGAGTTGGAAAAAACCGTAGAGCAGCCCAGATGACCCTAAGCCCCCAAAATCCCTCTCCCTCTTCGGATTCCTTGAATCGTGCCACCTCCTCGTCTAGGACAGTCATCATTGCGTTGTAGTCAGACTCGGGCACCTCGCTGTCCTGTCTATAATAATCCAGGACCCACGAGAAGCGGACTTCACACCAGTTGATCCCGTCTGCTTTTAGTAGACTCATGAGCCGTTGGAGGAACTTGCGGAAGATAGGCTCGTAGTGGATCATGGATCCGACCACTCGGAAGCACTTAGAGAATTTTTGCCATATGTGATTAACACCGTGGTGTTGGGCGACGGCGTCCGTCCGCGAGATAGTGCACCGTGAGTAAAGCCACTTTAGGAAACCGGCTTTCCCACCCTCGGGGAACGCGTCCGCGGCCTGAGTAAGCAGGATAAAAGTGCCACTTTTATAATCAGGTTTCCAAAGGTTGCTTTCGGTGCGCGGTTGTTTAAAAAAGCGGAAGGTTAATTTAGCATCCTCCCTTTTTTCGTCTGATGTTAGCGGTTGATCGGCAGACAGATGTATGCCTGGAGTTGCGAAGAGAACTTCAAATAGATAGTCGAAATCAACCATAGCATCTATGTGGGCGTGTAGCAAAGCGCCCTTAGGCATGCGTCGTACTATATTCCATAATTTGGTGCTTTCCATTCGCTCCTTGGACAGGGAGAACATCATGCCCGGGTGCACGACAATATCAGCTTCCTGAGCGAGCGCGTCCTCTAGCTGCGGCGTCCACACCGTGTTTTTCTCTTCGTCCCGGATACGCGCCACTATATCACAGGCGCGCTTTGCAATGGGAGAGAGACTCTTCTTGAATGACGCATCTAAAGTTTTTTGTTAGCGATAAGTAGTGAGAAAAGGGGGATCGGCCAATTAGGGGCAATCTATACGAACCGCTGCGTTCCTTATTTTCTTCTGCTATGAGCGCCTCACGACCTTGAAGATACTTCTGAATAAAGGGATCGCTCTCCTTCGGAAGATCTTGTGAGAGTTCCTCCCACTCCTGGTCGGTGTAGAGATTCTGAGGATTCATCTTGTCTGATATCCTTTTCCTTAGGTTCGGGTGTTCAATAAGAAAGGGAATCCTAAGATTGAAGGTAGAATTGATGGAGGGAGAAAGGTATGAGAAGAATGGACTACCTAGGTTAGGTAGTTACTTCAGTTTATATAACTACTAGGACCTCGATAGGAATTATTGACGATAAGCTACACTAGGTGGTATAAAGTAAATGGTATAAAGTAGACTAAGAGGTAAACTTGCTAAGATGCGGCAGTTCCCATTCACGGCCTACGGGTATTACCCAAGTTGGAAAAGATGGAGAGAGCTAAGGAAGCTCCGTGTTTATTAAGCACCTGACCCGCCAATGATTTACATACATTCCACCCCCGCTAATTCGGATTTTAGCGGTCCGTCCGTCTTGTCCTACGGAAGTCTAACTCTATGCTTTTCCCCTGTTTGTCTCTTTAAGTTCAACTTTATCAACACCCTTGTCTATCACATTTCTCCAATTAAATTCAATAATAGTATCACACAGAAGCAGTCTCACTGCAGGATGACATGGAAGTTTAGACCTTGTGTCCTGCATCGGCCAACTAAGTCCGGCCGTCTTTCCACCCCGGCATCTCCAGCGCCGCCGGAGATCGTCGGGCTCGATCCGGACCGGGCTCCAAAGACCCTGATACCGGGGGTCAATTGCCATTATCTTTTTGACGCGATATGCAAGTACGGTCACGCCCATCATTTTCACCATTTTAGGAATGGTAACTTAAACAGACTTTTGTTTTTCTTGGCTATACCATGGTCTTGTTTCTATATAAAAATAAATATTCTACCCTATGCATCTCTAATTGATGAAACCCCCCCCATACAGACGGCACAGAATATCATGATAATACCTAACAACTATTCGATTTAAATCCCATATAAACAAGTCAAGCAACAGTCACCAAGGCCACAACAAACCCCTATTCATAAGCGAGAGTGATTATCCAAATGTCTATTAAGAATTATGTACCTACCGTAGTGACATCTATAACCAAGCAAAGCATTAGCACAACTTCTTATAATACCAAATTCATAATTTATTATAAATAAAGAATCCGAGTAAATCATGATAAAAGATAGACAATTTATACCCATACTCCCCAACAGACAGGTCCTCATTTCGGAAACTGCTTACAAAAGGATATCGTAGATATTCTTAACGACCAAGCATAGTTACGCCTCTGATTCAAGAAGAACAAACTACCAAGTCTGTCGTAAAATTATATATATAACTGACGAATTCTGGAATTAGGGTCCAATTCGTGTGTATCACCATCGCAAGCGCTTGCTACGCTCCCGTCAAGCCCCCAACTACGTACCTGACCTAAGCTCACTTCCCCCCTCCCCCCTTTTCCCAAATTTCACGACTTTACTAATAAATCCTACTAACATCTAGCTCCTGCACATCGCTTAACCATTAATTACCAAGACACCTGCGCTTACACCTCGCCCCTCGCCCCTCACGCCTAGTGTTTTCCCACCAACATACCTGGATTCCAGACTGTTAGCCCGAGATAATACCTAGGCCGCGTCAAAATTTTTTTTTTTTGACAAAAAACATGTCCGGCAATTCGCTAGTTAGTCGATAGACGCTCCCGCCTATTCACCTTCCTAATTTGATAGCTTCGCCGGTGGGGGTGGTTGGGGGGGAAGGGGGGGTTGATGGCAAAGACTCCCAGATATCTGGTAACCCCCCAAGTCGGTCAGCTTATACCCATGATTGATTGTACGACTGCGTAATGTCACGTTGGCGACGACTAGCCGCGTGTGAGTGAGTGGAAAATCTGGATTTACGGGCGGCACAGCTTTAAAATCCGCCAAGACACTAATACGGACAACTCCCATTAATACCTTAGGTACCTCGTAAAAAGGGGGGAGAAGTAACACAGACGTCATGCCTACTCGTTACCTCATACGAAGCTTCCACGGCCCTATGCCTGCAGAGCGGTATCTTCCCTAGCGGTATGGCTACCCTTCCTCCAAGACTCGGTATGGTCTCTCCGTAATCTATCCACCTTCTGGTCTCCGACCTTACCCCAACCTCCTCCTCCGGGTGTATTAATGATGATGTGGTCTCCAGGCTTCATAGGGGCGCTGTTCTTAGCACCTAGGTTGATATAGCGTACCTCATACTCGACGTCGTCTTTGTCCTGCTGTGCGTGTACACCTTGTGTGGCAAGATCCTTCTCTGGGTCGGCTTTCTGCACGCGGCGTACCCAGATGTTGAGACCGCACTCGGCATCCTCGCCGCCGGCCAGACCGTAAGGCCGGTAGACTCGTCGCTCGCTGAGGATCGAGCATTGAATGGGGATCCGGAACTCGATGTCGCGGACGACTCCGTCGCCACCGCGATGTTGGCCGTTACCACCCGACCCTTTGCGGATGGAGAACTCATGTAGGAGGACGGGGTACCGTCGCTCGAATACTTCAGAGTCTGTAATGCGCGTGTTCGTCATGTGTACGTGGACACCACTAGTGCCTTCCCAGTCCGGTCCCGCACCGCTACCGCCCGCGATCGTCTCGTAGTACCCGAAACCCCTGACTTCTTCCTCTCCCGAGACGTTACCGCCAAATCCAAACGTCAGATTGTTGCAGCAACCCTGGCTGGCAGCACATGCTTCGAATGCTTTCAATATAACATCTGTGACCCTCTGACTGGTCAGTACGTTACCACCCACCACGGCAGCACCCGTCGACGGCGACAGGAGTGACTTGGGGGGAATTTTGACGTTGACAGGTTTGAGACAGCCCTGATTCAGGGGGATGTCTTCAGAAATAAGACAGCGCAGACAGTAGATGATAGCGCTGTATGTGATAGCTTCGGGTGCATTGACATTGCCGTACACCTGAGGACCCGTTCCCTCAAAGTCGAACTCCGCCTCGCCCTTCTCTGGGTCGATAGTGACGCGTAGCCGAATCGGAGTCCCATCGTCCATATAGTCAACTGCAGACAGGTCTTTCCCTTCGAATTTCTTGTAGACCTGCTTTAATAACTGCCGAACACAGAGTTCTGCATTATTTTGGATGCTGACCATGTAGAATTGTACGGTATCTTCGCCGTACTCCTGGATGAGGCCCTCGATCAGAGAGATACCTTTTTGGTTCGCAGACACCTGCGCCCTGAGATCGTTGATATTATCTGCCAGACATCTAGTTCCACTGCAGCCAGGGTATTTTGCTGGTTCGTTGTAAAGTAGCTCTGTAATTCTCTTTTCGTTGAATTTACCCTCGCTGACAATCTTCTCACTCTCGATCGATGCGCCTTCTTGGAACAGCTCTCGCGAAAGCGGCGGCATGCTACCCGCTGTAATTCCACCGATATCTGCATGGTGTGCTCGTGATGCTGCGTAAAATAGAATTTTATCTCCCTTCTCGTTGAAGGCGGGCATGATAAGAGTAATGTCTGGCAGATGTGTACCGCCGTACGATGGGTGATTCGACATGATCACATCTCCCTTTTTGAGCTTACCCTCCCAAATCTTGGCTTGTGTCCTAACACACGTCGACATGGAGCCCAAGTGGATAGGTAAATGCGGCGCATTGGCTACGAGTCCTCCGGACGCATCGAATATAGCACATGAGAAGTCGAGGCGCTCCTTGACATTTGTACTCACGCTCGTCTTCTGGAGCGCATGGCCCATTTGTTCTGCGATGGCCATGAAGCGATGACCGAAGATACTTAGCAGAATAGGATCGGCCTTCCGTTCAGACGAATCCTTCTTATTCGAGCTGATTCATTCGTTAGCTAAGTCTCAATTTCTATCTTGTAAAAGGGGGTAAGATTATGCTCACTCATCCTTGCTATTTTTCTCCAAGTCAATGATGACATGTGTTTCGAGTATTAGCGCCTTCGCCTTTGGAGTGATCACGATAGTTTGTGTACCATCTGCGAGAACAGCTGGTCCGTTGATTTCGTCACCAACCGATAGGTCTTCGAGTTTGTAGATTGGCGTCTCTAAACGACCACCTTCGAAGTAAACTTGAGACTTGCCATGTGCTTTCTGGTCACCGATGGACTGTCGCTTAACTTCCCTTAACTGTTGATCTACAGTCTTATCCCGATATGTAAAGCTCTTTCCAATACCGCGAACTCGCACATCATCTACGATGATATCTCTGTCATCCAGAGTAAATCCAAATTCGTAACGATGGTGGTCTACGAAGGCCTTGCCGAACGCCCAGTCCTCGCCGTCGTAAGACGCTTTTGCCTTCTCCTCATTAGGCTTGATAATCATGAGAGCTGACTCAGTTCCACGATATTTCATATTGAGATATTCTTCAAAGACAATATCGCTGTCCTCGAAACCTTGGTCTTGTAGGGCCTTCCGTGATTTTTCTTTTAATTTTTCCATCTTGGCTTTCAACTCATTGACCACGTCTCCCTTATCTTGCCATACGGTGGAGTCTGGCTCTTGCCTCTCATCGACAACATCCGCCAAGGCCATTCCATATGCCGATAAAACCGATGAGTACCTGTGGACTAATATCTGCTTGATACCTAGAGCCTCTGCGATGGCAACAGCATGCTGACCACCGGCACCACCAAAGGTCGCCAATCGGTGCTTCGAAGAGTCATGGCCCTTCGCTTCAGTAATAGACCTGATCGGCCTTGTCATGGCCTCATTTGCTATCGTTAAGAAACCGTAGGCTACTTCGTCTAAGCTCATATTCTTGCCAGTTTCCTTATTGATCTGATCAGTGAGCTCTTGGATAACCTTCTTGCTTGCCTCAAAGTCCAAGCCCTCGTCTTCATTTTTACCAAAGATCTTAGGGAAAAACTCGGGTAGCAGACGACCTAGGAACAAGTTTGCGTCTGTTACTGCAGCGGGACCACCTTTTCGGTAGCAAGCAGGGCCGGGATGGGCTCCTACTGACTCGGGTCCGACGACAAAGAGGCCGTTCTTGAAGAAGAGTCTGCTTCCGCCTCCAGCAGCAACGGTGTTAATGTCGAGCTGGGGTGACTGGATCGTGACTCCTGCGGTTGTCGTCTCGAAGACGTGCTCATACCGACCTTCTCCATAACGTGAGACGTCGGTACTAGTACCACCCATATCAAATCCGATTACCGGAATCTTGGTCTCCTCATCATAGCTTGTGATAGCGTAACCCACCACACCTCCTGCAGGACCAGACAAGATGGCCTTCAACCCGGTGAACTTCTCCACGTCAACCAGCCCCCCGTCGCTCTGCATGAACTCGCATCTTGCACCTTTGCTGCCGTTCTCCTGAAGAACACTTCGTGTTCCTAAGCCACCGGCGAATCCCTTCTGAAAACCGGCGATGTACTTTTTAATCGCCGGCGTCAGGTACGCGTCAGCACAGACACTCGTCGCTCGTGGAACCAGCTTGATCATCGGCATGAGTTCGTGGCTGAGCGAGATGTGGTTGAAGCCAATTTCCCTAGCAATTTTGCCTACCAAGGCTTCATGGTCCGGAAATGTGTAGCCGTGCATTAGACATACAGCTATACTTTTGATGCCCTTGTCGAATATGCTCTTTAATTGGTCCTTGATCTTGCTCTCCGCTGGCCGTTCTAAAATACGCACCGTCTCCCCCGAAAGTCCTAACACCAAGTCTGCTTTCGATGCTTCCGCCGTCCCAGCCTTAGCATCAGCTTTGGTGATGGTCCGCTCAGGGTCCTCAGCATAGTCTTCAAGTGTAACCCTCTCGTCTATCTCAACAACATCCTCGTATAGAACGTCGGGCTTCTTGATAGCGAGATCAAAAATCTTGGGACGACTCTGGTTGCCGATGACAAGGCAGTCCCGGAAACCCTTGGTCACGACAAGGGCTATCTTCTCGCCCTTGCGCTCCAGCAGCGCGTTTGTGGCCACCGTGGTCCCCATGCGTATGCTATCGATCTTAGAGGTATCTAGAGCCTCACCCCGAGGAATCTCCCGTCCCTCGAAGTGGCTTAAGATACGGCGGATGCCTTCCAGCGGCGCATCTTCATAGTTGGCCGGGTCTTCAGAGAGGAGCTTTATTACCACATCCTTTCCGTTCAAGGTGCCAACACAGTCGGTAAAGGTACCGCCACGGTCGATGGCAATGCGGACACCGCGGTCTCGCTGCTCAGTAGAACCCATCGTGTATTAGATAGACAATGGAAGTAGCCAATATGGATAGGGAGAATATGGCACTTCGTAACTTGAAAAGTTTGATCACTTATAGGCCCAGCTTTAGCCTTTAGCGGCATCGGAGAGCAACAAGGATTTCTCTAAAATTATTAAAGCTTAAAGCTTACAAATTAACATTTCGTTGTTTTCCATACGTAACTTTAAAATATGACAGCTGGTTGTGGTGGTAACCTCAAGGAGTGTAATGCCAATAGATAGTCAGTGATAGTCAGCGAGCATATAGAGGATGCCGAAGTGGATACGTAGGATACAGCATATTCGGAAATATTAGGAAGACGTTACAAGGAGCTTATCCAACACTGAAGCCGATGTCGTCACTAGGGCGGACGTAATAGAGTAAAAAACAATGACTCACCCCACTTTACCACTATACATTAGGTACTGTAGTTATGCTTAAATCATCTATTACCTACTATAATAGACTATTTCAACTACCCCGCAACGTACCTCCTAAATCATATTACATAGCAGCGCAGGTACCTATCTCCTAATACTTACCCCACGATAGGGGGGTGGGTAATAACGGATGTTCAGCAGTAGCTCGTCATAGTCAAGGCCGATGAGAACAACTACATATATGTAATCAATATGATTATAAATCCTATCAACTAGGAATACATAATATAGAATTTAAATTAAATTATCCAAGAGAATATTTCGTTCCATGATGGAATAATTAACCTCGTTTCTTCATGAATAGGTAAATACCTCTTTGTATATAAACTTCGTACGCTGTTCGTAGACTTCGTGGGCCTCTGAAACTCTCTTGGAAGTCCATACTACCCCCCCTTAAAAACTCCATAGTCGCCGCACGGCCCGTCGTATATAGATATACCTAACTCATACACGCCCTATAATCAATGGTTTATGACAATACCAATATGCACCGACCGTCGCGGCAGGGGAAATGCACTGAAGTTGTACACAATTCCAATCATCCGTTTTTGACGTCCTATACCCCTTTTTTGATTATACGCCCGGTTGTTCAGGTGCAAAACGCTCGTAGTAAGTACCTAAATCAGCCTTAGTGTGTAATGACTCGAATTGCTTGCAGCATGACCCCGAATAAAAGACCTCTGGCGACCTCCTCGACCTGGAGGCAGTCAAAGACTCGCCCAAGCGCCTCGCTTGTAGCGGATTGCCCCATGATCCCCATTAATGCACCGGGGACGCCGCTCTGTATAAACAGCTTCCTAGCTTTAACTCTCAACTCCTCTTTTTCTTCAATCGTCATCTCCTTTGGCCAAGCCTTTAGTTCTTCTTCCGTGGGAAGAGAGTTTTCTCGAAGCTTGCGTAGGTGAGCGGCAATACCATCGTCCGATAAGTTCGCCTCAAGAACAGATTCTTGGACCAGTGATTGGATAGACATAAGTGACGGATTGCCTGGTCGTAATAAGAATGATTTTGCTGCTGTCAAAAGCGTCCTTCGAATGTTCCAAGCCGACGATAGCGTATAAAGCTCGTTGATTACGGCGAAAAGAAGTTCGACCGCCACACGAGTCTCTTGCTCCGAAAGCGGCGCGTACTGCTTACTTGGTCGCTTAACTGGCCCGCCCGATTGTGGTAGCTGATCTTGACTTGAGTTAAACGACCGAGTCGGCGAGGTACCGTTTGGAGTAGCCAGTAAACGCGGATTTCCGTCAACACTCAAGCGAGTGCTTACGGGAGAGCCATAGTCGTCTGTGATCTCATCCGGTGGGGGTGGTAGTTTTATATTAGTAAAGCTTAATTCGGACGGAGATCGTAGAGGTGAGCGCAATGCCACAGCGCTCGAAGCACGGCTGTGTACTCTACTACTCGTTGCACTGATCGAATTCCGCTCCCAGCGATCTGCCCTCGCAGGGTGAAGATTGTCTTGAGTCGGATCTATTTGGACACTAGGTCGCCGTTCCATAGGCGGTACCTTACCCGGTTGCACTGCGACCACAGAAGATCTTTGACTGTCCAGACTATCTCTGGCTTTTCCCGACCCATTCGCTGATGGGGTACTATCCATCCTTGGGAGAGCTGGCATTGATAATGGCCGCATGCTCGTTGGGCTTTTCGTGCTACTAACTTCCTTGGTCTGTTGCTCATTTAAGGAAGAAATGGTTGATTTCCTTGACCCCAGCCCGATGTTGCCGAAGACGCCAGTAACTCCGCCGACCACTACCTTTCCGCTATCCAAAGCCCCCTTGGGTGCATTCTGGATGACGTCGAGCACACCTTTTCCTACCGACTCGAATGAGAACCCCCTGCTAGCACCCATTCGAGTCTCCTGACCTTTATCTAGAAACCGCTTGAAGGCTTCTGATTCAGCCAATGGTTTCTCGGCGCAGGCTGTTCGCATATATCTCTCAATCTCACCGCGCAATGATATCCTCGTATGCAATTTCCAGCTCGGGAAAGTAGCGAAGGCCTCCAGAAAAGCAGTCGATCCAGAAACGGTCGCAATGCGTCGCAAGCTCTCATGGAGACCCTCAAACTGGGTGTACGTTTTCATTATCATCCACCCAGGGTAATGAGAGGTTGCTGGTTCGATCTGAAGTAGATATTCCCAGGAAGGTTTGCCACGAAGTCGACTCTTGTCGTTCGTCGCGTCATCGTGAATAGTAATAGTAGCATTGTGTAGTGTAAGGGGAGGTGGGTTGCGCGGGTCAGTTTCCTCTGGTTCTTCCTTTGCTGGTGGAACGATTTGATCGAAGCTTGTAAACCTACGAGCCATTTTCTCTCCTTGTCCGTCAGACGGAGACGAGCTGTGGCTTGCCAGATCTATAGGCGATCTTAGAGAGATGGGAGACCTCAGAGATTCTTCCCTATCTTTAGTATTACCTGCCCGTTTTGAGTCCATCGATGCACCCCTAGAGCTTGGACTATAGTCGTTAGGTTTCTCTAAAGAAGGCCTGTTCGGCTTTTCGTCAAGCTTCAAGTCAAGCTCCTTAGCATTCTTCTCTATGGCATTATTAAGGAGACCGGAGGCTTGTGTGAGGTTCTCAGTTGATACCGATTTCGACTTGTCGGCTTCAGCAATCATCTCGTTGAGTCTCTTCATTTCTTCCATAGCCTTCTCCATTTCTTCGTCAGCTCTCGATAGCTTCTTCTTATGCACCGCCTCTTTACGGCGCACTCGATCAATTTCGTATGAATTGCGGTTACCCTTGGAAAGACCAATATTTCCTACGTTGCCGTCGACGTCGCCAAAGGCCTTCTGATCTTGAATCGCATCGTCAATGGCTTGCGAAAAGTCCGTCTCTCCAGACTCAAGAAGATACACAATCCAACCATTAATCCATTCGGCTTTGGAACATGTCTGCAAAGTACCCTCAAGAATGATTGTTGAGAGGATCTCCCTCAAAAAGATTCGAGCAGGATCGCAATCATATGCCGATCTATCTAGGAAGCTGAGCAAGTCCTCAGCAACCATCTTAAATTTCCCTGCCTGTTGTCTTTGATTAAGCAAATTCGACAACGGTGCTTCAGTATTCGAAGCAAGGTAATTATAAATAGCATCTGCAGCGGTCAAATTGGCATCGGAAGGAAGCTCTGAGTAAGCATTGGCCATCTCAGATAGGAAGACAATAATGATGGAGCACGTGTGCGTAAGGAAGTCGACGAAGGCATCGGCAGGTCGCTTACGACCCAATTGATTCGAGATAGTCAATAGGAAATTAACCAACACCTTTCTGCAGGAGAGAGGAAATGACTTGTCAGACGGCACAATAGGTCCATACCACCAGTCCACATAGTCGCGAACGATGGCGTCGACAAGACCATTAAGTGCCTGCCGCGTTTCTGGCCGGAAGTCGTCAAAACTTCGAGCCAGATGTTGAGCAGTCTTTTCATCGTCTTGTTCGGCCTGTACGACTGCTCTAGTATGTGCCGCCCCTAAGATACGATCTAAGAATTCGTAACCCCTTTCACCTCGGACGGCCCGGGACACTTCGGGATGCCGGGACTCCCATGACGCGAATAACGTGATACCGCCGACGGCTCCGATCAGTACCAAGCCAATCTGACCAAGGACGAAGTACGTCACAGCAGCAAGTGCAAACGCGATAGCCGCGAGTGTCGCAGGCGTTGCTGTGGAAAGAAATTGCAACACCTTGGTGACAATATCATCTTGCTGGGAACTCGACGATGTAGGTATATCTCGTTTCTTCGGACTTATCGGATAGCTTTGGGAGTTATTGTCGGATATATCTACTGTTTCGCTCGAGTCTAATTTCGTCTCGTCTTGCGATACGGCGGGAGCTGCGCCGAGTTGCGCATCATCGGAGGTATTCATTAGGGAGTTGTTGGTGTATGGAACTATTGAAAGTTACTAGGCGTTTAGGGGCGTTGATAGTGGGCGCATTGCATTAATGATGAGAGGCTATAATAGAAGATGGTTGATTAATATTATAAGTATTAGTATAGCGGTTAATTCGGAATAGTTGGTTCGTTGTTCTCTATAGACTGCGTGTTCGAAAAGGTTCTGGATTATAGATTCGGTAGATTGTACAAGATAAATTTGGCAACGGATTCATCCAATGTATGGAAGTTAGGGGTCCAATGGTTAGACTTCCCCCCTAACGTCTGTCGTGTACAATACTCTCTGCCTTGAGGTGCGATAATGGGATGTTTCGTAAAATTAAGTACTTAGGTACATAATATCTTTACCCCAGAGGAACCCTTTCATGTATCTTTCCATAGTTCTTCAAGTGAGAGATACATCGGCCTATACAGTAAATGTTATCGGATGTGGAAATAGTGTATGCAGGTACCTTGCAACACTAACTGCAGCGAGTATGGCGGCGACTACCTAAGACTCTAGGTACCTCTCAGATAAGCATGGTAGATGTACCTACACTACATCATACATAGTAGGTAGGCGCGTCTTCAGAGCACTTAACATTTCATCGACGCGACAAAGCGCAACCCAATAGCAACCCCCACATTCCGCATCAATTATTATATTTCTTACTTTCCTCTTCTTTAATTAGCTCTTGCATTTTCCCCAATTGAGTTTCTCTACCATCTCAAACATCAAATCAAGAACCCATTCCAGCCATCAATATGGGTCGCACCAAGAACCTTAAGCGATCGCGTCGCGATGAGGACGAAGACGAGGACGTATCAAGCGATCAGGAAGTCAAGTCAAGCAGCAAGTCCAAGTCCAAGTCCAAGGCCACGTCCACCAAGAAGGCCAAGACCTCTGATTCCGGCAAAGACGATGAAGGCAACCCCTTCTGGAGTGTATGATATTATATATTACCCCATCACTCTTGTCCAAATTCTTTACTGACTTATTCTAAAGCTGGGCGGCACTCGCAGAGCCACCGTCAGCAGTTTCAAGGGCAAGACATTCGTCAACATCCGCGAGTACTACACAGATGCCTCTGGTGATCTCAAGCCAGGAAAGAAGGTAAGCTATCGTAGGTTGGGGAAGGAAGGAGAAAGGTGTTTTGGCCATCCAATCGCTTACCACCTTACAGGGTATCATGTTGAGCCCCGAGCAATACATCAAGCTGCTCGAGGCCATTCCTTCCATCAATGCCGAGCTACGAGACAAGGGACACGCCACGCCTGATCTCTCAGGAGCGCCCGCAAACGCCCCCGACTCACCAGCGAAGGCCAAGAACGAGAAGAAGGCCAAGCCCCAGAGTAAGAAGACCAAGGCGAATATCGAGGCTACCAGCGATGAGGACGAAGACGAGGAAGAAGATGAAGAAGATGAGGACTAAACCTAGTGGGTTTGCATGCAATAGCATACAATACTCCCACCACTCGTGGTACTAGCTTGCACGTAGGTTGAAGCCCAGCGAGGGACTCCCTACCATAATGACTGTATCTAATTTCCTTACCGCACGATATGAGGGCCAGGCGGTCTATTGTAGGATTGTCGATCATTTCTAATTGATACCCACGCTCTCTTGAGCTTTCTGAAATTACTGTCCCAAGACTAACCCGCATGTGACCCCAACCACCTTGTGTTATTCATAGCACTTATATGATACACATTTACAGATCATCTCAATCCATGGCTTATAAGTATATTAACACTTCTTTACGTTACGAGCAGACCTAATTCCGAAAAGGAGATTTGAAGTTGTACGTAGTAAAGCCTCATCCATATCCTTGATCTTAATTTCTAATCCCCATGGTTTAGATTAGAAAGCTCCCTAGTGTCTAATTCGCCTTGCTAGGCCATTGTATAGCACCGGGTTCATATACTGTTTCTACGGAAACTCTTAAATTTCTAGACTAAGACGTCCTTTTTCACTTCGGCATAGTTCAGCGAACACTACCGCTTGGTTATAATAATGGGTACGGCTTCTTCCTAGCATCTCAATAAATGAGACTGCATGAGTTCCAAATCAAGATGTTGCCAAGAGTCATTCTAGACGTATAATGTTAACTCAGCACTACTCATTTCGATGTATGTCAACCCACCTAGCTCACGGCTCGCTGGATGCAGTATGCAACTTCGATACGTCCTAGGTAAAGCCGAACTCGCAAACCTATTCTGGCTTCGGTATAAGTGCCCTCCAATACGGGACTGGGCGGGAATGGGGCCTTTAATTACCACCACAAACATTAATATTCTAGGTTAACCGACAAACAAGCAACAACATATACTTACTCTTCTCGGAATTCCGAACCGGCCCACATCTTAGCCCTCCAGAAAAAGGTATTCCCGAGAAGCAGGTTGAGGAAAATGTTCTATCGTGACCGAACGAAGAAGAAGAGTCATTTTTACTAACCGGGTTCCAAATACGGGTGTGGTTTGTCCCAACCCCCATGTTTGCTCGACTCTCCCCGTACCTACCGACTGGATACAGGGCGGGTCAACTCCAAGATCAGATAATCTTCGATCTGATTAGATGTGCCAATATCACATCTTTAAGTAATTGGCGAGAACAACCATGTATAGCAGAAGCAATTTACCAACTGCTACTAGCTTGGCAAGCATACCACTTTGCTGGTGACTTGCTCGTCATGACTAAATATGGACTCTTGATGTGTTGAACTATAAGATATCACATCACATAGTTGCATCATCATTCTTAAATGCTGCTATAGACAGCAATTCCTTACGCGTGAGCTGTAACCAATATATAGCCTCTCCCGTTAACCATCCTTACCCTCACCAGTAGCCAAAGCTACTCTACACGATGCATATTCTCCAGTCCCTCCTCTCCTACACCAACATCCTCATGCTACTCAACCGCACCGCCGCGCACAGCGAAACCTTAGCTCCGCAGAGCAAAGGCGCAGACACCATCTCATTCACATTCCAGCCCGACGACAGCATCAGCGGCGCCCTAACCATGCGCCCAGAGCAGACGCTCGAGTACTTCAAGAACGAGCTCGGGATCGACGTGACGAAGCTCCAGAACCACCCGGAGCTCTTCGCCAAGAGCCCCAGCGGACGCTACACCTTCCCCGAGCCGAGCGGCGTGGAGGGCACGCTGTCCTGGAACACAACGGGACGAGATCCCGCTTCGCTCGGCGCCTACGAACGACTAACGTGCGACGACTGCGCCGCCATCTGCGGTGCCCTAGCTGCGGTCCCTTTCGGATTCATCATGTACGTACCAGGTTAGGTACCTAGATATACCGAATCTGCCACGTGCCTTCGATACTACTTTAAGCATATGTGTCGTTTATACTGACAATTATATACGTAGTTGTGGTACGGGTTTTCCCTCCTTACCAAAATATCCTAACTATCGTTATCTATCCAGTTGCCCCCTTAGTTCCAAGCTAACATTACTCTTGAAGCTGTGTGTGTTGGTACGATGCATTGCTTGTGATAGGCATGATAGGAGGCAAAACCTAGGCGTTCTAGGGTATTATCAACAGGGATATGTCAATAGACGTTAGAAGTGGTTGTTGAAATTAGGAGTATTAGCAGCAACAACTCTCCCCCTCCCCCCTCCCCCCTTTATTTCAACGTTACCTACGATAGTATAGTGCTACATTACATTTCCTACTCATAATCCGTTTCGTCGATATATCTACAGTGTTAGATATATATAAGCTCATGTTAACCAAGTGTCACAGCGGAATAAAGCCATCATTAAAACCGTGTATTGTCGGAGAGGCAGCTTAAGAAATAGGGCGATCGGGCGAAGTCAAAAGAGCACTATACATCTTGTATCACAAATCATATTCGACGTGGTACGTGGGTAACAGTACCCTTATCTAAACTCATACTTATTATTATCTCTTATTGGAGATGGGCTTAACAAACACATCAGACTCAGTTAGTTAGCAGTATGAAGCCATGTACTCGCTGAGTTAGTCATTCTAGATTAACTACCTAACATATCTTGGTACTTTAGGTACATTAAGGTCTATTTGTTCTTATAAAGTATAGCAACGACACACTAAAGGGAAAATAAGACAACAGTCTATGCCGCTAAAAGGGAAGCTTGATACCTCTCTCCTTCATCATCGTATAAACGTTGGCTATGGGGGGTTTTACATAATTCGGGCTACCACATCGCCGTGTGACCGACTGCCCGTATTAACAACAAAAAGGGTCTCACTGTCCCATATCTTTTTCTACTATAGTGAATGATCTCTGCCACCGCAGGCGCAAGCAGTGGAGCGGACTATTTTTGAGCTATCACAGCATCGTCTTGGCGAGAGAAGTTGATAGTGAGTGGTTCCACGAAGCTAGGGTTTTCCCATCCCCGTACGACGAGAGAAGGGTACCAGGTGTAATGATAACTGTGATTGTTGAGGAAATGTCACCTCGCACAAGGCTTGGTACGAGTACAGGCTAGATGAATGGTATCAGCGTTTTTGCTTGCGTATCGTACGCATAAGATTGAAATGGACTCTAAATAATCACAATGTAAATAGGATGATGGCTACGTAAGGGATGGGCTGAACAATTGCTACTGGAAGGGCGAGGAGTATGTTTAATAGAGAGTCCCATTACTGTAATATAAAGCCAGGAAAGCTGGTCACAAATTTCCACTTAATTTCCTTACAGCCCAATATGTGATACGATTGGCTGGGACAGTTGTATGTAGCTTAGAATCTAAGTTCGCTGTGTATCAAGCAATAGCTTTTTTAATTCCATCATCGAGTTCATGACCATTGATACCAGAAAGAGACATTTCCAACACACGCCCACAGTGACACCACATCCTTTTGGTGAATAGAAGAAAATCGGGTCGTCATTATGTCGTCACTAGGAAAATAATTGTACCAGCAGCCTCACGTGCTCTACGAGGCTGATGGATGTGATGAACAAAGTAAAACAAATTCAGCCTCGGTCATGAACATTACTCGCCTAGAAATCGTAATAGGCGGGACTTTTGCGTTGCTCGAGTGTCTCGTTGTCCTCAGCATAAAAAAAAAGAAGTAATCGATGATCATCTCAAAAAAAATTAAGGTCCACCATGCGACGCGTTAAATCGTGAAGCATTTACACGGCCTTTTAACGGCTGTTAATAACAATCAAGAAGTCGTAATTTTCGTCATCGTGTCTTCTGATGGATGGGGCCTAAACATGATGATGAGCTGTCGCGGCGAATACAAAAGACGCGGAAAAGAACAAATAAAGGAGTGTCTCGTAGTCGGCATTGCACTCTATGGCGCGGAAGTGATTCGTCTCAAAAGAATCGATTTTCGCACAAGTGCCCCAACACCCGGATTAATGCGCACAGAAAAGAAAACATCAGCATGACACATTGGATAAGGTCCAGGTCGAGGCTATCGCCGACGGGCCACCACTGAAGCAGGCCGGCTCATCGTGTCGTATCCGGGAGCGATGGGCCCATCCATCACCGTTTTCCGACGTTTCAGGTCCAGCCCACCGCTCGAGGGACGAGGTAGGTCGTCTTCGTCATCGCGGCCTCTTTTCAACGCGCCTGGTCCGCCATTCATAACTGGCTGAGCACCATAACCATTTTGCATTGGACCGCCCATATCGTTTTGCGAGCTATAAACATCCGGCGGTGGCGCGCCATTAGTGGGCGCCCGATCGCCACTCATTACATTAAAAAGGTTGCTCGAGGGTGGCACACGCGGCGGCGTACTGTATCCTGCTTGCTGGGCGTAATACGGTTGCGGCGGTGCAGCGGTTCTGGGTGTGGCTCGTCCAGATCCGGCTTGATGATTAGGCGACCCGGTTATCTCAGGAATATGTTGGTGATCGCCTTGTAACGCCGTGACAGGCGGGGCGTTATAATTATACGATGTTCTATTGGTGTCGTAACCATTGTTGTCATGAGTATATTCGTTCTCATGCTCAGCTTCATCTTCGCCGGACTGGTGAGGAACACCGTCATTGTGTTGCAGTAATCCATTTGACGGTTTGACATCAGCCTGCTCATTAGGACCGGCTGGACGACCGGCTGGAGGGCCCATCTCGCTCTTCATGTAGGAACTCGGTTGGCCATAGATGTTCCTCTCTTGCGGGCTGCTATTTGAGGGTGGGTAAGGAGAATGTTGAGTAGTTTGACCATTATATACCGCACGAGAATTGTCATAAGGTTGACTACTCTGCGAGTAAGGCTGCATGCTCTGTAGTGTATTTCCCGGAGGTGTAGTTGCGGGAGTAGCCGGCATGGATCGTGCGGCATTGCTAAGACCCGTATCAATGGACATAGGGTTGGGACCTTGGGCGCCACTCATCCCCTGTTGACTCCATTGGAAATTCTCAGATGAGCCCATGCTTCCTATCACGCTTGATGCGCTTGTCGGCGGCGTCGGGAACGTGTGTGCCCGGTCAAGGGACGGTCGTCCTGGATTGTGAGAGGGAAGTGGCGGTTGAGGTCCTGGTAATCCCATGTGATGGTGGTGCTGCTGTATTGACGGCAAGACGCCACCGGGAGGCGTCGGACCCGGGCCGTTCCGCATTTGGCTTTGCTCTTGTTTTCGGCGCTCGGCTGCGGCCATGACCTGATTTGTTCTGTTCTGATTTGTAGGGTGATATAATAAAGCTCCAATGTTGTGAACGAACAGTGGGTACAACAGCTCCGTAATCTTCTCTTTATTGGCGAAGTCAAGAGCTCGCTCGAAGGGAATCCTAAAGGGGGTGGTTATTGGTACTTGTCTTCAGCCATAAAAGGGGGTTTCAAGCTTACCAAACTCCCTTGAGGTGCATGGGCCCAATCTTGACAACATGCCGTACCTTTTCGCTTTTCAGAATTCCGTCTCTTCTCCCGCGGGTCATTCCAGCGACGTTGAGCAACTTGGTACCATTTATCATGTGATTATCTGCCAAAACTTTGTTAGCACATTCCTTAGTTTCTAATAAATTTTTAGACTGCTAAATTCCTACCTTCCCGACGCGCAACGCAAATACCCTTAGCCTCAACTTGGAAGCACAGGCTACCCTCATCTTCCCAAAGCGTGGCCGTAACGCGGGGTTTCATCCCCGGCGGCGCAACTTGACCTGTCGTGTCAAATCCTTGGTACTGATTCTGCATACCTCCCTGATTGGGAACTCCGGGAAGGGGTAGGACATTTTGGGCGCCCATGGAACCCGAAACGGCCGGCGGTGCAGACTGAGGAGACGTCAATCCATTCGCATAGCCGTATTGGTACGGAGGGGCAGAGTATTGTGCTGGGCCTGGTTGTAATAACGTTGGTTGCTGATGGCCATATTGGGGTAGCGCGTTTGATGTCACAGTTTGTGGTTGGGGCGCAGGGCCTGCAGACATGTGCGTAGCTTGGTAGTACATATCTGGAGGCGCGGTATTCATCGCGGAATATTGTTCGTACCCGCCAATGGCCTGGGAAGGGGGGCCAGATATCGCCGTTGTGACGGGGAGACTAGGAGACGGCGTCTTGGGGCCGTTTGAAGACGGTGCTGAAGTGAACGACGATTGCGAGTCTCCGTTGGAACTCGCGGAAGACGCAATAGAACTAACCCGGGGAGACGATGTACTCGAAGAGTAGGCCAATGGCGCCTGCGGTAAGGGGAGCGAAGGCAACCTCTCACTCACATACGGTGGGCGCTGGGGAAAGGAACCGTAGTATGGTGGTACGTCAGACGGTCCCCGGGTTTGCGTCTGGGAAATCGGCGGGAGATCCAGTTTCACGGCGCTCGACAAAAATGCCACGATGGGCTGCAAGGAAGCTCAAATACAAGTCGAATAAGCACGACCTGCGTTTGAGTGCAAACCAACACCACAATTGGGCTTCAATTTATTCAGGGGAACAACGAGCCCGAGGCAAAACGAGACAAGCGGACCAATTGGGCTTGTCGACGGTTCAACCGATGGAATTAGGAAGTGAATCTGGGACGGTGTTACGTTTGCTGGACGCGTACGAACTTATTCGACGGGCTGTGATTCAGCACTTGCGGGGAAATAGACACGGCGAATGTGCTTCCTCGGCAATGGTGGATTTCCCGTACGGCGTGGTCGTTACAGGTCGTGAAGCTCTAAAGAAATCGTCAATTATGATGAACCAACGCGGTTAAAAGGAGTAAATCAAGGTCGAGAGTAAATTTTTGAATGGGTATGCTAGAACTCTGCACTACAACCGTGGCAGCCGAAGGATAAGAGCTATGCTCGACGTAGTGGTTTGCAAGAAGGGGGACGTTGAGAGGGGGAGGGACAGGAAAGCGGCGATAAGATGTCGTCGTCGTTGGTCGTTTGGACAGAATGAGTGAAGTCTCTCGCACGAACGTATACACATACACACGAACACTCGCACGAACACATCGATGTATCTCCTCCCGATTCCGTTTTTTTTCTTCTCTCTATTTCTCTTCCTCTTTTTTCCTCTAAGCGAGGCTGTCTCTCAACTCTAATGCAGGAACATCAGGGCCCAGATGCGCAGGGTGAAATGCAGGGCAGGAAGAAAGTGGAGGTGGGAGGTGGAAGGTGGGCAGAGTTTGCGCGCAAGTAGGAATTGGGAAGAGGACGAACACATACCTTCTCTCCGGACCTCAATGGCGTTCGCTGGTGGGAATTAGGAGGTCAAAACGGCACCAAAAGAGAGAAGAGGGGAGGAAGTTCGAGGAGGAAAAGGGAAAAGAAAGGCCCAAGGTTTTTCCTCTCGTGGTGGTGAGGAGGAGGCAGGAAGGTAGAGATAGTGGAGGTACGAAAGTTGAGAGAGGTCAAGGTAAGAAAAGACGGGACACAGACATGCAGACGGGACTAGACGCTAACTAGTAAGGTAGGTTAGCAAGGGTAGCAGGGTAACAGGGTAGGAGGTAGGCAGGGCAGGTGTAGAATACACATACAATGCAGAGAGCAAGAGTGCTGCTTTTTAGGAAGCGGACTGTGAATTGTGGACTGTGGACTACCTAATAGACTGTGGACTGTGGACTGTAAGGAAGGTAGGGATTAGTAGCAGCGAAGCCGCTAGCACCAGACGGGTCCGGGTGTGGGTGCGCCTGCTAGGGTTTGCTGTTGAACCGGGGGTGGAGGGGGAAGGATGAATAGTGGATAAGGATAGCGAAATGGGCTGGCGGACTGGCGAGGTTGGTGGTCTGGGGGGGCCAGTTTCCTTGTAAGGTTCCTATGTTTCTATGAACGGATTATATTTTTTATTTTTCTTAATTTTTTTATTATTTTTTGGTACGTACTCTCAAATAGACCGCGCCTACCTAGACACTTTGTAGGTGGTAGCATGGGGTCTCGTCCTTGGTGGCCCAAGGGTTGTACAACTAACACCAGGCTCTCTACTCAGTGTGGCTCTTTTTTCGGTGGCGTGTAATCATCAGGGTTGTTGTTGTTGTTCTCTACCGGGATGAGGGGCTGGTCTTGCAAAATCGTACGCACAGTATAAACCCAAATCGGGGACTGTGAAGGAGAAGGCTTGGAGAAGGTGAATGTGACTTCAATTCGATTAGGTAGGCGCATTCAAAAACGTACCTAAACTACCTAGGTACACATGGACATAGGCATAAAATGATGATAGGTAACTTCCTCTAGAATGTATAAAAGGCTAAGAATACTTTTTATAGAATGTTAGTCGAGTCAATTAAGGTTTTACTAACTAGGTAGGCTTAATAGACAATAATAAGAATTGGATGATAAAAGTTGGTTTAGATCATTAGTAAGATAACTGAAAGGAAAGTGAGGTCTTTTTTTTTCATTCATTCTTTCTTTCCTTTCAAGCCCCGGGCTGCCGTGGTTCTCTCCTGGCCTAGTGTAGTGGGATATGTAGATGAGATGCACACACAGTACGAGCCGAGATTGGCGAACTGATCGAGTTCGAGCCAAATGAGATCTCTTCCCTTTCCCTTTCTTCCCAACCCCCGAGCCACAGAGCCTTGCCCATCTTATTCCGTTCAGGACTACACTATCAAACAAATGAAACAAATGACTACCTTATTTCTATCCCGCGCAGACTCGTGGGCGCAGAGACATGATGGCTAAAATTAGATCCTGAACCGGAACCTCGAATTTCTTTACACGGTGGCTAGGGTAAGAAGCTAACACACACAACACGCACCCGTCGCAAGTACGGATTAGTGGAGGAGGATATTGATGATTAGTCAATTCACCCTTCAAGAAAAGCCAAGTAGGTACATACCTATCACAGCACGGCATTATGTCGAACCTTCCAAGACCTCTCTCTCCATGGAGACCTAGGTATTCAAATTCCTGTCTATCGAATGATGCGGGTTTTCGGGTTCCAACTACCTTAGTTTGCAGAGAGAATATTCGCTATGTGGATTCCCCGCGCCGTATTAAATACGTGTATATTCTAAGGGCCTTGTCGTAGAAGGTGACCGGCTTTACTTACATACACTCCATTACGGCTCTTACTAGATAAGAACATAAATATATGTCTACCATCATAAGAGATAAACGTATACATGTGCACAGAAGAGTTTCCGTGATTCTAAACCATTAGTTAATATAACTGTATAATAAATAGTATACTACTGACGTTTATCAAAAAATTCAGTTCGTTGGAGTTTTCTGCATGTATATATCTTCCTTTATAGCACAAAGTACCTATACCTAAGGTTAACAAACATTTCTACGTTATTACTCCTGCATGTAACAAACTCGGCTTACACAAATTATACATGCCAACTGATAAACAAAAAAAAAACATCAGCTTAGAATTTTATGCTATTATCTTCCATTGACCAATGCCACTTAGCCACTTAGTTAGCTAAAAGCTTCCAAATGCACGATATGTACTATTAGACGCATACACGAGACCGGTCTACCATAAAAATGGCATACCTATCTCCAGACGTGGATAGAGAAGACCAGAACGTTAGAGGCTTTACAACTTGAAACATATCTAGGACAGTGCACTGTCATGTTACCTACGGGGCGTACCAACATGTAACGTCTAGGGGTGGCTCTAGTAAGATACCATCGAGGAGAAAAGGGTATCGATCGTCCTCCGGACCGCGCGAGAAAAAAAAAAAAAAAAAAAAAGACCACCAGCGCTGTTCCTAATTCCTATCTCTACAGACGATGGCCTGCCACGACCTACCAAGTCCGAGCATAGTATGGCGCCGTGTCACAAAAGTACCTAATTAATATAAGGCGTACTGGGGCTTCTGAGACGCTGGCGGCTTGTGTGGCTGTTCTAACATCGGTACGGAAGCTTTGCGCGAATACAATATCTCGTGTCATTGTACTTATCTTATGTAATTCCGGAGTGAGACGCGGGACGGCTCCCTTTGTGTCTTTCTTTTCGAGATGGTGCTAACGGTCGATTGTTGGTTATTTAAAATCTACTATAGGACCTAGCCAACCTCATGTCTTGAATTGCCTTTCCCGACATCACACTTCGATCGTGTCTTTTTACTACTACGTACCTACATAGGCTCGTCTTCGCCGGTCCGAACGTCAGCCTTCATCTTAACATGCCTAGCCTGTCTCTTGGGAATAGTAGCTCTCTGCTAGGGAGAAAAAAAGATTTGCTCGGCCGATCTCAAGGGCTTGATGGCTGGTCGGCTTGGCGTGACCTTATTCCTTGACCCGGTGCTCCGCATCGCCACTTATCTCCGCATCGATATCGGCCTATGTATTCTAACGTAGTATGGGGGAGATTCTCTCAGCCACTTATATTAATTAATCGTACGTACTTATCATTCACAGTCAGGTTCGGACAGCGCTCATGGAATTGAGCCGACTTCATTGTCGTATAGCGTATAGTTCCTATATAGTCACTCTCTTCTCCTCGCTACGGCTAGTCGGTGTGGAGTCCGCGAACGGCGATGATTGCCGGGTTATTATCAACACTCCTATTTATGATGACAGTAGCAAAATTATGGACGATTGGGGTTTTTTTTTGTCAAGCGCCCAATAGAGTGTTACTTGTGCTGTCTACGCATATACTCGACAACCGCCCCCTTCGGGTGCTGCGCTTTAATTAAGAATTGGCCCTGTAATTGGGGATAGCGTACAAGGATTAGGGCGAATAAGAGGCTATTCCCACCTTCATTAAATCCTGAAAAGGAAACAATATTTTCATAATATCACGAAATGTTATGAAAATGGATGGAAGTTTGAAAATACTTTTGGAATGTATGGGAAGCCCTCCCATTCGGAAGTACTTCGGATCAATCCCGAATTACAGGGCCAATCCTTAATTAAAGCGCAGCACCCTTTAGGGTGCGGTCGTCGAGTTTACGTAGACAGCACAAGTAATATGGAAAATAGACCGTTTCGTTTCTCGTTAAAGGCGTGTCTGCAGCAAGCCCCGGCGGCCATCGAGCATTTTACTCGGCACACGCCTTTAGACTAGGCTTGTACATAGCACGTTTTTCTTGGCTCTTTCGTCTTTCCCCTCTTTTTGAATTCTAAGGCCGTCCCTTCGCCGGCCAAGGGCCAAGGTTTTTCTTGTTGGTAATCACCATCCCAGTCTTCTCAGTGGGCCTGTCAGGGTTGCAACGTCGACCTGGCTAGGACTGGCGGATTCAGCCAACAAACCCTATCGTCATCCTCGTCCTGACTCCTCCTTACGGACCGAAACCAGATCTAGCTGGTGACTCCGACAAACCTTGGGGAATATTCAAACTTAAGTCCCATTGCACAGTGGTATTGATCACATAGGCACCCGAGCCCCTTATCCAGATCAAGTTGGCGACTACGATCCGTCTAATTATATGTGATAGAAGGGCGATCTAATGATGGTGTTTTCAATGTGGCTTTACTATGCACCTACATGTCCAGCTGTTCGTCAGTTATGCACCTACCGTAGAAGCTAGGAGGCGTTCAGCTAGGGACGGCCACCAATGCATGCACTCGACCAGGGCCTAGTTTATGTATGTGCATGTATGTATGGCAGATGTGACATGCTGCGAGCTTAAAGATATCCGTCGTCTAGGCAAGTCATCCGTTCGAAATGCGAGAGAATGCTGGTTTATATTATAACCTAGACCATTCCTCGAGTTCTGATCCTTCTGTGTCCACCCTCTGAACTATATCTAAACGCGGCATTCGAGAGCCTTTGCTGCATGCACGATTGGATGCTGACGCAGACCACGGCTGTTGT